AGTAAAGACATGTAAAACGAAATTTTGAACTATAAAAACGAAACGAAATAGGATCTGTGTTTTAATCAGATTGACAAACAATGAATAAAATAACCTATCTTTTTCTTTTTCAGTTTGAGATGTTTGAATGTATTCCACCCTACTTTGTTTAAGACGCGACCACAGATGATTCAAGTGATAATGAATTTGGTGTGTTTGTGTGTGATTTCTGGTCAATTTAAATCGACACAAATTAAATTAATTTATATTTTTGTCAGTTTTAAGATTGAAACCTGTTTTGTACACTCAGCTCATTGTTAGTTTGAATGTATTTTCGATCAGAAAGTTTTGTATTTATTAAAATCGATTAATATAATTTATTTTAAAAATATAGGTATATATAGAACTTAGATAAATATTGAATTGAAAAAAATAAACTGAACTATATCTACAGTTAGATGTTATTTGTGCATGTAATTATCCAAAATCGGCTCCATAAATTTGAGATGAATCTGTACATTTCTTAAAAATCCATTTTCAATCAACAAAACGTTATTTGTCATTTATATACATGAAGCGTGTCAACGAATGACGCGTCATAAATATTGCTTTTTTTTTACGGAAAATGTACCGAGAACATTCGCTAGCCATGATCATCCAGTTTAATAGTAAATATGTTGCTCGTATACCCAGACAAAATATTCCGCTAATTAAAACAACACGAAGTCGGGCTGGATTGGACTTGAAACTGAATTTGAAATATATTTAAAACTGTATTTATTTCCCCGCAACATTTAAATGGATGTTTATAGAACGGTTTCAGATATAGGTTTACAATTTCCAGAACAGTCGTCATATATACCTAGTATAGTATCTACATCACGGGCTTATTACTGTATTATATAACAATAATAATAATATCGATTGAATCAACTTCAGTACAAGATTATTCGGATCTGTTTGAATTCCTCTAAATATTTCACATCACAGTTTATTACAATCATAGTGATCCAATAAAAATTAATATATGACGAAGAAATACATTAATTTGTTGATTTTTGTTGTTGGTGTTGGTTAGTTTCTTTGTACTTTCGGTCATAAGTTAAGATCTGGCGTTTCGAGAGAAGGAGAGAGAGAGAGGTGGGGTGGGGGTCCTTTCGGGATTAACATATGGCACAATTTTTCATTATACGTCCACATTCATAATGTGAACGTATTATGCCGTCGCCCCTGTCTGTGTGTGTGTGTGTGTGTATGTATGTATGTGTGTGTGTGTGTGTGTGTGTGTGTGTGTGTGTGTGTCTGTGGTTCGCCTACAGGGCGCAATTCTTCATGGATTTTCTTCAAACTTGGTATACTTATTCCTTATACCCCAAGGAAGATCCCTATTGTTTTTGGTGCATGCCCGACCCCCCGGGGCAGAGCCACGCCCATTTCTAGTATTTGTTTGTTTGTCGTCTACAGGCCACATTTCTTAACTAATAATCTTGAAACTTTGCATACACATTCTTTGTACCCTAAGGAACATCCCTATCGTTTGGGGTGCATGCCCAACCCCCAGGGGCAGAGCCACGCCCATTTTCTTTTCGTGTGTCTTTGTGTCGCCTACAGGGCGCAATTCTTACTGGATTTTCTTCAAACTTGGTATACTTATTCCTTATACCCCAAGGAAGATCCCTATTGTTTTTGGTGCATGCCCGACCCCCAGGGGCAGAGCCACGCCCATTTCTAGTTGCCTTTAACGTACAAAGGCCACAATTCTGAATGGATTATCTTGGAACTTGGTGTATTTATTCCTTAGACCCTTAGGAAGGCAACTATTGATGTTGCCATTTCAATAACAGGATGGTTTCTATTTATATTGTTTCCATATCCAACCCCCATGGGCAGAGCCACGCCCAGTTTTTGTATTTATCGTCTACAGGCTGCAATTCTGAATGGATCATCTTGAAATGTGCATATTTATTCCTTATACCATAAAGACAGCAACTATTTATTTTGATACTTGCCCCGACCTCCTGGGGCCGTGTCACACCCACTTTATTGTTAGTATTTTGTCTGTAAATTTGGCAAAACAAACCCGACGCCTAGCCTTCTTTGCCTCTGATCATATTACAGCCATTTCATATTTCATTCTCTTCATTTTAAAAAGTACCATATCAATCAAAGCTGGAATGTGGACGTATATTGCAGCGTTAGTGATGCTCTTGTTTAAATAATTCGTTTGATCATAGAATGGGTGGAGGGGGAGGAACCGGTGTAAAAGCACAAGATTGCACAATCTATGTCATTGCGGGACTAGCATATGGCCACATTTTATTTCAACAATTCGCGTAGGGGTCTATAGCAGTGGGGTGAAACCGGAGGACCCGGAGAAAACTCACGAGGTTGGACAGGTCAACCCATTCCTTGTCACGTAATGCGGGGAATCGAAACCAGGCCGCTTGACTCAATAAACCAATAAACCACCCAACCCCCTTCGGATTAAACATGAAAATGAAGCTGTCGATCACACGAATTCAATTTAATACAAAATGGTCTTAAAAGTAAACCAATTCAATAAACTTTGTTCAACTTTCGTTTAAAATAAATATCCATAAAAACAAAACAATTACAGTATTCATTTTAATCACAATATGGAAGAGAGAGAGAGAGAGAGATAGAGAGGGGGGGTGGGGTAACGTCCACTTGAAACAGGCTAAGTCATTTCGGGACTAAACATATATTGTTCAATTTTATTTCAATAATTCGCTTGTGCTTATATAGAGCAAGGAAATGAAATGAAATGGGTTTAACGTTAATACTATTGCTTTCAATGAAGTCCTTATTAATTCCAAAAGCTATTTATAAGATGTTTATAATGAAAAATGAAAATAGGTCTATCAAAATATTATAATACTCCTCAATGACATGACGACAATAGAAAAAAATATAAAATCGCAAGCAAGCCTTTGTTCGTTTAATTTATGAGTTTCTAGAGTTTTACATCTTTGATATGACATAAAACCCTCAAACAATGCCAGTGGGCAAGATTGGACCATTATATAGTATTAAATTGAAAGGGGTTTATTGTAATGAACTTTAGGGTCCCCTGGCATGATTAGAGATTATGCGGGGTGTAATGGCTAAATATATCTGTTAAGGCCAGCTCAATTTTCGTCAAGGTCGCTGAGATGTAAATAAGGTTAGGGCACATGGTTGTTGGCGAGATTGTAGGTTAGGGCTAGGGTAAGCATTGGGTCTACATGTAGATCCAGGGTTAGGGTTGGGTTTAGCGCTGGTCCTGTTTACATCTCGTGACCTAGGACGAAACATTGAGCTGGCCTTATCATTTAGCACTAACCGGGTGTAACGATGAATTAAGAAGCCCGTTAAACTATCTTCCTATATGATGTAATCAAGTCCAGGTCCACGCGTCGGGGGTCTTAAATTAATATCAATCCAAAAAGGAAGTAAAATTGAAGGGTGACCTCCATATGGGGGATTTTAAAAGGTGCAATCAGCATCCTTTAGAAGAAGAAGAAGTGTTTATTAAAGTGTCACACGGTGTACATTTACATATCATAATACAGTTAAAAACTTAATTAAAAAGAACACGGCCCGGTCACTGGATATATCTATATATTTTTAAAATGAAATGGGGTTTAACGTCCTACTGTTCTGATCAGACTGGGCCAATAAAGTCGGTATATACAAACCCAAAATGTATATATTTATCAAGCATAACAAAAAACAAGACAAAATCTATTTAGTCTGCTTATGACTGTGTTTTCTGTTCTTACATCTCTTTGTCCAAAATATTAAAAAAATGAAATTTAATGGAGTTTCACGTCCTATCTTCCACACCGATTGGGCTAATGAAGCTGGGTGTACGATATACAGATCAGTGAGATATATTTTGCCCCATACTCCTCGCAGTGTTTCGTTTGATTATACCTAATTGATTTTTCGGGCCTTTGCTTCAGGAATATGATTTTGCCCAGACAGTGGCACTGTGACCTATACCCTTAAATCGAATTCTAGCTGTCTTGAGCGTTCTTTAACGTGAACGCAAATGTGTACACGGTACCTCGATTTTTCGTTCCAACCGAACGACTAGACAGCTGTCCTGGTCAGACCATCCATTCTGTTCACATTGGCGTGCACGTAAAAGATCCCTTGGCAGTTGGAATTCGATATATAGTTCTTAGCGCAGCTGTCTGGGCAACATTTCCCTCATAGCACAAGTATGGCGTATGCCCGTCTTCATTAGCCCAGTCGGAGCAGAACAGTAGTAAACCACCCTATTTCATTTTTTATTTCATTACTATTTTACTGCACGGAATTGACGACACGAAAAGTTCAATTAATTTTCTAAAACTGTCCTCACGTTTTTCGATATCACGATCCGATGGTTCCATGGACAACAGGCCTAACACACTCATTGTAAGTCTATTTTCAGTTGTAGGCCTACATTGTTTCTTTATTTATAGAATGTAAATACATCTGACATGGAGAGGTGTGCAATATAGGTTATGCCTGTTCCCCTTCCCTATTCAAAGACATATCTGAATAAAAATGTTGTTTATAAAAAATATATAGCCTATATTATGTTTAAAAGATGGACATGATCCGCACGCAGTCTGCACTCTCCTCCAATCAACAAACTTTGAAAGTGACCTAAATGGTAATACATGTATTCAGCAATAATTCGAATACAGACTCAAGCTACATGGGGTGATATGTCCTGCTTTTCGGCACCAACATTTCTAATCAGGACGGGCCTACGCCATGCCTCAGTACGCATTCTCCATCTTCTGGAGATATGAGAGGAAGGATTATTCGGTATACCGAACGACTATACGTTTTTCATTTCAAAGACCTCCGTTCTGCACCACTGACAATTAGGGCCAAGAACATAAATTAGGCCCTAAAATTTATGCCAAACAAATTATAGAAATATTGGTAGCGTCATTTGTGAATAAATGAAAGAATAAAATCTAGACGGTAAAAAAGTAAACGATAACCGCGACTACCTTGGATGTAGAAAGAGTTGTTCCCCTTGAACAGATGACGCTACCAATATTTAGTTCAACGTCACCACTTTCCTCTTTCCAGTTAGAATCCACACTATCAACATGCCTTTGGTAAGTATCTTCAAAATAAGTTTATATCATTTATTTTTTTATTTAATGATGGGGTGTATTTGTTGAAATATTGTTATTTTGTTTATCTAAAACCTTTTGTAGCACACTATTTAGTTTGTCTTACATCTTGTAGATGATTTAGATTGACTTCTTTTTAGAAATGTAAACAAAAATCATACCCACCGGTCCGATGTGGTTATTCCAGCAGCTGTTTCGTCAGAAATGTTTCTCGATCGAAAATGTAATGTTGAGTTAATAATCCATTAATACGCATAGGAACTTCAGAAAACAAATCATTGGCAGACTTCAGTCTGTTATTAAGAAGGGATGGGACAATCACAATACACAGTATTGCTATATATACACCCTCACGTATATCTTGGTCTTTAATGTTCTGACTTCTTTCTAGAAGGTCTGAATTTTCTTGTTTTGCCCCATTCGTCTGCTTCTTGGTTTTTAATGGGAGTTGAGTGGTCTAGTGAGCCAAGTGGCGTGGTTTGATTCCCGGCTTATATGTGACCAGGAGTAACTGGGTCGCCTGCCCAACCTCATGGGTTTTTGTCTCAGGTTTTCTCCCGCTGCTAATGTCACTAAAGACCCCTACGCACAAGCAAATTATTGAAATAAAATTGTACCATATGTTAGTCCCCATACGACCTAGTTAGTGTCGAGTGAATGTTGAACCCCATTGTCTTGAATTTTAAGCATTGGCTGTATACACTGAATGGCCTTCAATTCGAATATATGTGTCAGACATAAGGATTGTCTTTTTGTGCTGTAAAATATATTGATCATGGCTCTTCTCCTTTTTTCAGCCATCAGGAAGCTCAACATCAGTAGGTGCTGGAGGCCGAGCAGCTGCCTCAGCTAAATCTTTATCTCCAAGAAGTGGGGGAACAGTAGCCCGACAAAGGTAAGCTATATGATATTTAAATATGTTGATCAAGTATTTTAGTATTGTTTTGGGGGAAGTGGGGGCATCAAACTCACATGACTACATGTAGGTATGTCTTTAGGCGATTGAGCAAAGGTCCTTGACTATGTTCCAGAATATTCTGAATGGAATGTGGTTAAGAATATGGTCGATGGTCTCGACACAATGCTTTGGTCATTAAGAGACAACCATTTAGTTAATCGTTCTCTATGATTGCTTGTGCAGTTCCTGGGAGGTGGGGGCCTACTCTGCTGAGAATGGTACATTTAGATCTTATTAAATTTCAGCTGTCATGGGACTTGGTTTTTTGTTCCATCCAAACAACTTGATAGTCAATACCCCCTTCCAAGTGGAGGCTGGGTTTGTAAACTCCAGGGAGTCTGGGACATCATAGTCCAATATCACTAGATACATGTAGTTGGAATGGTTCGAATTGTAAATAAATGATTGTTCAATACGTTTCAGAAAACCAGGTAGTACTCCTGCAGCTAGCTCACGTAAAACGGCAGGAAGTAGTGCTGGCATGTGGAAATTTTACACAGAAGATTCTCCTGGTATTAAAGTGTAAGTTTGAATATTATTTGATATATAGATTCAAATCAAAGGTTGTTAATCTTTCGGTTGATTTAGATTGAAGTTAGTAATTATGAATATTCATATAATTAACTGGTCCATGTACATGTATGAGAGGCAGGGTTTCTTACTTCAAGGGCAGTAACTCTTGTTGACGAAATGTTACTATATTTATAAAGATGAAATTTGTGATACACATACAATAGAGTAATGATTGACAGTTATTTTATGTCCTAGGGCAGAATTTGAAAATAGCTCATGCTTTCATATTTGACACATGTTGTCTTGATTGAATGACTTAACATGTTGGTTTCATATGCACGACACATTTACTGCTTTCAACTATTAAAGACACAAGTTAGATATATCTCAAAAATAAGAGATATTATCTATATTCAAGTCGGGATATACTTCTAAGACTCCTGTTACAGGCTTTGTCATGTACTATGTCAGTCTTGACTAACTTAAAGATACATTATGTAAGATTTAGATAAAGAACTAACCATTCTTGTTATAATAGTTTGAAAGTAGATGATGTAAAATGAATAATTTGAAAAGTTCATTCAAATTACTCTATTGCAAGCGAAGATATCAGCCTTTGAAGGTTTGACAGACGTGCAATAATTTCAACCACCGTACTGGTTGATCGAAGCTAAGTCTTGGTCCTCCATATTTGATTAAATCAAAGTATCGCTGAACCATTCTAATCTGTTTGATATCGGAGAAATCTGATGCCATGGAGAGTTGATTAAGGCCTGGATCAGTTAATTAATGTCTAATTAATACTTTAGAAAACATTTCAGGAATAAAGAAAGACCTGCAATAGGCAGATTTAGCTCTTGCATAATGCATGTTTAATGTCAAGAATTACTACGACTTGGGTATCATATAGTTGTGCTATTTTAGCAGGACTTTCTGTATATTAATGTTTAGTTTCAAACCATTGTTGGAAAACTGTTAAAAAACCATTGCGAATCATAGAAATCTATTGTAGTGAATGAAATGTACCGTATATACAAAAACCTTCCAGAAGAATGGGCTTGCTTGTACAATACATAGAATTATGATGACTATTTTATTAATTAGAGAAATGCATGTATACATGTAGATGGCTGTGTAAGATCAATAGAAAAAAAAAATGTAACCAATGTTTTTCGGTAAAAGTTGTTTCCCTTATTCTGTGATGATGTGGGTTTCATCAACTGTTCGTCGTGACAGTTCAAATTTAGTTTTGATTTTATATATATGTTTTGTTTCATAGATCTAAAGCTAAACTGATTCATTAAAATACAATTGATAATGCTTTTCTATACTATTGTCCAAAAGAAAGTATACACTGTGCATTTCGTGTTGCATCAACCAAAGTCGTTTTCCATTGTATATATGTGGCATTTGGGTACAATGCCAATTTGTTTCGCTTTTTTTGCTTAGAAATGTTGAGTTTGGGCGCAAGGGACAAACTCAGTAATGTTTCATCAAATGTTTTTAATCAAAACAAAACTTAGTTTGTATTTTTAGTGTGTATACTTTCTTTTGGACATTAGTATATATTTTGTACTTATTTGTTTATTTTTTTTATTTCAGGGGACCAGTACCCGTTCTAGTCATGAGTCTCTTATTCATTGCTTCAGTGTTCATGTTACACATCTGGGGAAAATACACAAGGTCATAAACAGAATGGATATTACTCACAAACATTTTTTTAAAAAAACAAAAAGATTAAAGGAATAAGGACTTATAAAAAGAATGGACAATGATTTTACGTTTGTTAAGGATTGGAAAGTGATTTGAATTTTATCGTCAAACAACTCTAAAGACTTCATTTCATTGTTTATACATGTTTTACACACATGTATTTATTGTACATTTAATCAGAACCTCAATTCCAAAGAAGAGGCCTGTCTAGATTTGTTATGTATATGTGTATGTATCATTTATGACAGATTTTATGAGGAAAAATAAAAGTATTTATAAGAAAGTTCTTTTATTTAATTGCCATTTAAATGGCTTTTAACAACATTCCATGGAGTTCTTGGCATGGTCTGCACAATGTCATTCTATTTCATGTGAAACACCTTGATTGCATGATGTGGGGTGTGTCTAAATGGTCTAACAAAATATTATCTGTAAGGTCTGGCATTGAGTCGATTGCCATCCAACACTTGTAGGTTTCCTCCCTCTGCTAAAGACCCCTATGCAAATAAGTACTGGTTACCAAAGGAATACAGGAGTTTACCGAAAATAGGTTTGTCAGGTACATGTAGGTTTCCTCCCTCTCTAAAGACCCCTATGCAAATAAGTACTGGTTACCAAAGGAATACAGGAGTTAACCGAAAACAGGTTTGTCAGGTACATGTACCCTAAAATGCATATCAGCAGCACAGTTGTCAATACAAGCTCTAAAATAAGTGTCAACAAATCCTGACGAGACGGTTTTTAAAAAATTCCCCAAAAACATTACTCTGCAATTGAATTGGGTTTCCCAAGCGTTGTCAAGCTACATGTATGTTGGGAGATAACTCTGCAGAGCATGTTTGTAATTAATGATCAGAGAATATTTTTGATTCATTAAAGATATTTCCTTATACAGCAATCTTAATGAGTATTAACAAATTTCATCAAGAACTCTTTCCTGTATCACCTTCAGGAATTTCAGAGTAAAATGGGAGGTAACTCCACAATCGGCATTTAAAAACAAATTCTGAAGTTTGATAGACCTGAAGTGTGTTCATACGAAATTATACTCAGATATCGGATCGATGTTTCTCTTTGTGACATTCAACCTGCAAGTAAATTATTCAACTAGCAATTGACCAAAAAGTTGATTAAAAGTATATATTTTGCTGCATTATTACAAATAAAAATTTGATGCCAGCAATTCTGTTTTTACATGGATGAGGTTACATTATTTTATAACCATATAGTTACTTACCGTTTATTCAGCCCATAGGAATTGAAGAAAGAAATAAAATCGGGATTAACATTCTACTTAGGCTGGGCTAATGAAGACGGACATGCAATACAGTGTGCTATGAAGGAAATCTTGTCCAGGCAGCGGCACTAAAGCCTACTCTTTTATTTCGAATTCCAACTGTCAAGGGTTCTTTTACTTGCATTCCTATGTGTACACCGGACCTCTATGTTTGCTCCCATCTGAACAACTGTACACACCGAAAAATCCTTGTGGCCAACACTGGGATCCAACTTTGGACATCATCGTTAGCAAACCAGTCTTACTCACTGGCAGTGGGGCACTGTGGCTCTACTTGAAGAAATAAGTCTATAATAGTAAGTGCAGGAGGACGCACCACACGCATAACAAAAATCTACAAGATAAACCTGCGGACACGACAGAAAATAGACATTGCACCAAATAAACAAATATCAAATCAAGTGAATGGATCCGGGGCCAGCCGTAAGCGTCCACTGTGAAGTACAGTCCCGGGCCGGTTATGGTACAGGCTTCACTTTCTTTAAAAAACAAAAAAAATTCTTAGCTCTTTTTAGGAGCAATCATGTCTTGGCTACTTCATATGAAAGTACAATTTATTTATTGATAAAAGCAAACAAAACAATCACCTGTGTAAAATAAAATATTGGTTGTATATACATGACTTATTATATAAATTAAATATAACGGGCTATACTATATACCGAAAAACACCGGAAAACTACTGGAAAAACACTAAATAGCGGAAAACACCGGAAACACACTAAATACCAGAAACCACCCTAAATAGGTAACCCGAAGAAGGCCTATACTATAAACCGGAAACTAACCCTAACCCGGGAACACAGAGCAAAAGGCTTCCGGTTACCTATTTAGGGTGCCAGTCTCCGGGTTACCCATTTAGGGTATTTTCCGGTATTTAGTGTGTTTTCCGGTATTTAGTGTTTTTCCGGTATTCAGTACAAAATGGTGTTTTCCGGTATATAGTATTGCCGAAATATAACAAAAATTAAATTCCCTGATTTAATTAGAAATAGACATTTTAAAGATATTCTAATAAAAGAAAGCGTTTTAGATTGAAAGGAATGGGTAAACAGTCTATTTTAGTTTGTAAGTGACCTGTTGGTTTATGTTTCGCTAAGGTCAAACTAGACCTTATTATAGTTCTACACTGTCGCTCTAATCTCGAAGGTATTTTGTGCTCATTTTCAAGAAATCGCAACATGTTTATTTCTGATTCAGACACCTCTGCAATTTGTCCATTGATCTTAGCATTTGTCATTTTCACCCAATCCTTACAATAGAGATCAAATCCAGCCATGATGAGTTTTTGTAGAAAAGTTCTACATTCGCTGCTGCCATCTAATAGAAGATAGTTCAGGGGTTTCTGAAATTTATGTGGTAGTACACCGGCGTTCAGTAAAACATCTGCAAACGGAATGTCATTTTTGGCAAATAAAACAAATGCCATTAATGTCATTTCTACTCCAAAAGTGTTCGGTCGAGCAATGTTGACGTTCGCTCCAGCTTCCACTAATACACGAGCCACCTGCATGTGATTATTTTCAACTGCAGATAAAAGGGGCATATAACCTGTCAAATTGCGAGAGTTTACATCAGCATGGTGTCTAACGAATATCTCCACGACCTTTATATGACCCTGAGAAGAGGCTATATATAGAGGAGAGCATTTATTTCTATCACAGGTATTCACTTCGGCACCGTTTTTCAATAATATTTTAACAACCTTTTCATTCCCTAATCGACTGGCTTCACACAATAACAAACTTCCTTTAAAATAAACATTTGGCATATTGATATCAATATCAAAGTTTAACAATTCCCCCAGTTCACTTTCAAGTGCCGTCTGATCTTCTTCCTTTAACTGATTCCAATCATAGCGACATATCTGAAACAGTCTTTTAAAAATCTTCTTTGTCTTGCCCATGGTAGAATTTTGACTCAAAAGTTTTAAAAATTCTTAAACATATTGTTCTATTACTGTGATGAAATATCAGTAAAATCTACAAAAGAAAACATAAACTCAGTGTGAGAACTGCACTATACATACAAACCATGGACAAACTGAAACAAATACCAACTTTGGTTTGGCTTCATTAAGTTCATTATTAGCAGTCTGTTCATTCACTAAATTATAATAGGCTACATATATTGAACATCAAACATGTATACTTACACTATAGCCATCTAAATTTATTTTACAAATATTGGTTGACAGATTCTAATATTGATCCTAAAATAAGAAACAAGAAGTAGGTCTAGGTCTAGTGTAAAAAAAGAAAAAAAAGTAGTATTTAAGTTGAATAAGATTGATCTGTAGATCTACTTGTAGTGTTGTAGTGTGACTGGGTGTGAATAGAAACTTAAAAAGTAACACAAGACAGCCAATCGTCAAACCACTGATTTGGGTTGCTATCATTATTACTCTGCTGGTTTGAAATAAATAGAATTACATATCTATGCTATGATACAATGCGGATACACTTACAATTTCACAAAAATGTCTTAATAAAGTTTACTGTTTATTCTAACCTTACCAAAAAACTTTACTATTGACAAAATTGTAAACATTGCAGAGTAACGCCCCCTGGATGATTAAAAACAATACTTGGATCTCTTACGAATTCTAAATATTATCTATTTCATGGAATTATATTTATACTTATGTTTTCATAAAAAATAGATTTGAATGTAGCATTTATTTCTTTGAGACAATCGATAATTGTGCACAGCGAATATTTTAAAGACGTTTTGAAAAAATGAATTTCGGTTTATTTTTAGTTCTTAAAAGTGTTGATTAGTTTTCCTTGCAGACGCTTACTAAAACTGACTAGCAAGGTCATTAACACAACTTTCGTTGGACTTTTACGGTTTACTGAACAGGCTAATTAAATACACTGTACCTCTCTAGTTAGTAGTAAGTGTTGTTTTTCGTCTGTTTAACATTCTATATAAATTATTTGTTATTACCTTCCATGTAGAAGGTTAAGGGCCTATTATTATTATCTATTATAAAAACTACGATTTTATTTATTCCGTCATTCTATACTATATATATAATAGTAGTCTAGGCCTATATGATTATGATATGGCATCACGTTCATCAGTCATGCCCATGGTGATCGGCCTTGATCAATTTTTTTTTTAACACTTAGGGATGATCATGTTCAAATTTATGGGCCAGAGTGACCCACAGTGTTTGATCAGCACATACCATGTACCTTGGGCCAAGCCAAGGTGTCCACCGGTTTTTAAAACAGATGACTCCTAATTTTCACAGGTTTGATTTCTTTTCTCCAGTCCCAGAGCAACTTAAGTTGATGGATTTCAACCAAATTTGAATTATTATAATTTATTTATGTGGTGCTTATTTAAATTTTCTCAAATGAAGTTCATTGACTAAGGCTGTGGGCCTTAAATTGAGCCCATTGTGGCAGGTTGCGTGGCTGCCTAGTACTACAACTACAAGTAGGCATACTTAAATGTGCAAATTTGGACTTTTTAAAAAAAATTCCAATTAAGTCTTCTTTTAAACCATGTGATGGGTTTCAACCAAATTTAAGGGTGGAGTCCATACTCTAAAATGAAGTTGATTGGCTATGAGAGAAAGTTGTATATAATTAAATTTTTTACTACAGCTGCAGGAAATGCATTCAGGATACTGTAAGACAAGAAACAAATGTGTTCTGATTCTGAAGGAAGTCAGCAATTGACATTAATCATATGCATATTGAAATTAATTTTGTCTAAAAATCGATTTCTTCATGAAAACAATCACTGTTTTGTACACATACAGCACAATGTTTTGACAAGTGCTCATTTTGTGCTTGATAACTATACGAGAACACTTGTTGAATTATACATCAATAAAAGCGCAAAATGTTTGTGAGAATTATCGTCTAATTAAGATTGCATCTCCAGTTTGTTTCGATCCTGTGGTTTGAATGAACCTTCTACACTACACTGTGCGCATACATGTACATGTACTGTGTGGCGTTTTATGACTGTGACCATATACATGGATCAATGAGTGATGAATTACTGTTGAATGTTTACATTAGCTGTTTACAATAGGCCTACACAACCGAGAACTTGTCAAACATTAAAAAAAATTCAGTCTTGTGGAATATATAACATTGTATATTAACAAAAGGAGAAAAAATCTGAACTGAGAAATATTCGACAAGCTTGACCAAGCCTGTGGTTGGGCCTGACTTTGTCAGTAACCGTAAGGCATAACCTATTTTAATACTATTTCTAGCAATGATGAACTTAAGACAAGTTTATTGTACTGTAAATTGGATTTTAAAACATTTTTCTTTCAAAAGTGATCTAAAAGAATTTATAAGAGTTACATATAGTTAATGGCAAATAACCAACAAAACACAACACAAATTATGGATATAACTACTTCCCTGTTAACACATACATTGTCACCTTTGCAAGTTAGTTATTGTTAATTGAGTTTTTACACAGTTTTAAAATATGAAGCATCCCTATAGATACCCATAAGGAAAGTACATGTACATGTAGATCGAAGATTTAACCTTGAACTGGAGAGAACATTTGTTTAGTATTAATATCTGATAAAGTTTAATTTATACATGTATCTTCTGTAGCTTACAGTGTATATAAAGCCCATCTCCATAAATTTGGATTATTGTATGAATATGATACATGCAAATTAAAATCCCATAGTATAAGACGTGATATGCATGCTTTGACATGTCATTAATCTGGAGCCAATAGTTTTTATGTATAAAACTCCATATAAATTAGTCAGTCAACCGCTAAAATTCAACACAATGAGGGATACAATGGTAACAGCGATAATTATTTTAACCAAACCATTACTCTATTTTGCTATGTATATATCAATGTGTACTGGATGTCATGTATAATGCAATATACATTTATTCTATTTAAACACCTGATACCACTTCTCATGGTTTTGATAGTTCACATATAAACCAGCAACTTTTCTTGTGGTGATCATACAAATGTTTTTTTGACAATTATATTATATTTCTGGTTTCAACACAATGATCGATACAAAGGTAACGGCGATAATTATTTTAACCAAACCATTGCTTTATTTCGCTATTTGTGTACTGTAATGCACAATGCAAGATACATTTATTCTTTTTAAAGACCTGATTCCACTTCTCATGGTTTTGATAGTTCACATACAAACCAGCAGCTTTTATTGTGGTAAGCATACAAATATTTCTTTGACAATTATATTATATTTCTGTTTCTTTAACATTGTGTTCATTTTGCTTTCCAGATTTGGATGATTGAACAAGATGTATAATTGATAACTGAAGCACTTAAGGGCCAATAACATAAATAAAGATGCGTGTTAAAGGTCAAACAGTTAAACGTCTGATCTATACTGGTCTAGCTGCTGGAGGTGGATTATATCTGGCTTCATTCTTCTCTCAAAGGAAAGTAAGTATGAGCAAACAAGGCAGGGAGCTGCGGTGGCTTAGGGAGTAAGATGTTGGCTCGCTAACCTGGAGGTCCTGTTTTCGATCCTGGTTTTGGCTGAGAAAGTTCAAAGGGATTTTCCGTCATAGTTTTCCCTTGTCCGTGGTGCAGGACAGAGGGCCTTGCAAGAGATAACGTATTGTTATTCGGATGGGACGAACAACCCAGGTCCCGTATACACACTGGCAGTTGGAATTTCCATAGCACCGCTGCCCAGGCAAAATTGCCCTCATAGCACACTGTATGGCGTATGCCCATCTTCATTAGCCCAATAGCAGCAGAACAGTAGGACGTTACACCCCATTTCATTTTACGAGTTAACAAACTCCCTGGTGGAAGCAGATATTAATGAACTAGTACTACTACTAGTGATTTACAAATGTACCTTATTGGGCAGACCTTTTCTTCCAAGTACACTAATTTTTGAACTAGGAACTAGTTCCATACATTTGATAATCTTTTTGTTGAATCTTATTATTCTTGTTTTAAAAAAACCCCAGCCTAAAGCATGCTTGCTTTTTGGACAGTTAACGGGTTTTCATTTTTGATATATCAAAATTCCAAGTCAAGGTCTAAAAGTGATAAAAGATAGTTACCAGGGCCCGGTTGGGCCATACTATATACCGGAAAACACAGGAAGACACCAGAAAACAACCGGAAAACACCATTTTATACTGAATACCGGAAAACACCGGAAAAACACTAAATACCGGAAAACATCCTAAATACCGGAAAACACCCTAAATAAGTAACCCGGAGCCTGGTCCTCTGTGTTTTGGACCATGTTGGTAAACTATGTTTTGGTTAACATTATTGTTACAGAGAGCTATTGGAACAGTTCTTGCTGAAGAACAACAGGTTCTGCCCAACCAGGTTCTACCCACAAGAGAAGAGATTCATAGATCACTTCAGACAGAAGAATTTGATGTGCTAGTTGTAGGTGGTGGTGCTACAGGATGTGGTGTAGCTTTAGATGCTGTCAGTAGAGGTATTTATCTTAAAATATTGTCTTTAGATGCTGTTAGTAGAGGTATCTATCTTAAAATATTGTCTTTAATTGGCTTGGATCGAATTGATTTGTTATTTCATCAATCTGATTAAAACACAGATCCTATTATGTTTCGTTTTTAATACATGTAGTTCGAAATTTCGTTTTCCTTGACTTTACTACACTAGGATCTGGAAGAGTTGTTATGTAACCCGCGTTCTGGTTGATGTGATGGATTAGCCAACGAAATGATCTGTCAAGGAGAGTTCTTGGCATACTGTGCACGGAACTGTGGGTATTCACTAAAACCATCAATGCTGATTAGTTAATCAAATGTCTGTCATCATAGGGTCAAAAACCACTTGTATGACCTCTGACGCGACCTTCCACTACAGCTGGTCAGATCTTCATGTAGTAGAGGCCATCGAAAGTATAAAAAACGAAACAAAATATAGATCTGTCATCTGTATTTTAATCAGATTGTTACTTCGTATACTGATGTGGAAAACACATAGGTTTACTACTTTCAATTTCTGTTTTAAACCTAGACTACTGATAAATTAAATCAGTGTTTCCCAAAGCAGGGAATACCTCCACCCCTCAGCGGTGCGATGATGAATAAATGGGCAATGGAGGGATGGGGTTGTATTGAAAAAGCAAACTGGCTTGGGACTAAGGGGATGGTAGCTCAAAAACATATGGAAACCATCGGTTTAAAGCATAATCGGTTATACCTCATCATTGGTTTTATTTGGGGGATTGTAAAAGTAGAAATACATCTTAACACATCATATCAAATCAATAACTTATTTTTGTCCCTGGAAATGTTATTGATATAGCAAAGACGAGAGTGCGATCAACTGAAGACGACGAAGAAGATAAATTAAAGACAGACTTGACCTATTCAAAATGCCTATGCATGTTAAATGAAATAAAAATTACTGTAATAAAATTTTGAATGTACAGAAAGGTTTATTATTTTTAAAGGGAATAACATTTTGGTGATTCGAAGTTCTATGTTCGAAGCTACATTATAATAATACTTCCTGTTTTCGAAGTTACAATATTTCCGGTTTTGAGAAAACTGGGTATTCCAACACTCTGCGTAATCCGACATATTGTAACGATCCCGTACGATGTCGGATGTGACAGATTGCACTGTAATTAGAAACCTCTGCATGTTACTGTCCATTATAAATTAAAAAAAAAATAGTCCTTTTCCTACATTTAAGGAGATAATTCTAAAAATAACTAAAAATAATCACACAAGGTACAATTTTAATGATACACAATTACTGAGTTTAATACTAAGCGACAATTCGACGAGGATACTCTCTTCTTTATCATGCAAAGATGAGAGTATCCTCGTCGAAACGTCGCTTAGTATTAAACTCAGTAATTGTGTATCATTAAAATTGTACCTTGTGTTAATATGTTCAATTACTAAATGCCAATCAAAGAAGAAAAAAATAATCACCTTTGCCAATTTCTGGTATTTTAGGATTGAAAACAAGTCTTGTCGAGAAGTTTGATTTTTCATCTGGTACAAGCAGCAGAAGTACAAAACTAATCCATGGAGGTGTACGATATTTACAGAAAGCTGTATTTAATCTTGACTATGAACAGGTAATTGGGATCGCATGCTCTGTTGCATTTTTTGATTATTCTGTTTTTTTTTCTCCAAAATGTGCTATTGTGTTCTTGTCATTTTTTTCGTTTGATGAAGCTGCGGATCGTCAGACATCTAATTCTTCGTGGTTTGTTTCATGCTAATTTGTGTGAGGGAGAGAAATGGTGTTTATCTTCCACTTGACACAAACTAGGTCATTTTGGGACTAACACATGGTTCAATTTTATTTTAATAATGAGCTTGCGCGTAGGGGTCTTTAGCAGTGAGAGGAAACCGGGGGACCCAGAGTAAACCCATGAGGTTGGACAGGCGACCCTACACCTTGTCATGTACAGGTAGGGAATAAAAAACCATGCCAATTAACTTGATAACAAATATTCTGATTCAACGTGCACAGGTTAACCATTTGGCCCCCCAACCCCCCAAATGCATTAATTCCTTGCGACCATTACCACACTTATCATTGAATCAACATATCAAATTACTACACAATATAAGATATTTTTATGATGTTTATTTATAGTATCGAATGGTAAAAGAAGCATTGAAGGAAAGATCTAATTTAATCGACATAGCTCCACATCTTGCCTATCCATTTCCTATCATGTTACCAGTTTACAAGTTAGTATCAAAGTGACAATTTATCTCTACATGGGTACACCAATCATATTTAAATAACCTGGTTCATTATCTTGATATAGTTCTCTGTTTAAGACATGGGTACACCAATCATATTTAAATACCTGGCTCATTAAATTGATGTACCTCTCTGTTTGCTTAATAACTTGAATATCTTGGAACAATTACTTGCCACTGCCTGGGCAATATTTCCCTCATAGCACATTTCGTTTCATTTCTTTCTGGCTGTATATTATATATTGTTTACTATTTTGAATTTTGTTATTGAAGGTGGTGGCAAGTACCCTATTTCTGGGCTGGTATAAAAATGTATGATTTAGTGGCAGGTCGGGAGAATCTAAAACCAAGTTATTATCTCAGCAAGAAAAAGGCATTAGAGTTATTTCCCATGTTAAAGAAAGATAAGTTGGTTGGTGCACTGGTTTATTATGATGGTAAGTGGAATCGGAACACACAGGACCTTAAAAGCGCTAAATCGCTAATATTTTGGACCCCAAAATTGGCACAAATGGGTCGCAACACATATAATAATGTAATATGAATTTATATAAACTGTTTTACATTCAATCGTGTCCGTTTTACTGTGAATTGTCATTAGTTATGTTTGGCGAAATACACCAGAAGTCTCAACCGCAAGTCAGTTTCTAGCGTCTGGTTATTCCAGTCAACACCGATATTATTTATTGCGCATGCTCTCCAAATAAGAACATGATATCACCGTTTGACATGACTTGTGGAATATGTCTAGCCTCATTCTTTGAGCACCTTGTTACAAATGGCGCTGAAATGCATTATGGTACACGATTCGTGTACCAATGGTAAAATGTTTATTTTGTCTTAAATATTGGATATCAGAAGCCCATCTTTTCCAGGTAAGATCACAACACCAATGCTGATTTAAATTGCAAAAAAATTTGTGTTTTCAATGTTGAAGATTTTGGATGATATTGAGTTACAGACTTTAAAGATTATGGCTTTTCCGTATATTGATTGGCAAGAATTTGCCCAGGTGACCTCTCGTATGATATACGGTTGTTGTTGTCGTTTGCTATACTTAGTTCAATCTTGATGCAAACTAATTAACTCTTTATTACTTACCAGAGCTGTCGCTAATTTTTCACAGTTTTGCTGATCAAAAAGTCCAATTTTGCCAAATTTGATTAGCAAATTTAAAAAATTGATTAGCAGTTTTTCAGTTTCAACATAAAACACATAAATAACACCTTAATATCAAATGATTAGATTACATTCTTAGATTTTTTTAGAACTGCTACATGTAGCCATGACATTTGGCAGTGGCTTCCGAAGCCCCACTCATTTTAATTGTTATTTCTTCGTTACGTTAAAAATCTTCATTAGAAAAAAATTTCATCTACTTTTATCATGAGTTACTATTTTTGTACTATCGGACACACGCGGACATTAATGAATAAGTTCAATTAACTAGACACATGAGATATAAACAATAATATTTTACTTCAATTCTTACTTTGATTTCTCATTTTACAATATCTCTACATGTATTTATTTTTTTATATTTTATTTACAATTCATAATTACTCGAAATTGACATGTCTCTCAATAAGTGGTACTGCTTGATTCCCTATTTCCGGTTTAATAGTCCCTATTCATAGAGTTATGTCCCTGTATTATATAGTATGATGAATTGTGTCTGGGTAGTTAAAGAAGGAAATGTCACACAAGAGAATTCAGTTTTGTTTATAGAATTTATTTGACATTTTATACGCGTTGAAAGTGTTGAGAAAGTTCAAAATGTGGATAATCTTTGTGTCAATATCCAAAATGACAGGCATATTAATGATTTGCAGTTACTCGAATCAGAAATATTAGATTTTAAATTTTTGATTAGCAACGGACAAAATATGTGTCAACAGTCTTGCTTACAGTTAACCTGTACAAAAAATTTAAAATTTAAAATTCATCCGATTGCCAGTTGTTTTACTTTCTGCATGAGCCAGGCTAATGAAGGCCTTCTTCCGCATTGCGCATTGCATCTTTCGGATAGCTTTCAATTCCCTACTCATGAGTATATGGTTTTACAGTACAATGTGTATTTGATTATACTGTATATTGTTATATATTATATAGGACAACATGATGATGCTAGAATGAATATAGCTATAGCTATGACAGCTATAAAGATGGGAGGATCCCTAACTAATCATGTAGAATGTGTAAAAATATTAAAGAAAGATGATGGTAATGGAAATCAAGTTGTTTGTGGTGCAAGGGTTAAAGATGTAGAAACTGGTAATGTAGAAATTATATTATTTGTAAAGAAATCTAAATTCATAATCTGGTTAATATGATGAATTACCCAGACCGGACTGTAATGGGAACCATGGTGACTCAGTGAGTAAGGCACTGGCTTGCTAACTAGGAGGTCTTGGATTCTCTCACAGAGTTGGCCGAGAAAGTTCCTCAGGATTTTACGGGATTGTTTCCCCTTGCTAGGAGTGCCTGGCAGGGACAGTGTCTAGTCGTTTGGATGGAATTGAAAACCCAGGCTCCATATACACATTTGTGTGTACGTAAAAGAATTTGAAATAGGAGGTCACGTTAGGGATCATGAAGTGACTTTTAACCCTAAGGTGTCAGACATTTGATTAACCAATCAGCGTTGATGTTTTCTAGTGGGTAAAGACAAGTAAAACGAAATTTTGAAATATAAGAAACGAAGTGAAATGAAATCGGATCTGCATTTTAATTAGATTGCATTCAAAATTCAACTTTGGTCATTGCAATTTTTTAAAATATGTTATTCATTATCTATTAAAGAAAAGTTTTCCCAATGCACAATCTATATTTCAAATCATTTTATTGTGCTCTTCAGAATACCCGATGTCACTTATTGATTTAATTTTTGTTGAATTATTGTTAATTTAGGAAAAGAATGGGATATTAAGGCTAAATGTGTTATAAATGCTACTGGACCATACACTGATGCTATACGAACAATGGCTGATCCTAACAAGAAGAAGATCTGTCAACCTAGTTCAGGTGTTCATATAGTTCTACCTGATTATTACAGGTGGGTAGTCTTTACTTTATTGTTAGAGGTAGGGTAGGTAGTCTTTATCTGATTATTACAGGTGGGTAGTCTTTACCCATTATTACAGGTAGGGGTAGGTAGTCTTTACCTGATTATTACAGGTGGGTATTCTTAAAACTAGTTTACTCTTTTTAGTGCCTCTCATCTATTTATTTCCCAGCTCTAAAAGGTCTGAGTCTGAACTCGCCCGCTATAAATTACTAAGATTGAAACATACTGGGAGCTGACGTGGCTCAGTGAATAACACGCTGGCTCAATAACCAGAAGGTCTTGGTGTTGACCGTGATAGTTTCTCATTATTTTTCTTCGTGGTTTCCCCTTGTCAGTGGTGCAGGACAGAGGGCTTGGCAAGGAAAATGTCTAGTCATCCAGATAGTGTGAAAAATCTAGGTCCCATGTACACATTGGCATGCACGTAAAAGAACCCTTGACTGTGAAGGCAAAATTTCCCTCATAGCCCACTAGAGCATGGCATTTGCAGAAAAGTAGGACATTAAACCCCATTTCATTCATTCAACGCTTTGTTTATTTAAGGAATTATCATAATAAATAATTGATATATTTATGTTTTAGTCCAGAAAGTATGGGTTTATTGGATCCTGCTACTAGTGATGGTCGTGTTATTTTCTTTCTACCCTGGCAAAAAGTTACATTAGCAGGTAATAAATAACACAGATTAATGGTTTAAAAAGAAGTTTCAAAATTTTAATCTAAATTCAAAATGTGATTTGCCTCCCTTGGATTGTATTCGATGAGAATAATCGTTAACTTCGTCCTGTCCGCACTTTATTGTAACAACCTGACATAATTAAAACCACTATCAAAATTCCAATCTGATTAAAATGCTGATCTATATTTCGTTTCGTTTTTTATACGGTCACATTTTCATGTTGACGTATATTGTAGTCACCCCTCTCGGTCCGTCTGCCCATCTACAATTTGTTTGTGAACACTCTACAGGTCACAATTTAGGTCTATCTTCCAAAATCTCGATTCCTTTCGATATTGGCATATATCGGACCATAACTTCATGGATTATGACCCCTGATTGTATGAAAAATCACATTTTTAGCTTGTGGACCCTTGACTTTAAATGCATGCTCATAACCCAAAGATCTTGGTTCCTTTCGATATTTGCACATATCCTATCATAACTTTCTGAATTTTTTCCCCTGAATGTACGAAAAATCGCGTTTTTAGCTTTAGGTCCCTTTAGAGCTCACAATTATTATCCGATTTATGAAACCGTTTGAATATATCACCATTATACTGTAATGATGCCTGAGCTTAAATTTCGTGAAAATCGGACCAAAACTGATGTACATAATGGCCGCCCCTTGTATGCAAATAGTGTAAAAATGTGGTATATCAAAGTTGTGAACCCTCTAGAGGTCATAATTTTGATCTGATTTTTTGCTGTTTAGTATACTTAATATTGGAGTTGATTGTCTGGGTAAGTTTATTAATGTCTAGTTAATAATTTGTATAACATTTAAGGCCTAAAGAAAGTTCAGCAATAAGCAGATTTAGCTCTTACATAATGCCTGTTTAAAGAATAGATTGATAATGTTTGAAATGTTTATTTTACTAGGTACAACTGATAGTCCCTGTGATGTAACAGATTATCCACAACCTACAGAAAAAGAAATACAGTTTATTTTAAATGAAGTGCGTAATTATCTTAATCCTGATGTTGAAGGTAAACAACTTACTGTATATCTATGCTTCACCAATTCGATTAAAACACAGATCCTATTTCGTTTCGTTTTTTTATAGTTCGAAATTTCGTTTTTCTTGTCATCACAACACTAGGATCTGGAAGAATAGTTATATAACAGGCGTTCTAGCCACTCACCGTGTGTAGGGCGTAATATAACGCCTTGGAGGTATTTTCCCAAACCTATTCTTCGAACATACGATCGCAGCTTGTGTAGGACGTTATATTACGCCTGGTCGAGGAAATCTAATTGAAGGGAGACAACTCTATTTACCGTTAGTTTTAATATGGTTTCAGACTACTATCGTTTGTATTCAGGAATAAAAAGGTCCAAAAATGACGTTTTTCGTCAAATTAATTACACAATAGGGGGTAGTTAACGTTTTAAAAACTACACACTTAACAGGCTAGTTGATGTGAGGAATTAGTCAATGAAACGGTCTGTTATGGCGGGTTCTTTGTGTGCTATTCACGGAACTGTGGGTAAAACCCCCTAGAAACGTCAACGCTGATTGATTAATCAATGTCTGACGTCATAGGGTCAAAAGCCAATCGAAGGAACCCTTATGCGCCCTTGCAGTACAACTGGTCAGATGTAGTGTAGTAGGCCATCGAAAGTATAAAAAAAAAACAAAACGAAATATAGATCTGTATTTTAATCAGATTTTTCTCCACCAATTTATTTTCTGTTCTTTTGTAACACCTGGGTTTGGATGGCCGAATGGTTAGCATGTGTGCATTGTATCATAAGGTCTGTCATTGAGTCAACTGGCGTGGTTTCGATTCCCCGGTTGTATGTAACAAGGAGTAGGGTTGTCTGCTCAACCTCGTGGGTTTTCTCCAGGTCTTCCAGTTTCCTCTCTCTCTCTCTCTCTCCCTCTCTCTCTTTCTCTCTCTTTCTTTCTTTCTGTGCGTGTAAAGTTGAGCATCAGATAAAAGTAACAGCTTACCAGCTGTTCAAAAGCTTTCAGTTCCAAATTTTTAAGTTTTGAAATGTTAACAAAACATCTTGCATGTGATTCAAGTGGCTAGTTATTTATCAAAGCGCTGAAGAACAGAAAATTAAGTTGGTTTGGCTTAAGGGGAGGGGGGGGGCGAGTGGTCTAATCCATGCACTTTAGATAATAAGGTCTGTTGTTAAGTCAAGTGGTATCTTTTTGATTCCCAAGCTTGTATGTGACAAGGCGTAAAATCCTCCAGTTTTCTCCCACTCCTAAAACAATCAAATAATATTGACAGTCCCGGAATGCCCTACCATTTTTGTCCTAATACACCTAACTTGAGTCCCGATGTACCCTTGTTGAGTTGAATCCTGATACATTCTAGTTGAGTTGAGTCTTGATACACCCTAGTTGAGTTGAGTCCTGATACATCCTAGTTGAGTTGATACCTGCTACACTCTAGTTGAGTTGAGTCCTGATGCACTCTAGTTGAGTTGAGTCCTGATACACCCTAGTTGAATTGAGTCCTGATACACCCTAGTTGAGTTGAGTCCTGATACACTCTATTTGAGTTGATTGCAGATACACCCTATTTGAGTTGATTCCTGATACACCCTAGTTGAGTTGAGTCCTGATACACCCTAGTTGAGTTGAGTCCTGATACACCCTAGTTGAGTTGAGTCCTGATACACCCTAGTTGAGTCCTGATACACCCTAGTTGAGTTGAGTCCTGATACACCCTAGTTAAGTTGAGTCCTGATACACCCTAGTTGAGTTGAGTCCTGATACACATTAGTTGAGTTGAGTCCTGATACACCCTAGTTGAGTTGAGTCCTGATACACCCTAGTTGAGTTGAGTCCTGATACACCCTAGTTGAGTTGAGTCCCACACTTGTTTCTTTCTAACCCTTATATAAGTTTTCTTTCATCAAAATTGATGAACTATTTCAGTGTGCATTTGATTGAATTGAATTTTATTATATCACAAGCAACTGGTTTCCCATACTGATCAATATGATTTTCCTCTATGGTTCCCCCTTGTCAGTGGTGCAGGACAGGGGACCTGGCAAGGCACAATTTCATTCACATCACTCTGTATGGTGTATGCCCGTCTCCATTAACCCTGTAGGAGCAGAACAGTAGGATTAAACCTCATTTCATTTCTTTTTTGTTTAATATAATAGTATTTTGTAATGTTTAATTCCAGTACGACGTGGTGATGTATTATCAGCTTGGAGTGGTATGAGACCACTAGTTGCAGATCCTAATAAAAGTGATACACAATCTATAGCTAGAAATCATATAATAGAAGTTACAGCAGATAAACTTATAACTATAGCAGGTATTTTATACGTATGACCAGAAAGGGTCTAATTAAAGTAGTATATAGCACAGAATCTCCCTTGTTTCTATAGCAGGTATTTTATACGTATGACCAGAAAGGGTCTAATAAGACTAGGATGTAAAGCTGTGGTCTGGGCAGAATCTCCCTCATAACTATATAGCAGGTATTTCAAATGTATAACAAGAAATATTTTTGTCTTCTAAAGAGTCCAATAAAAATATGCCGTAGCGCGGCTGTCGACTATAATTTACATTGTTACCGTTATGTTTAGTTTTATCTTTCCGCCATTTTTAATACGAAACTAATTTTATGTGTAAAAATGCAAAACTAGCATTTGGATGATAACTATTACATTTTCATGCATGCCTGATCAACAGGATTCTATGTCTACTCTTATATCAAATTCCAACTTTCAAGGTATCTTTTACACATGACCTCATAGCACACTGTATGGCGTATGCCTGTCTTCATTAGCCCAGTAGGAGCAGAACAGTAGGACGTTAAACCCCATTTCATTTCATTTCATTTTCTGTGCCAACTGGGCTAATGAAGATGGGAAGAGATCAGGGGTTGATATGTTATCAATTGCTATTGTCAGGTGGTAAATGGACAACATATCGTCACATGGCAGAAGAAACGATAGATAAAGCTGTAGAAGTGTGTAATTTAAAACCTGTCAGAGATTGCTGTACTACTGGTTTACTACTAGATGGCGCTCATAGCTGGAGTCCTACAAAGTTTATACGACTGGTACAAGATTTTGGTTTAGAGAATGAAGTAAGTGTAATTAAAGTCCCATTGTGTTATTCTGATGCAGACTGCACCATTGTGGCGTAACAGGAATCCGTTGCAGACTGCACCATTTTGTCGCTACAGGAATCCCTTGCCTACTGCACCATCTTGAAAGATGAATATCTAATAGGGATATATGTCCCAAAAGGGTTCAACTGAAATTGATGTTGAACTGAAATTTCACTGATCTATGCTGCTCGCTATGTAATGAGCCCACCGCCGTTTTGTTGGCCGCAAAAATTTAATGATTGAGCCTTGAGAAATTTGATATTTTAGCCAAAAATACATATGACGCATCACTTTAAAGCAGTTCTTCTCAACCTTTTTTGCCAACGGCACTCCTTGGAACACATGAACAAAATAGGGGCACATCTGGCTAAATATATGTGAAAAATATTTGAATTTTGCAAAATAAAAATATGGCAAGTCATAGACGGCATACAACTGTAGGCACAGACTAGTCATAGACACATAGAATGACATAAACTAAATAAAGAAAAACACATCTATGAACCCTATCAGTGAATACTCAATCAGGATCACTGCTTTAATTGAAGTGTCGTGGTTTATACAGACATTTGAAAATAATATGGATGTTTGAAAAATATTTACCTGATATAAAGAACATTGAAGTATACATGATACTTGACATTCGTAGACTATATTTAGATTACCAGTTGTGACAACATCTATTGAAGATTATATTGGTTTAATTTTTCAATTTGCATTTTTATAAACTATTTCATTCAGATAGACAGACGTCTGTTTAAATTATTTGAGCGGCATTTTAGTAATTGGATGAGAATAACACATGACACAATTATATTATATGGAATACAAGTTACTTGAAAGATTTATTTCTGGCGACGTTTCGATCGCACCGTCTGCATGAATTATTACTAGTATTTTTGACCTGTTTTAAAGAATATTAGTTTACCTATCGCATTCACATAAAACTGAATTTGGATTTGTTTCTAGTGGTGTAGAATTCTGCGTATGAAATATTCTCAAGAATCCATCCCCATTGTTCGACTGGAGAGCAGGCAGTGGACTGGTTAAGCATGACTAATTTTCAAATATGTACATGTTCATTTTAAATTGATATAACTAATTAAATAGCTCTTGCATAATATTTAAGGATTTCTGTACGAAGATATTTTTCTTTTTTTTTTTTAGGTAGCCCAACATTTATCTAATACATATGGTGATAGAGCCTACAAGGTTGCTAAGTTGGCTAATTTAACAGGTAAAAGATGGCCGATAGTAGGTCAAAGATTACATGATGAATTCCCTTACATCGAGGCTGAGGTATGTTCATTCAGAAATCAGAGGCAGCCCTACTTATGTTACATATTTTTATTGTAGGGTTATGTGGGGGTTGGATGGCCGAATGGTTAGCGCTGTATCATAATGTCTGTCATTGAGTCTCTCTCTCTCTCTCTCTCTCTCTCTCTCTCTGGGAAGGGAAGCAGTCCAAATTGGGAGGAGGAGGAGCTATTTTATTCTAATGCTTGATAAAGAGAATTCAATCTGACTATCTTATTCCCTGTGGGCTTAGAAAATAAGGAACTAAAGACCCCTACGCACAGGTGAATTATTTAGTCATGTGTTAGTCCCTTAGCGCCTAGTTCGTGTCGAGTGGACGTTAAACCCCATCTCTCTCTCTATCTCTTCTATATATGTAATATATGTAGATATATCATTTATCTGTGTTGTGAACTAGGTGAGGTATGCGTGTAGAGAATATGCTCTATCTGCTATAGATGTAATAGGACGAAGAACACGGTTATCATTCTGTAATGTACTAGCAGCAGATGAATCTCTACCTAGAATAATAGAAATAATGTCACTTGAACTCGGTTGGAACAAAACTCGACAGAAGGTAATACATGTTTTTCAAAGTATTTACATTTAAATGATATGTCATGTCGGATAATAATTGAACCATTTTAAATCGAAATGGATTCACTCTTAAGAAGTTTGCAGCGAATGGCTATACAATTTCATAATATTTAGTCCCGAAGGGTCCCCACATTCTTTATATTTATATATTTAAGTGAAACATTATTTGAAAAGAATGTTCAGTGATTTTCAATCCAGATGTCAAAATAGTGTCAACTGAAAAACAGGTCCTGTGAAGACATTGAGAATGTAAAGTCCTTTTTTGAAGCCCCAAATTAACATATTGGACTGTATGATTGTCACCTCAGTGTCCAGTATTGAGTGATTACTTCATAAGCTCTATTAACCCTTTCACTGCGTATACCCGGTAGTACCGGGTATTATAAAATGTCGGTAAAATGCGTGTACCCGGTATTACCGTGTACTCAGTAAAGCCCTCGATAAAATTAGTACCGTAACTGCAAGTGCCATCTATTGTATTTTCTATACACTAGAACATATTTCCACGTGTTTCAAAGCGGCAAACCGTAAAATGGCGGAGTGCATAGTGACAACGTAGACGATGCACTCTCGACGAAGTCGTGAATGACGTCTTGCTGACCAACACGTGGACAATTTCGAGGCGGGTGATACACATAATTCGTTTCCAGTTACTTGATAATGATAGTAGTCAGGACAGTGATTGGTATTATGAAGTGTGTGATTTGTTGCGCGACGTTCCGCCCATGGCTAGCTATGTCTCCCGTGCATGACGAACAAGCCCAATGTGAACACGATAGCCCTGTGTCTGCAGTAGATTCTGACAATAATTCTGATGTTGATAATAATGCTGGCCTGCTGGATCATAAAAGACGTAGGCAATTCCTGAGTCCCGAACGTGTAGATCTATTGACTGACTATATTGATAATGATATGGGACTTGGGGATGAAAGTGAAAGTGAAAGTAAAAACATGGTATTGCAATCCGCACGTGGTCATGGCAGCGGGAGACGTGATGCGCGTGTTCGTGCGCGGCATTGCTCATGACTGCTATTGATATTTTTGTTCATTTTATATATCTTTATCAAAATCCAGTGAAAAAAACAATATCTTTTAAGTATTTCATGGAGAAAAATTCGTTTTCGTGTTAGCTTTAGTGAGAAATGAGAAATCCAAAATGGCCGCCATGACGTCACGTGACTACATTATTATGCAAATTTCCAACATTCTATTTTTTCCTCTTAGCCCAACCTCATGCCCATCCCAACAGACAAAAAGATTTTTCATAAAAGCTTCCATAAGTACTGCTTGGCATTCAGTTCCAACCTCCCTTTTTTCCTCAAAAAAGGGTCTAGCACAGGCAGTGGATTTACGTCTAGCATTGAAAGGGTTAATACAAGCACAATATACTGATAAAATAAAGATAAAAACACAATAACCATCAATGTGGAATACAGTCACTGATCTGTTGGGTTGCCGAATGGTTAATGTATGTGCGTTGGATCAGAAGGTCTGTCAGTGAGTCAAGTGGTGTGGTTCGACCCCCCCTTATATGCAACAAGGAGTAGGGTTGCTTGTCCAACTTCATTGGTTTTCTAAGGATACTCCAGCTTCCTCCATACATGCAAGCGAATTTTAAAAGAAAAAGTGAACCATATGTTAGTCCCGAAATGACCTAGTTTGTGTCAAGTGGAAGTTATATACCATTTCTCTCTCTTTGTAATATAGCATGATGTTCCGACAAGTTTTCTGTTATTATTTTAATGGTTACTGATGAAATACAATCATTGATTTGTTATCCATATAGCACTTAATGTTTCCGACAAGTGTTGTCTTATCGTTGTCATGGTTATTGTGTCTTAATTCTGCTCAATCGCTTAATTCATCTCAAGGATTATAAAGATCATTATTCCCTGATTTTGTTACTGGGAAATCTGTTTTTATTATAATCCGTATGATTTAACTACATATAAATAGTTTTGTACTTATTTTAGGAAGAGCTAGAGAAGGCTAGACGATTTCTTCGACGTGAAATGGGATTAGATATTAAGAAAGCCAGCGAAAGTATAGCACCAATTAACTTCAGTAAAGATGAGATAAATATGTATGTGAAACGATTCAAGTCGTTAGACAGCGATAATAAAGGTTATATCACAATTAATGATCTCCGCAGATATTTCAAGGTAAAGTATATTTACTCTTGGATAGAGCTGGAAATGAGAGGTGGTTTATTCATATTCATAACTTTGCACTGTCCAACCTGATGGATTTTCTCCGGGTCCTCCGGTTTCCTCCCACTTGTAAAGACCCCTAAGCGCAAGCGAATTATTAAAATAAAATTAAACCACAGATCTACAGCAACTGCTACTCTTTTGAGGGAGTGATGCTGCCACCATCTATTCCTATTTTAGGATATATTTGGACTCCTTTTCGTTTCACGTTGAAAGACATACTGTAAAATAGAGAAATGAATGTTTGGCGGTAAGCTCATGTGTTCAAAGAGTATCCAGCAATTCTTCCTGTTTGTGAAACTGCTGCTGATTTTTTTATGATTATTCCTAACACAGTTGTACTCTATTGACACTTTAAGGGATGCTATACCAGTCAATGACAGATTCTGATATAATATCTTTAAATCTTGGTATGTGAAGTTGTAGTGCCGATGTCCACTCCATTTGCTCCTCTAAAAGCATGGCATAAGATCACAGAAGTACACGATAACCGAAGTGAGAAGATGTCCTGTGAATAAACAAAGTCGATAATGGATGGGATATCTTCTTTATTCACAATTACCACTGTGTATCTGGGATCCAATAGCATTTTGTCTGCGGTGAAATCCCCTTCTGTGCATCTGTTGATTTGAATGGGATATCCGAGTGTTCATTGAAATCCCCCTCTCTGCAGCTGTTGATGAGAATGGGTAGCCTGAACGTTCGGCGAAATCCCCCTCACCGCAGCTGTTGAGGAGAAAGGGTTGTCTGTGTCTTCAGTGAAATCCCCCTCTGTGCAGTTGTTGATGAGAATGGGTTACCTGAATGTTCGGTGAAACCCCCCTCAATGATATCCCTCTGTGCAGCTGTTCATGAGAATGGGTTGTCTGAATGTTTGGTGAAACCATCCTCTGTGCAGCTGGTGATGAGAATGGGGTGTCTGACTTCAGTGAAATCCCCTCTCTGCAGCTGGTGCGGCTGTTGATGAAAATGGGTTGCCTGGATGTTCGGCAAAATCCCTCTCTGTGCAGCTGTTTATAGACTCTAGTTAAACCCCATTCTGTTAAAGACAATTATTAGATGAGTTAATCAGAAGTTGTCTTTCATTTTCCAGTCTATATAAACATTAAAATATAAACTTGTTTTGTTTTGTTTAGGTTGGTGGTTGGACATCCTATTACAAAAATATTTTTTTTAATAAGAATGTAAGGGTTATTGCACTATGAATGGAGTTCTGATTACCATAAGCTTAAATGAATTTAATAGAGTACCAGGAGAATTGGTTTATTATAAAGTTACACCCCTAGGATAGAGTTTTGTTAATGACAACTTTATTGTATGAATACTGTTGGATAAAATGACAGATTGTGTATATGACACCCGTAATTTCAAAACTAACAAGAAGCATCAAGATCACTCCTAGTTCTTTAGAGCATGTGAAGTGTGAAGGTTTGGCACTTGACAGATCTATTTTATCAAACCCATGTAAGCCCTTGCTAGTTTGTTGTACTGGGTGAGTGACAGTTAAAACAGTGTATAACACATATTCCTGAAACAACAACTGCATGTTTTACAACATCTGGACGTTGATAGATTGCTTTACGATTCCCGAACTTATAGCTACGTTATCTCCATTTACTGCACATGCAAACAGAGATTGTGACACAAACACACTCAAATCAAATAAACCTTGAACTTTGCAACGCGATTATCACATGTAGACATTTTAACTGGAAAGCACAAGACTTGGTATTTGCGATGATCGAGGAATCTGATAGGCTCTCATACAGGGTGAATACCCAATCGGAATTAGTGCCGAATATCCAAGGTATTACATAAAGGCCTTGATAAGATGTACAAAGTTAAAGCGCAGGAAATATAAATGATTTGCCTTTATCTACACAGATGTAACAAACTAGCAAGGGAATTTATGGGTCATTCAAGCATGTGTAAATACATTTGGAGATGCTCCATCTTTTGTAATTTTACTCTGCTTGCAATTGTGTCTCAGGACAAAAACAGACCTACTTAAAGACTTATTATGCATTTTTTTAAAGACATAACTTCTTAAATTATTTAAAAATTATTTTGAATTTTACAGAAAAGAGAGGTCAGATATTTATTAATGTGATTTTCTGTAGATTTGGATTAGATTTGTTTCAGGATCTCTCTTTAATAGCACAATTTCATTGGGTCTACATTTAACCTAGGATGACACAGTTTTACAAAATTAGAATTTTCTTTTAAAAAATGAGGCAAAGTTGACAAATTAATTTGATTGGTCGCCCAATATATGGTATCACTGTGCATAGTCTATTATAGATATCACAAAACTAAATAAAAAGAAATCATGTCAACTTTTATTTTGATTGAAAAACAGACAATTCTTTTTTTAAATTTGCCTTTCATCATGTTACAGGAGCCTCCCAGATTTTAGGATATGTTCACTAGTACACATTGGTTACGATTTTCTCTGATCATTGGTATAACCTCCTGGGTTAATTAGATGTATTGATTCATCTAGAGTTACTTAATGGCTTTATTTTATTACATTAAAGTCCTGATACTCCATTTTCCGTTCAGTACATACCAGGGCTTCCACTTTAAAATCTTTACTATCGGTCATTTATGATAACGCACGAAAATTCTGCAAATTAAATTCATATTTCATGGTTTTTTATTTATGGTAAGGTATCGTATATTCTCGTGTCTTTACCACTTTGTCAGCATGGTGTACACAAAAAATTATATAGCCCTCGGTCTAGACTGGCATATACGTCCGACATGGAACCCTTGGTATATACAAAGATATGTGGAATTGAAATTTCATCGATGAGTGCTGATTGTTATGCAGTAAGCTCAGTTCATCTCAAGGTCACTGAGGTGTAAATAAGGTTAGGGCAGGTGATTGTTGGCGAGATTGTAGGTTAGGGTTAGGGTAAGCATTAGCGCTAGGTCCTGGGTTAAGGTTATGGAGCATAAGGACTTATAACTCCAGTAATGATATATATTCCTATATGATATGAATAGAGATATCTGATGGCCTGCAGATATTGAGACATAGCACAGACATTGGTCAAAATTTTTTAAAGATTCGCATTAAATCACAATAGTTGAACTGGATTGGATAAAGCTATTTATGAGTATTACACAGAATCACTAACATAACCTTGTATCTGGAGTGGCTCCTTCAAAATCAATTTTGATTGTTTACAGTATTGGTACCTCATTTTTTAAAGGGCGATCTTTCTATGTATGTGGGGTTCTTTTTTAAAACAAAAATAAAACTAGAGAATGCTCTGATGTGATCTATGTAACATTTACTATACTAGACTTTTAACACACCAATCAATTTTAAGTTTGTTTTTTTTTTCTTTATATGATATTAATGAATAACGACCTATTTCTCAAAAGCCTATTTATGTAGTATACTATTCAAAAAAAGTAGGGGATATTTGATTTTTAAGTGTTATTAAAGTCACCTAATGAAACTGACGAAGAAACAAATGACAATCTGAAATGAAGTTCACATTCATCGATTTATTCCAAATGATCGTTAGACTAAGTAAGGCACAGACTGACCATTATAAGGGTAAAATGATACCCGGGGTCAAACAGCAAAGTTACCACAGCATCACAACCAAGTCAGTAACGGGTAAATCCTCCTCTGTTTGCCAAACAAGCATTGATCCGACGTGGCATACTCCTAATGAGACGTCTAAGGTCATTTTGGTCCAGATTGTCCCATTCCTGTTGCAACGCAGCAGCAAGTTCTTGGACATTGGCAGGACGTTGTTGACGTTGACGTAACCTCTGTCCAAGCATGTCCCAGACATGCTCGATGGAGGAGAGGTCGGGACTCAGTGCTGGCCAAGGTAATGTGGTGATGTTCTGTTGTTGGAGGTAACCTGTAACGATCCTGGTCCTGTGACATCTTGCGTTGTCATCCTGGAAGATGAAACGGCGGCCATGACGTCGTGCGAACGGCACAACATGGACTGCCAAGATGTTGTCCCGGTAGTACTGGCCTGTAACACGCCCTGCAACAACATGTAAAGCCGTTCTTCCAGCAACAGTGATGCCTCCCCACACCATAACAGAACCACCCCCAAATCGATCATGTCTGATGACGTTAACGTCTTGGAAGCGCTTGTTTCGACGACGCCACACCCTCCTACGTCTGTCCAAAAAATCAACAGTGAACCTTGACTCATCTGAAAACATCACATTGCTCCAGCGTCGATTATCCCAGTGTTGACGATCCCTACACCAACGACGTCTTGCCTGAATGTGATGATCTCTCAAACAAGGGATTACGCGAGGACGTCGGGCGCGAAGGTGACCCCTATGCAGTCGATTCCTGGCCTGGCCACTCACTCTCACACCAGTGTCTGTTTGAAGACGAGCGCTGATCTGATTTGCTGTGATGACACGATTTCTGAAGGCCAAGGTACGGATAAATCGATCCTGGGCTTGAGTTGTCGCCCTTGGTCGACCTGAGCGTGGTCTGTCCTGTACAGATTGTGTATCACGGTATCTGGACCATAGCCTGCTTATGACAGACTGAGAAACATTCATCGTCCGCGCCACAACCGCCTGTGTTGTGCCGATCTGTAGCATGCCAAGGGCACGTAACCTTTCATTTTGGGTAAGCTGACGCATATCAAAATTTTTTTTCTGGTCACTAAAACAATTAAACTGATGTTTCCACCCTGGAATTCAATGCCACAATGACTGTAACATTCAAAGTCAGAGTCGTGCAAATCTTGGGTTGGACCCCCATGATGATCCCAAGCATCACCTGCATTCCATGCGGTAGCTATTGGTGCGTTTGGGCGTCACATGTAACTGGAAATGTTTCTTCTGTTAGGTTCTATAGTGACTTTTTTCGTAGTCATTTGCATATTTTAGTATTATGCCCCCAAAATCAAATATCCCCTACTTTTTTTGAATAGTATAGAATACAAAATGTACACTATGCAGAATTTGTAACGGGAATGTTGTCTTCCAGCCTACAGGATTCTTGCAGTCAATACATTATATTAATCGTAAAATTATTTGAGCACGCTTTTACTCATGAAATTATTTAAGCAGTCTTGTACTCCTAAAATTTTTTTCAACTCGTAACTCGTAAAATTATTTCAATGAAGGCCATGGTGGATGTCCGAAAAAATTCCTTCGTAGCACAATAATATGGCATTGTCTGTCTTCATTTGCAGGGGGGGGGGGGGGTGTCTAGTGGGGGTAGGGGTTGTTTCATTGAGTCAAGTGGCCTGGTTTTCGATTCCCCACTTGTGCGTGACAAGGAAAGGGTCGTCTGTCCCACCGTTGTGGGTTTTATTCAGGTCCTCCGGTTTCCTCCCATTGCTAAAGACCACTAGGCGCAAGCGAATTATTGAAATAAAACTGAACCATGTGTTAGTCCCAAAATGTCCTGGTTTGTGTCAAGTGGACGTTAAACTCAATTTCTATCTTTCTCTCTCTCCATTCACAATTTTATATTGCAGTATAGTTTGTAGGCATTGTTTCTATGCATTTAATATTAGGCTTTTGAAAAATAGGCCCAGGTAACATATAATACAAGATCTATTGGATAAAAGTAACACCTGTACAAAAATCTTGGGGTTTTTTTTACCTTAATTCTATAAATCACAACAGAAAGGTGTACTAATCTTCATGATATAAAACAACAATTTGTTATTAGCAGTTCTTACAACGGAAAGAATTTTTGTAATCGATAACTTTTGATCACTTACAAAATTTTAAAATTATTGTATTGTGTTCCCTTCAAATGGTTACAGCTAATAGATAGCAACAAATTTATCATTCCAGAAATAAAGAACAACAGTTTCTGTAAATGTTGTGATCTCTGCACTGAATGTGTTCACTACAGTATAAACTATAGCTGGTGGAATGTGCCCCACTGTCGCAAATAGTTTAAATAGGCCTTAACAAAAAAAGGGGGGGGTGAGGTAACTGCCAAATTTGGTGACCTTGAGATATGTTACTACTGAATTTAGAGTTATTTAGGGGGTGCCTGATTGTCAGTCTGGAACGTCCCGATTTGACAGAATTGCAATCGAGTAACACAGAATTCAGTTCTATCACAGTTCTGTCAGTCCCGACAACGGAGGTGGCATGAGTAGAATCGTGATGTAATTAAACACAACGAATATGTTTCGGCTGCATGGTTGGTTGAGATATTTACTTATTCAATCGACGCATGCGTTGTGGGCTGTAGCCCAAAATCCATCTTTTCACTCGATTGTCACTATTTTGGGATTGAGAGAATTCTATTCCGGAATGTTCAATCGAGTACCCCCTTAGACTCTAGTGCAATGAAAAATTCAAAAATATGGTGTAAATTATGTTTCAAAATATAATTGGCAAAAGAATTAGTGTAAATTCTGTCTTTATGTACATCATAATTATAGTGTTAATAAAGATATCCTGATTGACGTAACCAGACACTGGGCCTGATGCACTTGGACAAATTAATCGTGAGAATGGGCTTTGATTGGAATAAAAATGCAAAACCATGGTTTAGTTGTGCTACATTTGGGCTGTTTTCAACTCAATTTCATCCTTTGTATCCATGGCAAATTGCATGTAACACCTGTCTGTAGTCCTTTAAATCACTAACATATATAGCTAACTTGACAAAACTTTATAAGCTTATGGTATTCTACTGTTGAGGATCTAGAAACTGTAACAATAAAACAGTAAATAATGAAATAATTTATTTAGGGATCGTCAGAAAATTTCAACACTTGTGTCCAATCGAATAACCCATAGATAGATCTTGGAACTCCCACCTACCTGCCCATGCAGGCCTAAGGAGTAAAAAAACGTTGGTACAGAAGGATTTTGATGCTAGTCTAAGACCAAATAACCGAAATTTAATTTATCATTTTCTATCAGAACCACAGTGAGTAAGATGCTGGCTCGCTAGCCTGAGGTTCCGTGTACACATTGGCATGCACGTAAAAGATCCCTTGGCAGTTGAAATTTGATGTAAGAGTAGGCCATAGCACCACTATTCGGGCAAAATTTCTGTCATAGCACACTGTATATCACGTATGTCCATCATCATTAGCCCAGTCGGTGCAGAACAGTAGGACATGAAACCCCATTTAATTTAATTTCGTTAGGACCTGATTGTTGAAATTTTGCGACTAGTGTCGTCTTGACTCGTTTTAACACTATGTAGTGAATGTATGTATTAAAAAAAATAAAAGAATAAAAATAAGAATCGTGCTTTTCTAATATTAAATCATTAAACGAAGGTGTGCATTATTAAAAATTACTAATGAACATGTGACAAAGTATTACAGATTATATTAAATTTACAAATAAAAAGTAAATATAAAAATTTAATGTTACTAAAGTATTAATTACTGTTGTAATGTAAAACTGAGAATGTATATTAATTGTAATACATGAATGTTCTACATGTATCTGTTATCTAAAATGAATAATAAAATTCTAATATTTATACAGTGCATTTTTAATACTGATTTTATAATCTTTTATTTTATAGTAGCATTTGAATGTTATCTGTGTTTATTACTACATTATTTTAACAATAAGCTTATTCAAACATAGAAGTAATAGCTTGGATAAATTGATGAAGGAATCTAAATATAGCTTATTTTATTATGTTTTTTTTATTATAGAAAATTGGTGAAAAAGTAACAGAGGACCAGTTACATGAAATATTAAATGAAGTAGATTTAAACCGAAATGCTCAAGTAGATTTAGGAGAATTCTTACAGGTAAATTTAGGAGAATTCTGACAGGTAAATTAACTCAGCTAGATTTAGGAGAATTTGTACAGGTAAATTAACTCTAGTATATTTTGGAGAATTCGTACAGGCAAATTAGCTCAACTAGATTTGACAGAATTCGTACAGGTAAATTAACTCAGGTAGATAAAAGTTTCAGAATGTTTTTTTTTTTTGTACCACTTTGTATTTCCTATCTCAGTAAGAAATACATTTATATTTATTAGTTCTAGAACAACCTACTTTAATAAAATCACATTACACGGCCACATTTCATTCAATTTTTGTTTTCTTAGTATTTCTTAAATATTAAAGATTATTCAAGAGCTGAACTGCCTATTTAGGTCTTGAATGTTATATAAATTATAACTTAGCCATTTATTAACTTACCAAGACCATAATCAACTCTCTATGTCATCATATTCTCTTGATTTTCAACAGATTTAAAAAACGATTGGCAGTTAAATGAATTAATTAGACTTTGTTTACTATAGTAACAATGGTAGCAGTGACAATCGAGACAGCCCTAATGTCGCTCAGAATTAAGTAATTTGACCGAAATTTTCAAGATATTGCCTATGTGTTATCTAGTTTTTAACTATTCTAGTGAGAAGTTGAGAACTGTCAGCTCTTTATCTAAATCTTACATAATGTATTTAACATGTTAGTTGTTCAAGACATTTTGATAACAGTATCCATTTTCGAAGGAATCTGTCTAATTTTCCATATCCTGATGCAATTTTTTTCTACTATGTAAAGCAATCTTTGAGAATTAAGGCCTCAAGGTTAGGAAGTTTATTAGACAGACTACATCCGTAAATTTCCATTTTAAAACTTATTATGATCTTCAGCTACCAGTATTTCAAATTGAGCAATTTGGAATCTGTTCTCAGGGTTCACCATATCAGTTTTTACAAATCTACACTGACAATGAAATTTAAGCTTAAAGAGAGATTATCTTGGGAAAGTAAATATATATGCAAAAAATTAGTCTTAAAAAATGTGGATTGGTGTTGGTCAATTTTTAGGCATTTTAATTAGAGCGGCATTATGGAAGATTAGATAAAGAGCTGACAGTTCTCGCTATATTAGTTAAAAAATAGATTATGTAAAGGTAATATGCTGAAAATTTCAGTCAAATTACTTCAGACTTGATTGTCATTGTAACCATTGTTTCATAATAAACAAAGTCTCAATTATCCATTTTTACGGTTAATCATCAACAGCCATTGAACCGCAGATCGGATTCAAATCTATTGAAAATCGAACCCATCAGATGGCACAGAGAGTTGATTATGGTCTTTTGATGTTAATAAATGTATAATTAATAGTTTATATAACCTTTCGGTCCTAAAGAAAGACCTGCAATATGCAGATTTAGCTATGGTGTAATGTATGTTTAATTTACTAATATGTACTTATTACTTTAAATGATTTATTTTCAGTTGATGAGTGCCATCAAGACTGGTGTATTGTCCAACAGTCGTTTAGCCATGGCATCAGAATTAGCATCTGAAGCAGAGAAAATACCAGTTGAACGAAGTGGTGGGGGTGTTTAATACACTACACATGCTGATAACCAGTCTGTTCCCGGGTTCACAAAGCATCCTAATTAAAATATAGTCCTTTATAAAACTTTAGATGTTTTAATATATCAAATACATCAATAAGAAACCATGTGCAAAGTTTTATGTTTCTGGATCAAAGATATTTCTCATAAACAGTGAGAAACTTAAAGTCTGAGAATACTTTGTGAACTGGGGACCTTGTCCAACTTGTTTCTGAAGCGCTGATCATCACAACTTGCTGATCATCACCACTTGCTGGTTGAACTATCCAAGTTACCATATCAACTGTTTGTTATAAAAGTTCAAATGCTGTCCTCTGTTACCCTTTTGAGGGCTTGTGTTGCTCTCAATCAGTCACGGCTGTAAACCTGTTAATTATTCACTGAATGTCCAAATCAATATCGCACACAATTTAAGTCCGTTGAATAAGGGTTAGGGCCAGATACTCCAGTTAATTTACGGAAATCTCTGAAGTTTAAACGATTTGATTGTAGACCTTATTAGCTTAATATTGTAATACTGTAGGTAGTCTATTCCAGTCAAGTTAGGTAGTCTATTCCAGTTGGGATGATCAGTACATCAGAAACAAGTTTTACCACTAAATATATGTTTTATTAGGCCCACATACATAATATCATTCTGTCATATTTATTGTAATCTTCCCCGACAATCCTACATAAAATTATCACTGTATTGTGACCTCTTTTGAGCACCATACATAGTACATATTTTTTTTTTTGATATTTATTTTATTTAGTTGATATTATACATATTCCATAAAATTTTCTACAAAAAATAAAAGATGAGATCTGATATGATAAGATTTGGAAACATTGTGCCATATAGTTCATTATATGATACTTGCATATTCAGCAATCTGGATTAAGAAAATGATATTTGAACTAAAATATTTTATTTGAATTAAGATTTTTGTTTGTTTTCTTTGTGAATACTTTTTTTTAGGGTCCAAATATAGCTGTGTGGTTAACCCATGAATCATCCAATATGAATTATTCCTTGTCTAGATTTTTAGATTCCATCAAGAAAAGGAATCAGAATACTTTTTAAAAAGATGTAAATTTAAATCACAAAGAAATGTTTAGGTTGTTTTTATAATCATAAATAAATATATATATATCATGAGAAATAATTTAAATCTATTTAATTCTGATCGTCAAGTTAAATCTTCATCTTTATTTGGCATCTGCAATTTCTGGCATTCAGCACTTTGAGCTAATCAAAGGCACAGTAAATATGGATCTAATCAGAACTTTGGGCTCATTCTAGTATGTGTATAACTGTAATGTTAGTATGTGTGAACATTTTCTTGTACATTTTTAGTTAAAAGCATTTCTATACCCCTCAACTTCAATCTGCTGGAATAATGATTTGAATCCATTTTATCCATTGAGTTCATATATTGTATCGATTGTACAGAAGTGTATATTTATCAAATATCTTGTATCTTTATAGAGGTATTTAAGGAACATTTTCCTACAGGGTAGATGAAAAGACTGTATTATGAAAAGTGGATGGACATTTATGGCATTTGTGTTTATATGTAACAAATGTATTACACATCTATTTAGAAAATGACTGTTAATGCAGCATTTAGTAATTGAAGACATTAAACTAAAACATAATGCTACCATGAAAGAGAATTTCGGTCAGAAATATTACCGGTATATAAGTTTTTATAATAGTTCAAACTCATTTATTTCTATGCCAGTGTGTTCGCCCCAAATATTTAATGCATTTTTCAATGCTGTCCAATCTCAGCATTAAGTGCTATAGTTATCATTCACTTTGTTTACTTTTTATATCTTATGTTTAATGATTTCCTTAAAACGTGCTATTTTATTTAAATTTTTTGTACCTAGAATTGTAAATTACTTATCATTAAACATTGGTATTTTATAGGTTCCTAATTCTGATTTAGTTATGATGTACCTTTTACATACGTTTTGTAAAAAAATATTTAATTGTTTACGCAGTATATAGGTAAAGATATCTCAAAATATCACACTATAACTTATTTGTAACAAGGTAGAATATTCCTAAACACAAATGAAAAAGAATATTCCTAAACACAAATGAAAAAGAATATTCCCAAATATAAATGAAAAAGAATATTCCCAAACACACATGAAAAAGAATATTCCCAAACACAAATGAAAAAAAAATATTCCCAAACATAAATGAAAAAGAATATTCCTAAATATAAATGAAAAAGAATATTTCTAAACACACACGAAAAAGAATATTCACAAACATAAATGAAAAAAAAATATTCCCAAACATAAATGAAAAAGAATATTCCTAAATATAAATGAAAAAGAATATTTCTAAACACACATGAAAAAGAATATTCCCAAACATAAATGAAAAAGAATATTCCCAAACACACATGAAAAAGAATATTCCCAAACACAAATGAAAAAAAAAAATTCCCAAACATAAATGAAAAAGAATATTCCTAAATATAAATGAAAAAGAATATTTCTAAACACACATGAAAAAGAATTTTCCCAAACATAAATGAAAAAGAATATTCCCAAACACACATGAAAAAGAATATTCCCAAACACAAATGAAAAAAAAATATTCCCAAACATAAATGAAAAAGAATATTCCTAAATATAAATGAAAAAGAATATTTCTAAACACACATGAAAAAGAATATTCCCAAACATAAATGAAAAAAAATATTCCCAAACACACATGTAAAAGAATATTCCCAAACACAAATGAAAAAGAATATTCCTAAACACACACAAAGAATATTTCTAAGCACAAATGAAAAAGAATACTCCTAAACACACACGAAAAAGAATATATTTCTAAGCATCAATGAAAAAGATTTTTTTTAAATTTTTTTAATTGAATATTGCATAACCAATTTGAATATATTTCAGCCTTGATTAAGCTGTGAAATATTCAATTTTGTTTTAAAAATACAAATGATATAATCAGTTTTTATGCAAATTTTGATAAAAAGTTTGGTCATGGAGGGCGTGTGCATATCTCACAGTAAAGACTGTCGTTGTTTATGGTGTTTATCGTAGATATGTTGTCTTATTTTATTATACTTAACGAACGAGCAGGTGGGGGGAAACCAGGGTACCCGAAGTAAACCCACGAGGTTGAGAAGGTACACCTATCTCTAAGCAACATACACTCACACCAGTGATTGAAAGCAAGACCACAAGCCAGAGGTGAACGACCAGCTGGAGCACGAAGTGTGACACACTAAACCACTAGCCCATCCAAACCCCCCTACAATAAAGATTCACATTTACCACTTTATATTGTTAGAGGGCGTGGCATTCTATAATCTACATTTAGGTACAAAGAGCTGACCATTCTTGCTATAATGATTCAAAAATAGATGATAAAAAAAAGAAAATATTGAAAATTTCAGTCAAATTACTTTATTCTGAACAAAGTTGTCACTTTTGGAAGTTTGGACTAGAAATAAGCATCAACTGTCTCCGAGAATTGCTGATCGTTTGATTGACAGACAATTTACAGATAATTTTCAATGGCCATGGTACCCTCGATTAGCAGGTATTTCATCGGCAGTCTCAGGTAGTGACGTCAGTGATAACGATAACGGTAAACATTAGCCTGGTCAGCCATTTATTGATTTAATTATTAAATGGACAACTGTTTAAATCCAAGCCATCGAGGGTCTACAGAGTTGATTTTGAGATTTTCATGTAAATAAAAGTCTAATTAATAATTTCTATAACATCTGGTTAGCGTGCGCGCGCTGTATCATAAAGTCTGTCATTGAGTCGACTGGCGTGGTTTCGAATCCCCGGTTGTACGTGGCAAGGAGTAGGGTCGCCTGTCCAACCTCGTGGGTTTTCTCCGGGGCCTCCGGTTTCCTCCCACTGCTAAAGACCCCTACGCGCAAGCGAATTATGTAAATAAAATTAAACCATATGTTAGTCCCGAAATGACCTAGTTTGTGTCGAGTGGACGTTAAACCCCATTTCTCTCTTTCTCTATAACATCTGAAGCTTAAACAAAGACTGGCAATAGACAGATTTAGCTCTTCACTAATTAATGTATCTTTAATATTTTTTTGTGCTATTGATTGTTTTATGTATTTGTTAATATTATATTCGATTGCTGCCAATCAATGTATTATTGTACCTTCTTAATGTTGGACCATGTGGTACGTAACAAATAGTTCTAAATATAATTATATATATATATACTGCTGTTATGTTTCAAACTTTCTTTGTAAAAACATAAATTAAAGTTTTCACAGATCACTCTTGGTTATTTAAGTGTTGGGTTTAAAAGGGCCACTTTCCATTCGAATCGGGGGTCACGGTGGCTAAGTGGGTAAGACGCTGGCTCGCTAACCTAGAGGTTGGGTATTTGATCCCTGCATTGGCCGAGAAAGTCCATCCAGATTTTCCGGCATGGTTTCCCCTTGTCAGTGATGCAGGACGGAAGGCCTGACAAGGACAGCTGTCTAGTCATTCAGATGGGATGAAAAACCAAATTTCCATGTACACATTGGCGTATACGTAAAAGATCGAAGTTGTAATTCGATTTAAGAGTAGGCCATATTGGCACTGTCCAGACATCGGTGTGCATGTAAAAGATCCCTTGACAGTTGGAATTCGATATAAGAGTAGGTCGTAGTGCCGCTGTCCGGGCAAAATTTCCCTCATGACACATGCCCGTCTTCATTAGCCCAGTAGGACGTTATAACCCCATTTCATTTTAGTTGGAATTGGAAGGTTCAGTTCCGGTGTTGCTATTTCAAAATGGTCCCAGTAGTGCGACAGGTACGGATTTGAAAATATTGGAAATAATTGAAAGAAACCCATTATAATACCTATGTGTTATACCGTACCTTTGAAAGGTCAGCAAGCCTTGCTGGACTGCGCAGCCACAAGATTAGGCAGCTGGTGACCCTACTTTTTGAGCATATCCCCCACAAAATTTCCTGGACAATGAGCACAAACAACAGTAATAATTGCATCGTAGCAATGGGTAAGAACCTCTGGGCCCATTCATGGGGTTTTCACAAATTCAGATTATCTGGGGGGGGGGGGGGGGGGAGGGTTGTATGGCTTAGTGGTTAGCACGTGCGCGCTGTATCATTAAGTCTGTCATTGAGTCAACTGGGGTGGTTTCGAATCCCCGGTTGTACGTGACAAGGAGTAGGGTCGCCTGTTCAACCTCGTGGGTTTTCTCCGGGTCCTCCAGTTTCCTCCCACTGCTAAAGACCCCTACGCGCAAGTGAATTATAGAAATAAAATTGAACCATACGTTAGTCCCGAAATGACCTAGTTTGTGTCGAGTGGACGTTAAACCCCATTTCTCTCTCTCGCTCAGATTATCTGCCCTTGATAATAGATTGCTTCTACGAACCAGTCAAATAGCAGTTCACCACAATAATCTTAGTCCCAAAAAATTGTGAGTTCCCCCCCCCCCACCTTTCGCCCACTTGATTGGTCAATTAAAATAGCAGAAATATCAAGGGCAGATAATTTGATTATGTGTCTCCCCAGTCAATGTACCGAGGGATTAGCAGAGTAGAACGGAACAATATCATTGGGAATACCGAAGATGGGGATAAAAATGGCTCATGTAATTTGGATATAGCTAGTTTTGAATGATGAATACACAGGCATACATTAAAGGCTCAATACCACTCTTGTTGTAACTGAATAATATGTCCCAATCTTTATTCTGGTCAACAAATTGTACTATTTTACAATATTCCAATTAATTGATGATACAAATTTCATCTTAACACACCTAATTTAAAAAATTGGAAAAATTCAACTAAATGAGAGAGAGAGAAAGTGAAATGGGGTTTAACGTCCACTCGACACAAACTAGGTCATTTCGGGACTAACATATGGTTTAATTTTATTTCAATAATTCGCTTGCGCATAGGGGTCTTTAGCAGTGGGAGGAAACCGGAGGACCCGGAGAAAACCCACGAGGTTGGACAGGCGACCCTACTCCTTGTCACGTACAACCGGGGATTCAAAACCACACCAGTCGACTCAATGACAGACTTTATGATAAAGCGCGCGCACGCTAACCATTCAGCCATCCAAACCCCTTCAACTAAATGATTTGAAAAGCCTGACGTAAAGCTTTTCAAATGTGACATGGATTTAAAAATATTTTTGAACCCTCTGGACAAGTAAAATAGAATTTAATGGATAATTTACACAACAGGTAAGACACTATACACATCTAGTACTTAGAATAAGGCTATTTTTTATTTTCTGGAGCTGTCAAGCCAGCAAGAGTGTTATTGTCCCTTTAAATGGCTCATGGAGTGTGGATATAGCTAGCTTTAACTGAAGAATACATAGACCTACATTTAATTTTTTAATTTTTGGGTCCCAACACGCAATAGGATGGAAAATTGAGGTCGATCCATGTTCATATTGTTATGAGAATTAAACGGAGGAATTCAAACTAGAGTAGTCAGTAACTTTAAAGATAAAGAAGACTCCCGATGCATTGCAAATGTTATCACATCAAAAAGATTATCATGTGTTACTTTCAAAGTGGCCAAATTATGACCCATTCCATTTCTAAATACTTCTGGATTAGTTTATTATTAACTAGGTACTAGTAGCAATGATAGTCTGATCTACTATCTTATATGGATAATTGGGTTAAAGTCGCAAGTTAATTGCTTGGTTTGACCTTCATTATTTTTTACAACATTAAAGTAGCTAAGTCTTTAACTTAATATCATCCACAGTCTTTGACATTGCAATCAAGACTCATTGGTCAATTTATATCATCATTGATGTTGTTATCTTACCATGAAAAGGTGGGCTTAACTGATATCCAATATTTAAGACAAAATTAAAATTTTAGAATTAGCACACAAATTTTGTACCAGAATGCTTTCGAGCGCCATTTGTAATGGAGAGACTCGTTGATAGTGGCTAATAACCATTCAATTTGGACTCCTCGCGCATTTTGTCGAACATAACTGATTAGAAATTACAGTAAAAACAGAAATGATTGAATGCAAATAAGTTTATATAATTGTACATTCATATTACATTACTATATGCGTTTCGACCCATTTGTGTCCTTCTAAGTGCTAAAGAATAGAGATTAGCTCCTTTAAATCATTGCCATGTCCAGAGTAGGCCTATTAATAACCTGGTGGTAATCCAAGCACACTTGGAAATGTGCATTTGTATAAACTTACAAATCTTTATAATCCCAGATAATTTATAACATTGATTCAATGAAATATTGATAATGGCTATAATTTCCATATTTTGTGATAGTTGACTTCGGTAATATTTTTGATGAACAATTTTTTAATGTTGTGTCCCTTTAAGTTAATTTGTTCTGATGTGGACACAGATCACCAAATATTCCAAATATTCCTACACGAAACAAGGGCCAAAGCTATTTTTAGTTTTCCTCTCCCTTTTCCTTTTACCCCCTTTAGCATGGCAATTTTTGTTGACTTTTTGGTGTAGAATTGAGGAAAAGGGTTTGAAAATACATTTTCTGCCAGGTTTTGGTGAATATTCATAATTTTGATGCGGAAGGATACAAGAGTTGAGAGGTTGGTTACGTTGAAATGTAGGGCCTGAAATTGCATGTTTACTTGTCTCTACTTCCAGCTTGTGTATCTCAAGTTTGCCACATGTTGCTCCATCTGTGGTAGAAAGCGTTCTACCCAACGAAAATTTGGGAAAAAGTTAGAGCCGGTCTAAGTTACGAGAATTAACATTGGAGTCAATGGGGAAATCTTTAGTGATCTGTGTCCATGTCGCAGTTGAAGGGAGCTAACTTTGTAAATAATTTTTTTAAAACCGGAAGTATGCTGTGACACGGTCGTCCACATCTTTATTGTACAGCATAAAATACTGCTTACTTTTGAGTCAGAAGAATCGAGACTAAATACTAACAAGTTGTAAATCGAACATAACTTGTTTTTATCGAGATAGAAATGAACGCCTCATCATTGCTAAGTGTTATTTTTTTTCTTTCGGTTAACACTCTTGTTTATAATGTTGATCCTGACGGCGAGTTGAAGCTTGTGTTGGCGGTAAGTAGATGTCAGTGCCGGTAATAAATAAAAGTTGTCAATTAAATCATTCCATTCATGGACATTTTGATTGACAAAAAATTATAAAACTAATAATTGTCATCGTCATGAGTACCGGTACGGTATAATGATTTTCAGTGAATCGAATGACAATAACCAATCTTATCTAGATTATGCTATTAGTATTACATTCATAATGGAATTCCTTGCTTGACTAGGAGAGTATATTACTATAAAATGGAAGAATAGTTCGGGTAATGAAGTACGATCACATGCCAGGTATAAATTATTTAAAAAAAAAAAAAAATTGTTTTACAAACTTTTTATTTTGGCATATTTAAAGATACTTATTATTATGGAAGATTAGATAAAGAGCTGTCAGTTCTGAATATAATAGTTAAAAATTAGATGATGTAATTTAAAATGGAATATGCTGAAAATTTCAGTCAAATTACTTCACTCTACTAAGTCTAAACAGAGAAAACCTTACCTGTAGGCCTACCGGTAATTAGAAAAATCATGATAACCTCGATTGTCATAGTTACCGCTGTCACCATAATTAACAAAGTCTCGATTATCCATTTTTCTGTTTAATCATCAACAGCAGATCAGATTCAAATCCAATGAAAATCGGACACCTAAGATGGCAACGAGAGTTGATTATGGGCTTTTCATGTTAATAAATGTCTAATTAATAGTTTATATAACCTTTCAGGCCAAAAGAAAGACCTGCAATAGGCAGTTTTACCTCTTGCATAATGCATGTTTAATTGTACAAATGATTTAATTTAACCAGGTGATTTTAAACACGTAGGCAAGTTTTTAATAATGGGAGTCCATAACCATGAAATTAAATAACAACAATTTGTTCATGACATAATCTGAGAAATCTATTTGAAATTTACACTATTATTGAAGGGATCATGAAATTTCAGTACCAAAATATAGAGGAATGTGTATTTACCTGTCTGAAAATTTCAACTCAAAATATTGAGTCGTTTGGACATGAATGTCAAAACCACTTATCTGGACACACGTGTAACCATTTTAAGATTTTGGGTCAATTTTTTCGTGGAGTGACCTGATAATCGATTACTGTTCCTTTAGAGATCAAAACAGTGAGTGATGCATGTTCTGTACTTGATGACGAATGGTAAATTTCACCTAGCCCACATGTTATTTTTATAAAATAAAAGTCTGGTTTTATCCAGACATCACATAATACAGCTTGGGACACCGGTCTCCATTTCCACACGAAGACTGACAGGTTTAAGTTGTTTGAAAATGTATTACATATATTTAGTTAGTCGCTCGACCCTTAGGTAGAGGTTTTAAGGGCTTTTCACACAAAATTAAGCAGTTTTAATCCAGATTGGCCCTTTTAAGTTATCATAATTGCCTTGGATTTAAAAATATTTTTGAACCCTCTGATGGACAAGTAAAATAGGATGTAATGGATAATTTACACAACAGGTAGGACACTAACACATCTACATTGTAGTACTTAGAATAAGGCTATTTTTTATTTTCTGGAGCTGTCAAGCCAGCATGAGTGTTATTGCCCCCTTAAATTGTTTTTAAGCTACACTCATACTGTAAGATATATCTACCTACTAAATATCAGTTTTTAATACTAATTTAATAAACACTTATATTTTAATCTAACCAGATCATCTGCTAGCTCTGTGGCACATTTACAAAGATATTTAATTATTAATATTTTAATATTAAAATATAGTATAGTAGGCCTACAATAAAAAAAAAGGGGAATCAATAACAAGTAAATAAAATAGAAATGATAACATTTATAAATATAACACATATATGTACATGTAATTATCATTTAAAACTTTCAGTGGTCATAGAATTTATACAGAATCTATTCTAATATTTGTGACTGCAGTTTGTCTGGGGTTTTTTGTTCAGGGTTGGCGGCTACACTAGGGCTGTACCGAGGCTGAAACCCAATGCCAATAAACAAATATTCGGTCTATTTTGCATTAAGTTTCAAAAAATTGTTTTTCATCCAAATTGTTTTTCATCCAAATTTTATGTCTGCAATAAAAGTTTCAATAATGACAATGTTCAGATTTGAAAGTCACTTTTTATAGGTTTCAATGAAATGTACATTTGTGTATCATTTGCTATATACATGTAGGTCAAATAATAATTCATGATGTCTTACTATGATACCAAGTGGTTTAGTGTATAAGCTAAACAAAATCGGTCCAAGGACAGACCCATTTGGGTACGCCGGAAGCCTAAACAGAGGGCTAGAAGTAAAGGTGTAGGAAAAAGATGCAATTTACTGGAAAAATCTTGATTTCGCCAATGTTCGAGCCTCTGTATAAAACACTGGAATCACTTATGTAGCTTTGTAAATATTATTTTTGTCTTGTTCACATTCTAATTAACCAGGAAACAACATTTCTTTTCATATTAAACTTTTTTCCATAAAAATAAAAAAAAATGCCAAAAAGTCATATTTTGTTTGAACTTTGATAAGATAGTACATGTAGCACTCGCTAAAAATTTGTGTCTTTATTTTTTTTCTTATCATTTCCAACATAAATTTTGTAAAATAAGGAACACTCTGAAGTTTATGGTAAAATAATTTAATTTAAAAAAAATCTCTCTTTTTATGATCGTAATTGCAAAAGCAATCTTATTCCAGCTTTTCAGACATGGAGATCGAGCCCCTATTCAGATATATCCCAAAGACGAAAATGGTGAAGACAAATGGCCTCTTGGCTTGGGACAACTTACAGAGGTATTTATTGTATTTTATTTTTCAAGCACAGTTTAGAAAGGAGAACTTTGATTCGGTCATGCGGTGTTGGTTTCCTCTTGTCATTAGGTGCAAGACGGAGCGCCCTACAAGGACATTGTCTTATCTTTTAGATGGGATGAAAAAAACTTAGGTCCGAATGCGTACACATTGACAATTGGATTTAAAAAAAAAGGGTAGGCCGTAGTGCAGCACATATGACCGTCTTCATTAGCCCAGTTGGTGCAGAAAAGTAAGGCGTTCAGTCCTGTCTATCTGTCTGTTCAGGGTTGGCAGCTACACTAGGGCTGTCTCGAGGCTGAAATTTGGTGTTTGGAGTACCTCGGTCCGGGAAGTAACATAGGTCTGGTGGTGATGGACTACCACCTCCGTGTACGTAACTAACGTAGGAAAATTAATTGGTGGCTAGCTCTTTTTTCGCACGTATACAGTTAATGGCCATTTTGCTCAGTAATCCCAGCTAGAATTTGGCTATTTTCTAAATTTGTGTTAAAGTTTAAAATATTTGTTTTAGAACTGAAATAAATTAACTATTAGTCAATCCCAATGCTAAAAACATCAACAGAATTGATTGTGTATATCTGAAATAGACACGACCGACGACCGACGCACAAAATAGTGCTAAGATGGCAGCCTCTATGAACAACCATTCGCAGACGCTGTCATTGAAGACGTCAATTCTATGAGTTGTAGATGTTATTTTGTGAAAAATCATTGGAAGAAGAGAGAACATGTTGGGACTGTACGAATTATATAGTCTTTATGGGTGCAAAGGAAACAATGCTTAAGATAAACCTATTGTTTACAATGTAACATGTTGTTGACCTCATGACCCATTGACGTCAATGTCATGACCTGTGATGTGTAGATCACGTGATATGGATATCATGGCTATTGACTGTGTCTGAGATACTTCTCCGCGGGTAGCGTGTCTCAGATGTTCAGAATGCTACTTCCAGTTTTGGAGTTATGCTACTTCCAGTTCTAGACTATACCCGTGCTCCGTCTGATCAACCGCTTGTTTTTCATATCAATGATTGTTGTATTTTTGTTATGTTCAACTGCTACATAAATGGCACTCAGGGAGGACCATACAGAACTGAAAGGATCAACCTGCGGACTAGACCAATCTGATTAAAACTATTTCGTTTTTTATAGTTCAAAATTTGGTTTTACTTGTCTTTACTACACTCGGTTCTGGAAGAGTTGTTATATTACCGGCATTTTGGCTGAAGTGAGGGATAAGCCAATGAAACGGTCTGTTACGGCGACTTCTTGGGGTGTAATGCATGGATCGGCCCCTGACACGACCTTCGAGTACAACTTGTCAGATCTTCATGCAGTGTAGACCATTGAAAGTAGAAAAAAAACGAAGCGAAATATAGATCTGTATTTTATTCAGAATGGGACTAGACACAAACTACACAGGCATTACAAGCTATAAATAGCAACTACCAAATCAAGTGACTGGATCGGGGGGGGGGGGGTCAGGCTTACTAGTATAAATTTTTTTAAATGTTTGAAGATACAATTAACCTGTTTATAATTTATGCTGTAAAATACGGGTGGATGGATGGCTGAATGGTTAGCGTGTGCCCTTTGTTTCATAAGGTCTTCCCCGGTTGTATGTGACAAGGAGTAGGGTCACATGTCCAACCTCGTGGGTTTTCTCTGGGTCCTCTGGTTTCCTCCCTCTGCTAAAGACCTCTACGCGCAAAGCGAATTATTGAAATAAACAATTTGACCATGTGTTAGTCCCGAAATGACCTATTTCTCTCTCTCTCTCTCTCTCTGTAAGATATTTCAGAGATTGCTTCTTGAACGTCCCTACACTAATGTACACTAATATCAAAGATCAGGTCATGCAATTATTATACTGATTTCTTATTGCTAAATTAACTATAAACTTATTATGTCATTTTTCCCCCCTTAATTTTCAGAAAGGTCATCACGATGCATACAACTTAGGAAAGTACTTTTGGAAGAGATATGGAGAACAACTTAAATTGAAACAAGTTTATAAGGCAAATTCACCCGAGGTAGGTTACTTTTTGAACTTTCAGATGCTTTTTTAAAGATGTACATGTAGAATTATGCGACTGTTTAAAGATCAGTTCAAACTTGAAGGCCCAAAAGATAAATTGACTGCCCAGCGATCCGAAAATGTGGTAGACAGGGTTCTTAATCCATTTTGATACGAACCGGCCAGAATTGGGTCAAATGAGGCCCCGTAGGAAATGGGTTAATTATAAGTTTACATTCCCTTTAATATACCTAGACTCCAACAGAGCCATTGTGATTGACTGAAACCATGTGAGGGGTTGGACGGCTGAATGGTTAGCACATGAGAGCTGTATCATACAGTCTGTCATTGAGTCAACTGGCGTGGTTTTGATTCCCCGGTTTGCCTGTCCAACCCTGTGGGTTTTCTCAGGGACCTCTGGTTTCCTCCCATTGATCAAGACCCCTACGCGCAAGCGAATTATTGAAATAAAATTGAACCATATGTTAGTCCCGAAATGTCGTGGCGTGGTTTTGATTCCCCGGTTTGCCTGTCCAACCCTGTGGGTTTTCTCAGGGACCTCTGGTTTCCTCCCATTGATCAAGACCCCTACGCGCAAGCGAATTATTGAAATAAGATTGAACCATATGTTAGTCCCGAAATGTCCTAGTTTGTGTCAAGTGGGCGTTAAACCCCATTTCTCTCTCTCTCTGTCTCTCTCTGAATCCATGTTTGCTAAATATGTGATCAGTTCAGGACAGTCTGTATTAAACTCCATCAAGCCGCAATAGAAATAATGTATGCGGTTTTGACCATGGTCGTTTGCTGAATGCTGTTTCTGGATGCCGATTGTCTGGCAGTTAAAACTTGAAAAACTGTGAGTGAGTATACTTTATTTTAGAAATTAATACCGTTTATGTTTATTATTTTTTTTTTTTTTTACAGTTTCATATTAGGAGTACTTCTATAGATAGAGCTAAGCTGTCTGCGGCTTATTTCCTAGCAGGGTTTTATAATTTGGTTATGGATAAAGCCGAGGAATTCATTACATCTGTTCACATTCCTTTTACACCAGAATCACAAGATCAGGTAAATGATACTTATTTATATACCGCCATTCTCCTCGAAATTTAAAAATTTGTACTGCAGATCCAGGGTCATAAGTCTACCCCAAACGGTTTCAATCCCATAGATGATAAATAAATACAAAAATAATATGGAACACAAATACTATTTGAATTAAAACATCATTGAGAGAAGATCCAGCAAACAGCGCGCCAAGTGAAATTGTAAATGTGTTCCATATTATGTGATTACATGTGTCAATTGCTAAATGCTGCTCAAATAAGAAATCCAATCGATGTAGGTAAAGATCATTCAATGGCATATGCACAGGGAGAATGGGTAGCGGAGCAGTATGGAGGGATATAGGTCGGCTGTTTCCACTTATCTGAAAAAAGAAAACTAAGGGGGATGGTGCGCTTTAATGTGTTGTTGTGTCCAGTTTTATATAAACTTTATATTTGGGCGTTGTTTTGAGTGGAGGGGTGGCTGAAAGATCTAATGTATATGCTTTAGATCATACATGTAAGATCTCTCGTTGCGTTACGTAGCCCCCTTGTCAGTGATGCAGGACGGAGGGCCTGACAGGGACAGCTGTCTAGTCATTCGGATGAGACGAAAAACCGAGGTCCTGTGTACACATTGGCGTGCATGTAAAAGATCCCTTGACAGTTGGAATTCGATATAAGAGTAGGCCGTAGTGCCGCTGTCCGGGCAAAATTTTCCTCATAGCACACTGTATGGCGTATGCCTGTCTTCATTAGCCCAGTTTGGAGCAAAACAGTAGGACGTTAAACCCCATTTCATTTCATTTCTGCGTTACGTAGCATGATTTTGATACCACACTTGTGGGTATTTCTCTGGGTCCTCTTGTTTCCTCCCACTACTAAAGACCCCTACGCGCAAGTGAATTATTGAAATAAAATTGAACCATGTGTCAGTCCGAAATTAACTAGTTTGTGTCGAGTGGAGGTTAAACTCTCTCTCTCTCTCTCTCCAGCCCTCCTGAACACCTATATGTGAAAGGGGGACTGTAACAAATGTTTATAATAAAAAAAAAAGAATAATTGTTTATCATCTGACCTCCTTAACATATATTATTTCAGTTATTATCAATGACAGGTTGTCCTAAAGAAGAGGAACTACGAAGAAATTACCTGACTAATTCAAGCAAGTTCAAAAAGTATAATGATGGCATTAAGGTAACTATGTCCGAACAATCAGATTAAAACACAGATCCTATTTTGTTTTGATTCATTCTTGATTTGTCTCCTAATTTATAACCTCGTCACAATCTGGACTGTAGTAAAACAGAATAGTTTAGATCAGTTTGATACATTCCACCAAAACCAGGAACTGGTCGCTAACTGCTACAAATCGTGCTGATCATGCATTCTCCTCCGCTGCTCCCATTGTTTAAAAAAACTGGGACAATGTACAATCATTTAAAAGGAACTTAAGAACAGAACTATTCCGACAGTCATTCTGTTAATGACATTAATGACACTGTAATTTGCACCAATGAGCAGCCTTTTGATTGGATTTCCAGCGCTATATAAGATGATTATTTATCATTATTATTACTCATCTTGTTATTGTTCTTCTTGTGACTTCCGACGTGGTTTCCCCTTGTCAGTGATGCAGGACGGAGGGCCTGACGAGGACAGCTGTCTAGTCCTTTCGGATGAAACGAAAAACCGAGGTCCCGTGTAAACATTGGAATGCACGTAAAAGATCCCTTGGCAGTTGGAATTCGATATAAGAGTAGGCGATAGTGCTGCTGCCCGGGCAAAATTTCCCTCATAGCACACTGTATGGCGTATGCCCGTCTTCATTAGCCCAGTATAAGAGCAGAACAGTAGGACGTTAAACCCCATTTCATTTTTTTTCATTTCATTTCTTCTTGTGACGGGGGTTGGATGGCCGAATGTTAACATGTGCGCGCTGTATCATAAGGCCTGTCATTGAGTCAACTGGCATGGTTTTGAATCCCCGGTTGTACATGACAAGAATTAGGGTCGTCTGTCCAACCTCGTGTGTTTTCTCTGGGTCCTCCGGTTTCCCCCCACTGCTAAAGACCACTGTGCAAGCGAATTATTGAAATAAAATTAAACCATATGTTAGTCCCGAAATGACCTAGTTTGTATCGAGTGGATGTTAAACCCCATTTCTCTCTCTCTTCTTGTGATACTCTTCTTTAGGTGATGCTCTTCGAAAAAGCTGAGGCTCCGTAAATTCAAGTCCGATCGACATGAAATTTGGCTTGCTTGTTCTTTGAACAATTCTGCATCAATTTGCTGAATTAGATTTTTATAAGCCCACATTTTCAAGTGGACGTATATTGTCATCGCCCCTGTCCATCCCTCGTACTTGATATACCATAAGGTATATCAAGGTTGTGGACCCTCTAGAGGTGTCAATTTCCTTCTGATTTTGATGAAACTTGAAATGTAAGTTTATAACCCAAAGATCTTGGTTCCTTTCGATATTCGTGCATATCGGACCGTAACTTCCTGAATTATGGCCCCTGATTGTACAAAAAATTACGTTTTTAGCTTGTGGACCCTATAGAGGTCATAATTTTTATCACCATTACACCCTAAGGATGGTTGAGTTTGAATTTCGTAAAAATCGGACCAAAACTCACAGACAAAATGGCTGTCCCTCGTACTCAAATAGCGTAAAAATATGGTATATCAATGTTGTGAACTCTCTAGAGGTCACAATTTTCTTCTGATTTTGATGAAACTTTAAATGTAAGTTTATAACCCAAAGATCATGGTTCTTTTCGATATTGGCGCATATCGGATAGTAACTTCCTGAATTACAGCCCCTGATTGTACCAAAAATCGCGTTTTTAGATTCAGGTTCCTCTAGAGGTCACAATTATTATCCGATTTATAAAAACGTTCAAATATATCACTGTTACACTGTAATTTTGGCTGAGTTTTGAAGTTTGTGAAAATCAGACTAAAACTGCCTGAAAAAATGGCCGCCCCACGTATGCAAATATTGTATAACATCTGTTATATCAAACATGTGGACCCTCTAGAGCTCACAATTTTGATCCGATTTTGATGAAACTTGAAATACATGTTTATAACCCAAAGATATTGGTTCCTTTCGATATTCGCGCGTATCGAATCATAACTTCCTGAATTATGGCCCCTGATTGTACGTAAAATTTTGATCCGATTTTGATGAAACTTGAAATACATGTTTATAACCCAAAGATATTGGTTTCTTTCGATATTCGCGCGTATTGAATCATAACTTTCTGAATTATGGCCCCTGATTGTATGTAAAATTGCGTTTTTAGCTCGAGATTCCTCTAGAGGTCACAATTATTATCCGATTTAAAAAAACCGTTTGAATACATCACCGTTACACCGTAATTTTGATTGAGTTCGGATTTTAAAACCATTCAAATATATCACCATTTCACCATAATGAATTTTGAATTCAAATTTCTGGAAAATCGAAATGAAACTGTCTGACAAAATGTCCACTCTTTGTACGCAAATTGTGTAAAAGTATGCCATATGAAGGTTATGGACCCTCTAGAGGTCACAATTTTTATCCGATTTTGATGAAACTTAAAACCTATCTTTATATCCCAAAGATCTCAGTCCCTTTTGATATTTGCACATTTCAGACCATAACTTTTTGGATTATTGCCCCTTATTGTACAAAAAATCCTGTTTGTTTTTAGCTTGTTCTCTATCCATCTCTTGCAAAATGTGGGCGTATCGTGCCTGGCAGCTGCTGGTTGAATTTCATCTAACAACATGGCCATTCCTGGACAATATTACGATCAGATCGTACTTGTTTTGTGTTTGGCTCTGTGAATTTCTTATATTCACCTGATAATCAATTGGGTTGTTTATTTTTTAACAAGGATTGAGTAATTAAATACTTGGAAATTGGACAATCATTATTAAAATTAATCATTCAGCTTTAAACTGGACACAGGTACAAATTAGATGATCTTGGGTGATTTTAAATAATTTATACAAATTTGATATTGAATGAATGTGAAAGAAATAAGTGCTAGATACACAAGATTAAATGATACCTGAGTTACAGTGACAGTACATACCTGAGTTACAGTGCCTGTTGCCAGGATTCAGAGGAAGATCTTTAACTATCTTAGGCTAACTCACAGGTTAGCAGTTTGATATGAAATGAAATGAAATGGAGTTTAACGTCCTACTGTTCTGCTCCTAACCTGGGCTAATGAAGACGGGCATACGCCATACAGTGTGCTATGAGGGAAATTTTGCCCGGACAGCGGCACTACGGCCTACTCTTATATCGAATTCCAACTGCCAAGGGATCTTTTACGTGCACGCCAATGTGTACACGGGACCTCGGTTTTTCGTCCCATCCGAACGACTAGACAGCTTTCCTTGTCAGCCCCTCTGTCCTGCATCACAGACAAGGGAGAACCACGCCGGAAAATCTGGATGAACTTTCTCGGCCAATGCAGGGATCGAACACCCGACCTCCAGGCTAGCGAGCTAGCGTCTTAGCCACGTGATCCCCCTAGCAGTTTGATCGAGATTTTGAAATACAATAGTCTGCTTCGAAAATAGGTAGAATGTTCAAACTTTGTGTAAATATTCATTATGTGAATTTATGAAATAACTATTTTCAAGTTGTTTAATTATTTCAGATGCTATATCCAACGATATCACACATGGCTGGTAATCGGGATGATCCTGTTGATATGATTAAATTTGGCCATATTGTTGATGCTGTTTACTGTGAGGTATGTCCGATAAATATACGAGGGTCGGGTGTGCTTGTTGGATCACAAGGTCTGTCATTGTGTCAATTAGTAGGATCATCTGTCAAACCTTGTTGGACAACATGAGTATTTGATTATATACTCTTCAAAAAAAAGTAGGGGATATTGAAATGCAAATACCTATGCAGGTTGTGATATGATAAATAGTCATGGACACTTGACATGTTTTGAGAGTATGTTCACAGATGAAGAACTAATCGCCCCAACAGAACCACTGAGCTGCACGTGCGACACCCAATAGCACCATACACGTGGGAGGGGTTTATTGTCAAATTTGACACTTCAAGGAAGGGTTGATGAAAACTGCCGCGTGCTGGTTTATCCTTTCCATGTTTGCTTTCCTATCGGTTCTTGCATAAGACTCAGGCGTGGGTCTGTTATGGTGTGGGGAGGAATCACCATGACCGGCAGAACGGACTTGCATATTGTTGAAGGAAGGGTCACTGGTGTGTACTACCGTGACCACAGCCTGGCATAAATAGTTCTGCCTTTTGCTCAACGTTTCATCTTTCAATGAAAGTTAGACGTACAACACTTTCTGAGATAAAAATGACGGAAAAAGACGCGGGTAGTAGATAATCTGAGAATTTAATTAGGATTCAATATTTATAATAAATAGTAAGCGATTAAAGACAACATCGTCTTATGTATGCAATGAATTCTCCTCTGATTTCCAAGACGTGATGTAAACATGACCTGGTTTGATCAAATTTTTATAGCAGGACATTCCTTGGCAATTACAATGTTTTAGAAGGATTTTATGCAAAATGATGACAAATTAATTAGTTTGAATATGTTTTTAGTCCATATATACCATTAAATCACCTAGTTTATACGCGGTATCTTGATATCATTGTTTATTGTGTGAATAAATAACAACATCACTACATATGACATCATTTAAAACATTGTTCATTTACAGTTGAAGCATAATATGTCCCAGCCTGATGTTATAAAACAAAATCTAAAAACACTGATGGAATGGTTTAATTCAAGTCGACGGTATTATGGTGCACCAACTCCAGAAATTATCAGGATTAAAACAGGTATGTACTGTGTAGAATAAGAATAATTTCAGAGTTATGTATTTTGTAGGAAAATGTGTATGAGGCTATATATTTTACAATTCTACTTCTACTTTCATCCTAAAATCAGGCTTTGTTACCTCCGTTTATAGATTTTTTTTTTTTTTTTTTTGATGCTATAATACTGTATTCTTAGGCACGATATTAATTCTATGTTATGTATGATTCTATATTAATTCTATGTCACATAATGTTATAGGTCCACTAGCATCAAGATGGTTAAATCTATTGAGTTGTTGATTCTATAGGGGGATCACGTGGCTAAGTGGGTAAGACGCTGGCTCGCTAGCCTGGAGGTCGGGTGTTCGATCCCAGCATTGGCCGAGAAAGTCCATCCCGATTTTCCGGCGTGGTTTCCCCTTGTCAGTGATGCAGGATTGAGAACCTGACAAGGACAGCTGTCTAGTCGTTAGGATGAGACGAAAAACTGAGGTTCCGTGTATACATTGGAATGCACGTAAAAGATCCCTTGGCAGTTGGAATTCGATATAAGAGTAGGCGATAGTGCCGCTGCCAGGGCAAAATTTCCCTCATAGCACACTGTATGGCGTATGCCCGTCTTCATTAGCCCAGTATAGGAGCAGAACAGTAGGACGTTAAACCCCATTTCATTTCGTTGATTCTATATTAATTCTATGTTACATGTTATAGGTCCACTAGTGTCAAAGATGGTTAAATCTATTGAGTTGTTGATGTTACGTATGTTAAAGGCGGTTTATCTATAAGAGATGTTAATTCTATGTTACAGGTCCACTAGTGTCAAAGATGGTTAAATCTATAGAGAATAAAGTTACTCATCCTGATTCTCTAGATAAAATCTTCCTGTATTCAGCTGTAAGTAATTACTTGTATATTTGAAATTGTTCAAAATTAAAGGCACACAATTTGATTTTCTATTCTTCCGGGTCTTGATAAAAAAAAGGGGGGTTGGATGCCCGAATGGTTAGCGCGTCACACGCTGTATCATAAAGTCTGTCATTGCGTCAACTGGTGGGGTTTCGATTCCCCAGTTGTATGTGACAAGGAATATGGTCGCCTGTCCAACATCGTGGGTTTTCTCTGGGTCCTCTGGTTTCCTCCCACTGCTAAAGACTCCTTTGCACAAGCGAATTATTAAAATAAAATTGTGCCATGTGTTAGTCTTGAAATGACCTAGTTTGTATCGAGTGGAGGTTAAACCTCTCTCTCTCTCTCTCTCCCTCTCTCTCTCTCTCTCTCTCTCTCTCTCTCCTGATAAATAGCCACTTAAAGGAGCTTATTGCCGGAGTCGTGTGGCCTTTCTCTAATAGTTTTAATATGGCTGTACATGTAGATTGCCTTCTTCCTCTTGGACTAGAATTATCATCAACAAGTCTGAAATTTTTTTAAGCCACCTTTCACTGTCTCCGTCAAGCAGGTAATTCGCCACTACTGTTCTCATTGACTTGTGATCACTCATACCAGGAGTTGTCCTCCCATTTACCGTCAATTTCATGAAAATTGCACGATTGTCAGCCTGGAATGTTCCGAATAAACATTATTGCAACCGAGTGACGCGTAATTCAGTCTCGTCACAGTTCTGCCAGTCCAGACAACTGGGATGGAGTGAGAAATTTAGAACAGTTGGTTGAGATATTTTCTTATGCAATCAACGCATGCGGTGTAGCCCGAAATCTCCTCTTCACTCAAACGTCACTATTTTTGGATTGAGAGAATTCAATTCTGGAACGTTCAGTTGAGTATTTCCATTAGTGTTCACAATGAAATTCTTAAACCATGGTGGGATTAAAATTATAAGTGTGTTATACAGGTTGCCCCAAAAACATGTGCCATCTTTGAACTCTGACAGCTTGATAAATTTGAGAAATAATTACATAAATGCGTACAGGTACGATATATACATGGTCAACAAAATGATATCATGGGTTATCATGGACATATGCAGTGATGTCATATCTTATACCACCATTAAACTTTTAAATTAAATATAATAATAGTAAGTGTAGATGGACTGCACCACACATAATTACACACTACGGACAAGACACAATACGCAGAAATCACAAACAAGCGTACATATCAGATTATGTGAATTTATCTGGCGGTTAGCCGTAAGCATCCACTGTGTGGTACAGTCCCGGGCCTGTAGTGATACGGACTTCACTCAAAATTGAAAGACAAACAACCAGGAATATAACCCAGAGAAAAACATTGAGTAATACTAGTACGAGTCATGATCTGCTATATGCCACCATTAAACTGTCAAATTCTATATATATAGAGGATATTTGTCGTTTTAGAGTGAATAACATATTTTATTTCATCGAGAAGCAAGAAAACTTATATTTTCACGAATGCTACGCATTCGTGAAAATATAAACGTTTTCTTGCTTAGAGATGAAATAAAATATGTTATTCACGACAAAACGACAAATGTTCTATTTATTTTATGATTTTACAATCATTTTAGGTAAAAACAACTAGCCAGTGGACTAACACTTTTATTTCACTGATAAAACGCGGTATTCCACTGTTGATCATAAAATAAAAGAGGTTATATTATAATAGATATTCATAGTATGTTGTATTTTATTTTTGGAATAATCTTGTATTTTTTCAGCATGATACAAATGTGATTAGTTTATTAAGTGGGTTAGGATGTTTTAATGATATACAGCCACCATATAGTTCAGCTGTAATATTGGAACTACGTAAAGTAGATGACATGTATTATGTACATGTTTTATATCATAATGATTCCAATATTGATCCACATCCATGCTCAATACCAGGTAAGTGCTTAGGACCTTTGTGGGTTTTATTCCGTCCCTGCGTACATAAGATATTCTTATTGCTTAAATCTTACAATATTAAGTCTTTGACCGATATTATTAATATTATAGGTCAAAGCTAAGGGTTGGATGGCTGAATGGTTAGCGCGTGCGTGTTGTATCATAAGGTTTGTCGTTAAGTCAGCTGACATGGTTTCGATTCCCCGGTTGTACGTGACAAGGAGTAGGGTCACCTGTCCAACCTCTTGGGTTTTCTCTGGGTCCTCCGATTTCCTGCCACTGTTATAGACCCCAACGTGCAAGCGATTAATTGAAATAATATTGATCCATATATTAGTCCCAAAATGACGTTTAATCAAATTGAATTTAATTAGTCCTGTCTTTCGGTTTCTCACAATTTTCTAGAACGTCTTGGGTAAACTCATTTGAATTCTTTAGGTTTGGTATAATTTTGAAGTACTACTTTGTCTTTTTATCTGTTTCTTCCCCTTAATACAGGAGTGAATGGTATTCACATCAATGTTTTGTTCTTTGTTTAAAAATCACCTCAAGTAACAAACATTTATGGGCGTGAATGGTGTTCCCATCAAAGTTTGGTTCTTTGTTTAAAAATCACTTGAAGTAACAAACATTTACGGATGTGAAAGGTGTTCCCATCAAAATTTGGTTCTTTTTTTAAAAATTAACTCAACTAGCAAACATTTTTTTTTTTTCTTCCAGGATGTGATGACAAGAAATGTGCTTTATCTGATTTTAAAAGAGAAATGAAGAAAGTAATGATGTCAACAACAGAAAGAGAAAAAACATGTGTACCAACATTTAAATCTAAGGCATTATCTCTTTCTGACAGTAAGTTATTTGTCACTGTCTGATGATAAAGTTCTATAATTTTTATTTCTATCTTATCAATGTCTGACAATAAGGCCACACCCAAAAAAATATTCTGGTTCTCAGGTACCGCTGCATCATCAAAAATGGGCCGTGTCACGTGTTTTAAAATTTTTTTAAAAATGTGAATAATTTCTGCCTGTTCATATTTCCTGCGATCAAGAGTAGAAACTCTATTACACATTCCCAGGAGTTTAATCGAGATGAAGTCAAAGAATTATTTGGCCGTTATTTCAAATTCTTACTTTTTTTTGGTTTTTCTTCTTTAGAGTTGAATAAGTATTAAAATATAATAATTTTGTGTGTTTTGTAACAATGAAAAACTAGCTAGATTTTGACCAAATAAAAACAAAAAAACGAAAAAATAAAAACCACCCACTTGCATCAAATTTTTAAAAGTATTGTCTGACTTCCAGATATTATTTTTTTGTGTGACCTAAGTTCTATAGTTTTTATACGCCTGTCAGTCATCCACAACTTCTTGTAAACTGCAGAAGTCTATTGAATTTAACCAATTTGCATCAATAACTTCATGATTTACAGCCCTTGTTTAACGTTGCTAAACCTTCTTAACACTCTATCAACAAAAGCTATCATCGGATCTGTATAAATTTATATTCATTATTTAAATTAGTGTAAATGCTCCTATTACCTACAAAATAATAAATATGCGACAATCCTTAGCTGTTGTGGGCATATATTTTATTGCCTGGCCTCTGTTCCATAGTTTTTATTGCTAACATTAAGTTCCTTGATTTTTTATCCTTCTCTGAGAGTAAGCTCTATAACTTAGTCACAGTAAGTATATTTTTATAGTCAATAAATTCTATCTAATTGGGCTGTAATATTTTCTTTTCTTTTTTTTTTGGTGGGGGGAATGTTCTCAGATAATCCTGTGTCACTTACAGGGTACATAAGGAGAGAAATGAAATTGAATGAAATGGGGTTTAACGTCCTACTGTTCTGCTCCTAAACTGGGCTAATGAAGACGGGCATACGCCATACAGTGTGCTATGAGGGAAATTTTGCCCGGGCAGCGACACTATCGCCTACTCTTATATCGAATTCCAACTGCCAAGGGATCTTTTACGTGCAATTCCAATGTATACACGGGACCTCAGTTTTTTGTCTCATCCGAAGGATTAGACAGCTGTCCTTGTCGGGCCCTCCGTTCTTCACCACTGACAAGGGGAAACCATGTCGGAAAATCGGGATGAACTTTCTCGGCCAATGCAGCATAAGGAGAGAGAGAAAGAGAGATGGGGTTTAAGGTCCACTGGGCACAAACTAGGTCATTTCGGGACTCACATATATACTATTCAAAAAAAGTAGGGGATATTTGATTTTGGGGGCATAATACTAAAATATGCAAATGACTACGAAAAAAGTCACTATAGAACCTAACAGAAGAAACATTTCCAGTTACATGTGACGCCCAAACGCACCAATAGCTACCGCATGGAATGCAGGTGATGCTTGGGATCATCATGGGGGTCCAACCCACGATTTGCACGACTCTGACTTTGAATGTTACAGTCATTGTGGCATTGAATTCCAGGGTGGAAACATCAGTTTAATTGTTTTAGTGACCAGAAAACAAATTTTGATATGCGTCGGCTTACCCAAAATGAAAGGTTACGTGCCCTTGGCATGCTACAGATCGGCACAACACAGGCGGTTGTGGCGCGGACGATGAATGTTTCTCAGTCTGTCATAAGCAGGCTATGGTCCAGATACCGTGATACACAATCTGTACAGGACAGACCACGCTCAGGTCGACCAAGGGCGACAACTCAAGCCCAGGATCGATTTATCCGTACCTTGGCCTTGAGAAATCGTGTCATCACAGCAAATCAGATCAGCGCTCGTCTTCAAACAGACACTGGTGTGAGAGTGAGTGGCCAGACGATTCGGAATCGACTGCATAGGGGTCACCTTCGCGCCCGACGTCCTCGCGTGATCCCTTATTTGAGAGATCATCACATTCAGGCAAGACGTCGTTGGTGTAGGGATCGTCAACACTGGGATAATCGACGCTGGAGCAATGTGATGTTTTCAGATGAGTCAAAGTTCACTGTTGATTTTTTGGACAGACGTAGGAGGGTGTGGCGGCGTCGAAACGAGCGCTTCCAAGACGTTAACGTCATCAGACATGATCGATTTGGGGGTGGTTCTGTTATGGTGTGGGGAGGCATCACTGTTGCTGGAAGAACGGCTTTACATGTTGTTGCAGGGCGTGTTACAGGCCAGTACTACCGGGACAACATCTTGGCAGTCCATGTTGTGCCGTTCGCACGACGTCATGGCCACCGTTTCATCTTCCAGGATGACAACACAAGATGTCACAGGGCCAGGATCGTTACAGGTTACCTCCAACAACAGAACATCACCACATTACCTTGGCCAGCACTGAGTCCCGACCTCGCCCCCATCGAGCATGTCTGGGACATGCTTGGACAGAGGTTACGTCAACGTCAACAACGTCCTGCCAATGTCCAAGAACTTGCTGCTGCTATGCAACAGGAATGGGACAATCTGGACCAAAATGACCTTAGACGTCTCATTAGGAGTATGCCACGTCGGATCAATGCTTGTTTGGCAAACAGAGGAGGATTTACCCGTTACTGACTTGGTTGTGATGCTGTGGTAACTTTGCTGTTTGACCCCCGGTATCATTTTACCCTTATAATGGTCAGTCTGTGCCTTACTTAGTCTAACGATCATTTGGAATAAATCGATGAATGTGAACTTCATTTCATTTTGTCATTTGTTTCTTCGTCAGTTTCATTAGGTGACTTTAATAACACTTAAAAATCAAATATCCCCTACTTTTTTTGAATAGTATAGTTCAATTTTTTTTCAATAATTTGCTTGCGTGTAGGAGTCTTTAGCAGTGGGGGGAAACCAGACAGAGGACCCGGAGAAAACCCACGAGGTTGGACAGGCGACCTTACTCCTTTTGTCATGTACATCCGGGGAATCAAAACCATGCCAGTTGACTCAATGATAGACCATATGATTTAATTTTATTTCAATTGTTTGCTGGCTTGTTGTAGGGTATTGACTCAATTACAGACCTTATGATCTAGGATGCAGTCATGACTAGATCGTTTATGAAATTTAAAAAAGACAGGATAATGGATAGTCAAAGGACTATTTGGACGTTTGATGTTTTAGCCATTTACCTAGTGTTGACAGATGTCATGTATGAGACAGGGTATGCTTACTATGGCCTTTCACATTGAATGTGCAGTGATTCTATGCTGCATGAGTCTTTTGTTGTGCATCACCTTTTTGCACACAATTAATCTGCTATCATTATTTATACACAAAACAGCAAAGTCTGGATTTGATCAAATATCGTAATAAGCATTGACAGTACAGACATGCAATGACATTGACATTACAGACATATGTAATGCCATTGACAGTACAAAAGTTCATGGGTCACAGATTTAAAAATTCACTTTAAATGTTCACTATATGCACCACGATTCACAATCTCACCCGTAACAAACTCAATATTCACAAAGACCACAACAACTGCATTGGAAAAGGGTATCATCACATGGAGTGGGGACTGTCACCTCAATAGGGAAACAATAGCCCTGATTATCACTAATGACACTGAGATAAATTAAAAGTAGACTAGTTTTACTAGACTCTTCAACTATATGGCTACATGAGTGATTCACATTATAACAAAAGGATCATTTAATACCACCACTTGTGAATAAGGTAAAAAGCTATTATAGCTATTTACGTCACTAATTATGATTCTTTGTTCTGCTTTTGTCCGAACTTCTACTAATTAGCTTCTGAAATCAAAGTAAATTTAATCTGTTTTATTTCAGATGTGATACCAATAACTATAGCTGTAGTATTATTAGTTTGCCTGATACTGTCTATAATAATGTACAGAATGTATAAACGTCCACGGAGACCTAGAGGTGATCCAATGATGTACAGACCATTAGCGTACGGAGATGATGATGATGATGAAGATGTATAAATCTGTGACAAACGAAATCTCAAGACAAGATTGACTTTGTTCTAGTAGATGGCAATCTGATTAAAGGGACAATAACACTCTTGCTGGCTTGACAGCTCCAGAAAATAAATAATAGCCTTATTCTAAGTATTAGATGTTTAAGTATCCTACCTGTTGTGTAAATTATCCATTAAATCCTATTTTACTTGTCCAAAGGGTTCTAAAATATTTTTAAATCCAAGTCACATTTGAAAAGCTTTACGTTAGGCTTTTCAAATCATTTAGGTGTGTTAAGATGAAATTTGTATCATCAATTAATTGGAATATTGTAAAATAGTACAATTTGTTGACCAGAATAAAGATTGGGAAATATTATTCAGTTACAACAAGAGTGGTATTGAGCCTTTAAAACACAGATCTTATTTCGTTTCGTTTTTTATAGTTCAAAATTTCGTTTTACTTGTCTTTACAACACTAGGATGGATCTGGAAGAGTTGTTATCATTGATGTGTTCTGGATGATGTGAGGGACTCTTCCAGATCCTAGTGTAATAAAGGCAAGTAAAATGAAATTTTGAACTATAAAAATGAAACGAAATAGGATCTGTGTTTTAATCTGATTGGAAATTATACAGCGTATTATTCATAAAAATATGCTCAAACCAATCTGATTAAAACACAGATCCTATTTCGTTTCGTTTTTTATAGTTCAAAATTTCGTTTTACTTGTCTTCACTACACTAGGATCTGGAAGAGTTGTTATCATTGATGTGTTCTGGATGATGTGAGGGATTAGCCAATGAAATGGTCTGTTACGTCGAGCTTTCGGCTTGTGTTACATTGAACTGTGGGTAATCCACTAGAAACATCAATGCTGATTGGTTAATCAAATATCTGATGTCATAGGGTTAAAAGCCGCTTGTATGACCTCTGATGCGATACCCCAAAACAACTGTTCAGATCTTCATGTAGTAGAGGACATCGAAAGCATAAAAAAACGAAACGAAATATAGGTCTGTATTTTAATCAGATTAAGTAGATGGTCTCCTTGTTTCTGTCCTAACCTTGCTATAACAACTACACTATTTTTGAAGGTGCTCCCGATTGTAGTCTTGTCTTTTCCTCGGGCCTGGAAATAACATTCGTGTTTGATAAAATGCCAGGCGCTACTGAACTAGTATCTGACGTTTTTAAACCTAGTTTAAAAAAGAAACGAAATATAGATCTGTATTTTAATCAGATTGCAATATTGTTTAACAGTCAATATTTGTGTTGTATTCTATTATAAAATGTATTTGAAAACTTATATTATTTTGATTCTAATAATAACTTCATTTCATTGACAAAGAGCTAAAAATATGCTTGAAGCAATATTCTGCATAATATCAGTATGATCATTAGCTACAGGCCCAAGAATCTTCTAATGTATGGAGAGGCATAATATAACAACTTGAACCTATATGACTTGTTACAAAGTTAATCTAACCAAATCCACACTTTGTATATGTCAATTAACTGAAGAAGTTGTATTTATATGTATATTAAGCTATGTAGAATTATTAGAAATCTCTTTTTATAAATATCAAATTGTCTGCAAGTTTTGGGAAGAATTCCTTCTTGTGTACAAACAGAATTCTCCTCCCTCGAATCTTTTTTTCCATATGTAAAGTATGTGGAGCTTGTATGAAAGGTGTGCCCGATGGAATCATTTGACCTGTGCTAAAAGAGTTGATAGAAAGACAGCTGTATAAACAAAATTCTCCTCCCTTGTAGTGCACATAGTTATATGTAACTCAACTGTTTACACTTCACAGGTAACTATAATAGTTATATGTAACTCAAGGTAGCTATATATAATAGTTATATGAAACTCAATAGTTCACACTTCACAGGTAACTATAATAGTTACACATAACCCAATAGTTCACAGGTAACTATAATAGTCACCCAATAGTGTACCTTAGTAACTATAATAGTCACCCAATAGTGTACTGGTAACTATAATAGTCACCCAATAGTGTACTGGTATCTATAATAGTCACCCAATAGTGTACCTTAGTAACTATAATAGTCACCCAATAGTGTACTGGTAACTATAATAGTCACCCAATAGTGTACTGGTATCTATAATAGTCACCCAATAGTGTACCATAGTAACTATAATAGTCACCCAATAGTGTACTGGTAACTATAATAGTCACCCAATAGTGTACTGGTATCTATAATAGTCACCCAATAGTGTATCCATGGTAACTATAATAGTCACCAAATAGTGTACTGGTAACTATAATAGTAACCCAATAGTTCACAATGTAACCCAATGTTTTCTAAATGTTAAACCACATTCCATTCTAAACCGCCATCTATATATACTGTCAATAGTTTTAATTGTAAATACTACAGATTTTTGAGTCTGTATTAAAATGTAAAGATGTTAAAGATGACAATGATCTTATTGTAAATAAATCATGGATAGAATGATTGTAAATGTTTTATATATTTCATTTATACACCATTTCGATAGTTCATTTTATTCATGTTTCATTTGAATCAGCGCCTGTCTTAGCTTAGGTATTGCTGGACCCAAATGACCCAGTGGTCAGTTTTAATGACATGATGTATTATAAATGACTAGAAATTACTACTTTTTAAATTTAAAATGATGCCCTGGTAGGAAATCATATGTAGATTTCTTTCCAAGTCTGATAAATAACTGATATAATGGTTCTTCATAAACCTTGGGTGTGTTCTCAGTTCCCAAGGTTTATTGCTATTTTTAGAAGGAAGTGAAATGAGGTTTAACATAGTACTGTTCTTCTCGGACTGGGCTAATACAGAAGAAACCCACCTTCCCACTCTTGCCTAGTGGTCTTAATAAATAGTTCATAGCTTTTAGTCATTTTACAATTGAATTCAGCACTTGTATTTGAAACAAGAATTTGAAAGAAATTCGAAATTTCCCTCAAATGTCCGTCTTCATTAGCCCAGTGCAAAAAAGTAAGACTTAATTTATGAATTTGGTTTGATTATAGTTAAACACCAGTTTTAATCAAATTCCTGTGTAGTAGTACCTTATTTATCACGTTTTACATAAACTGGGACTTCCCTAATATACACTACATACCGAAGTGCAAGAAAAATCAAAAGTATACCCCATTTCGTTCTTAAGTGCATCTCAGACTTTTGCTGGTTATTCTGAATTCTAACTTTTTTTTCTTCCACCCATAATGATATGAACAAATGAAATACACTGTAAATTGTATATAGATAACAAACAAACCAACAAAAAAACAAATATTTGTTATGTTTACTGTAGTAATAAATGTTAATTATTTTATTATATGTATTAAATATAATGCTTACTTCTTGTTGTAATTGTTTTACTATAAATATATCATATACGAGACATAACCATCACCCGGCCCCAACAAGTCCAATCTGATTAAAACACAGATCCTATTTCGTTTCGTTTTTTTTTATAGTTCAAAATTTCGTTTTATTTGTCTTTACTACACTAGTATCTTGAACAGTTGACAACTGTCAGTTGTTACATAACCCGCGTTCTGATTGATGTGAGGGATTAGCCAATGAAACGATCTGTTGCAGCTAATTCTTGGCTTGCGATACACGGAACTGTGGGTATCCTACTAGAAACATCAATGCTGATTAGTTAATTTAATGTCTGATGTCATAGGGTCAAATGTCGCTCGTATAACCTAAGACGTGACCTCCCACTACAACTGGTCAGATCTTTATGTAGTAGAGGCCTTCGAAATATTACCCCCCCCCCCCCAAAAAAAAAAAAAAAAACCCAAAAAAAACCAAACCAAAAAACAAAAACGGAACGAAATATAGATCTGTATTTTAATCAGATTGCAATAAGTGTGCAACTGGCATTGCATTTTTGTCTTTGAACTGTAATTAGCGGACACTAGATCATGATACAGTAAACGAGTATATTAAATTTAGCAATTTTATTTATAAAAAATTCATTTGTCCTGTTATACCATTGCCTGTAACGTTTTTTTTACCATAAATTTGATTTAATTTGATTTAATTTGATTTGATTGATTATACAGATGTATAGTTTTAATTTAAGCAGGTTTTTATGGGTTATCCTTAAGAGGACGATCATTCATAATATCATTACCTTTTCTCATCTTATTATCATGTAACTTTATATTATCATCTATATTGTCATGTCTGATATGCCTCTTGGAAAAATAATTAAATAAAAAAACTTGTATTTCTGATACTAGTTGACTTGTAATTGTCGTCCTGCTACTATTAAACTAATTTGCCATTTTGTATTTATCGACTTATCAATTTGATTACCCTTTAAGGACCATCGCAAAATTTCGTCTTTTGCGCCCAAACGAGTAACCCGTGGAACTGAAGGGGTGGTTTAAAGGTTAGATCTAACTATTAAGACCACCCCAAGATTCCGTTTAGGTCATGAGATGTAAACGGGACAAACGCTAACCCTGACCCTAATCCCAGACCTATCCTTAACCCTTACCCCCAAATCCTGGGCAACAATCACGTGTCCTATCCCAGTTTACATCTCGTGACCTTGACCAAATCTTCAGGTGGCCTTAATATTTAGATCTGACCGTGGTTTGAACGCCACGGCGGATAGAAAATGATAACCACATCATGTATCATGAATGGAAACATGTTTAACATTTTCTTAACTCTGTCGCCGCAGTTGGGTGGATGAGACGAGATATATACGTTTTGATGCAAGTTGAAATTTGGCGACTGGTCTTTACAATGATGGTAGTCTGCCAATCTGGTTAAAACACAGATCCTATTTCGTTTCGTTTTTATAGTTCAAAATTTCGTTTTACTTGTCTTTACTACACTTTCATGTAGTGTAGGCCATCGAAAGTATAAAAAAATGAAACGAAATATAGATCTGTATTTTCATCAGATTTGTAGTCTGCTTTATTATCTTGAAGATATTACTTACAATATTTTTGTACATATACGTGATTTAATGAATTTGGCATTTATATTGCCAATGGACTGTTACTCGATTTTTGTACATTGTGTATTGTTTAAATACATGTCAACAAATAATTTGAGTGGTTTGTAATTAGGTAGTATGTGAAGTCTGTGTTTTAGACTATTTGTATATAATGTCTGATGGGAAGACAATATGAATACTGAATTGGTTATAGAGAAAAGGATAAAGCATATTTAAGAATATGGTTGTGTATATGACATTAAGTACTTATAAATAGGAAAAAGAAGATAATGAATGAATGAAATGGGGCTTAACGTCCTACTGTTATGGGGCCTGTTTCACGAAATTTTAACTAAGAAAAAAATTAAATTTTAGTAATTTGATTGGATAATATTAGATTGATTTTAGTGCTTAGCCAATTAAAATTGAAGTATCTACTAAACTTTGGATTTTATCTTTTGTTAAGATTTTTGAGAAACAGGGCCCTGCTCCTATACTGGGCTAATGGAGACAGGCAATGATGGAAATTTTGCCTGGGCAAGGACGCTACGGGCCACTCTTATATCCAATTCTAGCTGCCAACGGATCTTTTACGTGCATGCCAGTGTATACACGGGACCTCGGTTTTTCGTCACATTCGAACAACTAGACAGCTGTCCTTGTCCGGCTCTCCGTCCTGCACCACTGGCAAGGGGAAACCCTGTCAGAAAATCCCGATGAACAAAAGAAGATAAAGAAACTCTTAATATTAGGCGACTTAATAAGAAATTACATGTTTATTTACTTTGGAAAAAGGTTTGTATGCCAATAATACTTGCCGCATTTCCCGTGTACAAGGCGCATACCGTATTGAAGGTTATAACTGCTCACCTACCAGTTTACCTTAGAACTGTAATAAGTGTCCACCCAGTCGGCGCAGATTAATAGTATGTTACACCCCATTGTATGCATTCCATCTCTTTCCAAAGATAAGAACTATAATATACATTTGTAGTGAAATGCATCTTTTTTTTGTAAATAATATTGTATTCATATATTTATCTCCCCTCCTAGGCCTGTTTTCGTGTACGGAACAAGTTTTAGGATAAAAACTCATTACTAATACCTGACCCTTGACATTTACAATTTGTTGAAGTTTTGGCCAAATTCTCGGTTCACCTCATTGCCGATGTGCCCAACCCCCCCCCCCCCCCCCCAAAACAAAATCAAAACCATTTTTATCTCAAAATGACAGAATTATTATCGACTTTCCGAGGAACCACGATGGGGCGGTGGTTCACTAATAAGCAGGTCCGGTGTTGGCATAGAAAATGTTCCGTATTTTCCAGTGTGGGATTTCCTAATAGAACAGGGTGGGGGACCTGGCGAGGACAGTGACAGTGTCTAGTCGTTCAGATTGACGAAAAACCGAGATCCCGTGTACACATAGGCGTGCACGTAAAATAATCTTTGACAGTTGGAAGTTCGCAAAATTGATTCCTATTGTAGTGATCATATTTTAGGACATGACATTGAGGCTCCTGCGGCCACCCTTATGACAGATGGAAAGAACCGGGGAGTCGTCTCTGGGTGCATTTAGTAGGCTAAAACGGACGCTGTATCTAACATCTTATGGGTTTGTTCTTTTGCTTGTCCTTAACCTTGTGGGCGTTCTCCTGATGGCCTGGTTTCCCCCCACTTCTAAAGTCCGCTGCAGATATTAAGTGGCCGTTACCCCGCGTACCAAATATACGATGTCAGTTCGTAAACTAAATCTGGTCGACATCATTGACAGAAGAAGTTACCGGAAGGTTTCTTAAAGCAAAATTATTGATAGAAGAAGTCACCGAAGGGTTTCTTAAACGTCAAATCGAACTCGATAAGACTTCTAAAAAACAACTGCATAAAAATACAAGGAAACATAAACCGGTTTTAATTGGGTAACAATTTATTACATAAATTAAAAGGTGATGAAATGTAGTTTAAACAATGGTTAAACAAACTTCCGCATTTAAATTTCTCAAGAGTCGAACATACACATTCCTCAAGCGTCATTTCTCAAGAGTCGAACATATAAATTCAAGAGTCATTTCTCAAGAGCCGAACATATAAAATCCTCAAGAGTCGAACATCACAAGACTATCATAACAATATTACACAATAAACATACAAATACTTAAAAAAAACAACAAATAAAACCCTTTCAATTGGTTTACAAATAATATTGGCGATTTCAATAGTTATTTTTGATGAACTGGCAAGATTTCCATACTCTAAATTTGCTAGAACCATCAGGATATACTGAAGAAAGCACCAATTACAGTTTTTCAAAAACTGTGACCCCTAGTCCGTTCCTGATTTACCAGTTAATATGGATGACAGTCTGTCTTCGTGGACATTTGCATCTATAGATTAACTGATTTTGTGTTCAGCTATCGACACAGCTGGATACATTAACTCAAATCTTAAATTTAAATAAACGAACGAGCCAACTTCAGGTGGATACATTAACTCAAATCTTAAATTTAAATTAACAAACAAGCCGACTTCATGTGGGTACATTAACTCAAATCTTAAATTTATATTAACAAACGAGCCGACTTCAGCTAATTTTTTTTAACAGTATAGACCTTACCACACCCCTAATCAAAATAACGTCTCAGATTAATAGAATTGAATATTATTTTGACCTAAATCAAAGAGATTTAGCAGAGATTTAGCTCCTTTGAACAACGCGTACTACATGTATCAATTATGATGAAATTATTTAATAAAAAAGAACAGACATTAAAAGTCTGCATTTATTTAATTAGTTAGCCTGGTATGTCCGATAATACGAAACGATGGTAACTATATTTCTGGTAAACATGCTACCGGTTGCCACCTTTCCAAATGAGCGGTTAGAGTATCTCATCTCAAAGATGCGGATATATATATGTTTTCTCTGTGCACTTCGTAGAAAACATACTGTGTAGCCTCGATGTGGCATCCCTAGCTTGACGTTTCCAAGTAACACCAAACTAGTGATGTTGTTAAAAACGGTCGCAATTTGTCAGAATTACAAAGCATTATAACATCGGACCAAATCAAGTCAAATAATAGACAGTTGTTACTAGAGATCACCTTAAGGAATGCTGGATATTTATTTAAATTTAAACTACTTCCCTTGGGCTATATTTCTGTTAAAAATCCGGAAGTAAGACGATTTAACATAATTATATAATAGACAGCATAATGCAATCATTAACAACTCACTAAGCCCTCTAAAAATATTGTTTTAAATTTCACGCAACGTTTTGGACACGTGGTGCCTGTTGCAGACAATATTTACAAATTTAAAGTAAAGTCCTTTAAATTGTCTGTCCAACCTCGTGGAGTTTCTCCGGGTCCTCCGGTTTCCTCCCACTGCTAAAGACCCCTACGCACAAGCGAATCATTGAAATTTTATTAAACCATATGTTAGTCCCGAAATGACATAGCTCATCTCTCTCTCTCTCTCTCTCTCTCTCTCTCTCTTTCTCCGCTTATTCAACTTCAACATTTTCTGTACACATAAAAAGACACAGAACCATAAAACAACAAAGTTTGTTTGGATTTATAATAATAAAAAAATAACAACAGAGTTTATTTGGATTTATAATAGTTATAAAAAAATGAATGTCTACAAAAACTATAAACATTTAACAATTTTATAAAGTATTCTTGTACTCATAACTTACTTAAGCAGTTAGACTCAGTCTAGTACAATCCCGTGGTGTCCAGCGACAGCGAGCTTCGTCAAGTTGAGGTCATGAATAAACAGCTGATTCCAATAACAAATGAACTGTTCACCAGAACAGAAGAGAGAAGACAACAGAATGGACCATTAAAAATATATAGGTAAATTGAGACCCTCCAAAAACAGATAAACAAAACAAAACAGATCAACAATTAACAACTGTTTTTAATTGGCAGATCTGATGTATTCCCCGAAATTTAATATTAATTCTTCCGACATTTAAACATACATTTCCTATTAAAGCTAAACTAGATATCATTCCAGGGATGTTATAAAAAAGAGTTATTTCCCTTTAGCAGTATATTCTGCATAAACCCCAATCTGAAGTCATGACGGTTGAATGTCCTCCAGTTGACAAATTGATACGGGATATCAATGTTAAATATATGCAAATAGAAAAAAAAAATGAATAAATAAAACAAAAGCATTTCTACATTAGCTTAAATTCAACTAATATTCAATGCAGCACTGTTCTTTCTTATAGCACTATTTGGTTGTCTCTTTCAAATTCAGATCACATCGAACAATTTAACCTATATTGGTTTTATCAGCAGACACTTCAACATTCATCTTGATCGAACTTACACTTGGTCATATTATATCACACGCCTTGTATAATGTCACCAAAACGGTACATTTCACACGAAAAAAATACTTGTGGAACTCTCCAAAATATTTTTACTTCAAAGACCATAAAGTGTCGTTCGAGATGTTCATGTTTTGTTACGTACAATGGGACTTCCTTGTTGACCATTGGAGACATGTATATCATCAACCAGAGTATTCAGGGGGATGTAACTGTGTTTATCGTCTGCAATTTTTGCCCTCATTGATGGTGGTCTTGTTGATTCCATTGTGTATTGTGTGGATACGGAGTTAGTTCGACCGAGTTCGGAGCGATGTGGTTTCTGTCTGAAGCGAGTCGGTATGACACCTTTAAGGTGCGTATGGACCTGCAATAATCAGAAACCTGGTATAAATAAAGAACCTGCTAATCACATTATTATATAAATCAACAGATGTTCTGGCTAAGTGAGTAAGACGCTGGCCTGGAGGTCGCGGGTACGATCCCGGTGTTGACCGAGAAAGTTCATTGGGATTTCCAGGCGTGGTTTCCCCAGGCGTGGTTTCCCCTTGTCAATGGTGCAGGACGGAGGGCCTGACAATGACAACTGTCTAGTCGTTCGGGTGGTACAAAAAAACGGGGTCCTGAGTACACATTGTGGTGCACGTAAAAGATCCCTTGACAGTTGGAATTCAATATAAGAGTAGGTTGTAGCGCCGCTCTCCGGGCAAAATTTCCCTAGTATACTGCATGGCGTATGCCTGTCTTCATATTCCCTGTAGGAGCAGAACAGTAGGACATTGAACCCCATTTCATTTCATTTGTTTGTAATGACTATAAGGCCAGACCAATTCAATTTATGTGGGATATTTTGTTAACATTTCAAAACTTAAATATTTGGACCTCAGTACCCTTGAGAAGAGCAACTAAGTAACATTTGTTTTTAAGAAGGTCTTTTTCCTGAAGACATTGGAGGCAGAATGTTCATTATTGTCTGAATTCTAGAGATCATGGGGGCCATGTTTCACTCCAGAGTAATTATGACCTCCATGATTTGTTGTTGATTTACTTTTGTCTGTAAATGTATCGCCAGCACGAGCTCACAAAGCATTCTCAGATTTAAGTTAAGAATTTACTCAACAATCAATCACTGTTTATGAAAAATGTCTTTGATCCAGAAACACAAAACTTTGCACATAGTTTCTTATTAATGTAATTGGTACTTTATAACAACAACAGTTTTATGAAGGCGTATACTTTAGTTAAAATACGTCGAACAATTTTGAGTTAATTCTTTAAGTCTGAGAATGTTTTGTGAATTCGGGACGAGTGGCGTTTTTCATTGCGTCGCAGTATGTTTATAGAAGATGTATCTCACTAATTTTCATGAAAAGCTCAAAGCTTGTCGTATGCCTAATGGGTAGCTATTTTAACCGCGGGTCCCACTGCGACCTTCGCGGTCTAAGTGATGGCGAGAAGCGGGTCCGGCTAATCCTCGGGTAAGGCTATTATCACCTTCTTAGATTTGTTTTTTAACAAGGGTTTAACTTGGGTATGGCCTCCAGAGGGATCGAGCTGAACCAACGTGTTTATAAAATAAATACTCTACTTATTAGTTTGGGATTGACCGATTTAGGGGAGCCATCATGAAGGCTAGAGAAACAGTCGGACACTTACATGTTTGAAATACAGAAGAAAAATCATAAATCATTCAAGGTATTGAGCACTCAGCACAATTCAACAAACAAATGGGAATTAATTGGCTAACAAATGTACATCCAGAATCCAAGTATTAACTTGGGTCTGGATGTTTCAGAGATAAGGCGCTTTAAATTTAGTTGTGTAATAAAGAAAATATCCACAGAAATGACACAGCGGTTAACAACAATATTACAGATTTTAAAGCGATAGTTGCGGTTTTGAAAGTCCTATATTTAGAATATGTTAAAGGAGCTAAATCGCTAATATCTGGGACCTAGAAATTGACATAAATGGGTCACAACGCATACAATAATGTAATATGAATGCATATAAACTGATCAACATTCAGTCGTTTCCGTTTTTACCCTAATTTCAGGGGATCGCGGTGGCTAAGTGGGTAAGGCGCTGGCTCGCTAGCCTGGAGGTCGGGAGTTCGATCCCTGCATTGGCCGAGAAAGGTCATCCAGATTTTCTGGCGTGGTTTCCCCTTGTCAGTGATGCAGGACGGAGGGCCTGACAAGGACAGCTGTCTAGTCATTCGGATGAGACGAAAAACCGAGGTCCCGTGTACACATTGGCGTGCACGTTAAAGACCCCTTGACAGTTGGAATTCGATATAAGAGTAGGCCGTAGTGCCGCTGTCCGGGCAAAATTTCCCTCATAGCACACTGTATGGCGTATGCCCGTCTCCATTAGCCCAGTTCGGAGCAACGGAGCAAAACAGTAGGACGTTAAACCCCATTTCATTTCACCCTAAGTCTTAATCGAATGGCAATCTCTAGCGCCTGGTTATTCCAGTCTACACCGTTGTATTTATTGCGCATGCTCTCCAGATAAGAATATGGGTCACCGTTTGTCATGACTTGTGAAATATGTCTAGCCTCGTTCTTCGAGTCTGTTGTTACAAATGGCACTGAAACGCATTATGGTACACGATAGTAAAATGTTTATTTTGTCTTAAATATTGGATATCAGTAGCACATTTTTTCAACGGTAGGATCACAACACCAATGTTGATTTAAACTGGCAAATAATTCGTGTTTTCAGTGTCGAAGACTGTGGATGATATTGAGTTAGAGATTTGTTAACGAATCCTATAATTCACTATTGTCTGATATTGACAAATAGATCGTTTTCAAATTGATGTGTTATTATTACAACAATATTTTAGACGGTTGTCTCAGTCAACCAGGCACCATTGTAATTATCTGTCTGACCCATTGCGTATAGAACTCTGTGGCCTGACCACAGACTTTGCCAACCGAAACGAAAATGAAATGAAATGAAATTGGGTTTTAAGTCCTACTGTTCTGCTCCGAACTGGGTTAATGAAGACAGGCATACGCCATATAGTATGCTATGAGGGAAATTTTGCCCGGACAGCGGCACTACGGCCTACTCTTATATCGAATTCCAACTGTCAAGGGATCTTTTACGTGCACATAATTTGTAAACGGGATCTCGGTTTTTCGCCCCATCCGAACGACTGCATCACTGACAAGGGGGAACCACGCTGGAAAATCTGGATGAATTTTCTCGGCCAATACAGGGATCGAACACCCGACTTCCAGGCTAGCGAGTCAGCGTCTTAACCACTTAGCCACCGTGACAGCTCCCACTCCCAACCGAAACAACTCGGTAAAATTCCACCACAGTCATAATTATGTAGACCTAGTTTTCCAGTGAAAAGAATTGAGTAGAAAATATTTCGAATTTTTATGTGCACGTTTTTTAAGTGCTAAAGATTCCTATGATTGTATAATAGTGATTTGACAACCATCGCTTTAAATATAACGAAAAACAAAAATGAAATTATAAAATTAGTTTTACTCACTTCACCATTTAAAAAACAGAATATTATAGCAACAATTGCACCCTGAAATTAAACACAAATATATAGCAAGAAATCTGTTTAAGGTTCACTCGACACAGACTAGGTCATTTCGGGACTAACATATGGTTCAATTTTATTTCAATAATTCACTTGCGCGTAGGGGTCTTTAGCAGTGGGAGGAAACCGGAGGACCCGGAGAAAACGACGAGGTTTGACAGGTGACCCTACTCCTGGTCACGTACAAGAGGGGAATCAAGACCACGCCAGTTGATTTACCTTGTGGTACAATGCGCATGCGCTAACCATTTCGCCGCAAAATCCCCCTAGCTGTGACCTATAACAATAAGTAATATCGGTCAAAGACTTAATATTGTAAGATTAAAGGCTCAATACCACTCTTGTTGTAACTGAATAATATGTCCCAATCTTTATTCTGGTCAACAAATTTTACTATTTTAGAATATTTCAATTAATTGATGATACAAATTTCATCTTAACACACCTTATTTAAAATTTTTGAAAAATTCAACATAATGGTTTGAAACGTCTAACGTAAACCTTTTCAAATGAAACTTCGATTTAAAAATATTTTCGAACCCTCTGGACAAGTAAAATAGGATGTAATGGATAATTTACACAACAGGTAGGGCACTTAAACATCTAGTACTTAGATAAAGATATTATTTATTTTCTGGAGCTTTCAAGCCAGTAAGAGTGTTATTGTCCCTTTAAAGTAATTAGAATATCTTATGTGCGCAGGGACGGATTAAAACCCAGAGACCCTAGGAAATTTGAAGATTTGGTTGACCCCATATATTCAATAATAAACGATAATGAACTGTCAAACTAGTGGTTAGAGTTATCCCTGGGCTTTGTACACATCATTAGCAATTGCGACAAAACAGCAAGACATTTTTTGAATTAAATATTTAAAATTTGGCATCTTAACAAAGAAGACCATCTGTGGTGCCCCCATTCCCATGATGCCGTAAGCACGTGCTTATTTGCTTAATAGTTAATCCATCCCTGCCATGTATACTTTAAATTCTAATAGGTGTAATTCATTGCAAAATTATGATCAGTTATTGAATTGGCTTCTTTCGAAGAGCGTCGCCTCCAAGATCGCATCGAACCAGTTCCTGGAACTAAATGGAAGTTGTTGATGAGCTGTCTAAATTATGTAATACCTGTGTGTTGGTGGCAACTTTTGACACTATTTCAAAGACAAAACTACCACCCCAGGAAGATGGTGGTCTGTAGATGATTAGAAATAACTGTAAACCAAATAACGGTACGAGGATGAAGGTAGCTTTTAAGGCACGCCTGTAATAAACAAATAACACAATAAATAAACGTCAAGTGGAGGATAAGTCCCCGGTAGCTTCACCACACTCTTAATGGAAAGTCCCCATATCTACGGCCCTAGTAATATAAAAAAGAACACACACAAAAAAAATACAATTCATGTCTGTCTATTATTTATGTTAACTACCATTTACAATCCTGTTGGTGATAAGTCAATCTGATTAAAGTACCGATCTATATTTCGTTTCGTTTTTTTATACTTTCGATGGCCTACAAAGACAAGTAAAACGAAATTTTGAACTATAAAAACGAAACGAAATAGAATCTGTGTTTTAACCAGATTGGTGATAAGTTGTCGATGACTACACATCTATAGAACAAGAGACACCTGCGTTATGACTATTGACTGGATGCATGCTATAGAAATGCGCATAAGTCATGAAAAATGCATTAAAGGGCTAAATGTTCTATTTTATAAGTTATTATTTACACATTTATAACCAAATAACAACGTTATAATGAGAGAGATCAATCAATACAATCTCCTTTCGGGACTAACACATAGTCATATAGTACAATTTTATTTCAATGACGGACCTTACACAGAGAGGAGAGGAGAGAGAGAGAGAGAGAGAGAGAGAGAGAGAGGAACAAGATCCCAATATTTATATTCTTTGTGGGGGAAAATTGTGATTATGAAGTACTAAAGCTTTGAATCTGAGAGAGAGAGAGAGAGGGGGAGAGAGAGAGGGAGAGAGAGAGAGAGAGAGAGGGAGAGAGAGAAAAACAATATCCAAATATTTATATTGTTTATGGGGAAAATTGTGATTATGAAGTACTAAAGCTTTGAATCTGACAAGAGCGTTGTATTTATGATTGGTACAAATTACACGCCATTAAACTTCTTTATGTCCATTATTTTCCTTCCGTCTAATAAAGATGATACTTGTTAATAAGCTCGGACTTCCTAGAGAAGATGTCGCGTATATCGTTTATAATAGTAGCAATAGTACTGGACAAATACCTAAATCTAGCGGGCGTTCTAATCCATTAAAATCTTTGTCATGGGCTTATTATGTCAATAAATGTCTAAAAAAAAAGTTTATATAGCATTTGAAACCAAACCAAAGACTTGCAATAAGCAGATTTAGCTATTGAATAATGCATATATAAAATATCTAAGATATTATATGTGCAGCCATGTCAAAAATCGATTCAGGTGAAATTGGTGCGATATTATGAAGAAACCGATGTATGGATATCCTATAATATCACCCGTTATAAACACAATGTAATCAAACACACTTCCAGTTAAATTTATATATGTGGATAAAATGAACTCTTGATGGTTTATCTAAAATGTGAAAGTGGCGGCGTCGTACAACAGGATGCAGAACCAGCGAATATTTAAAAATACATCCTTGATTGCTATATAGATCACATATACACTATTACATAGCTTCAGACACGAAATTGAGCTTTCACCTGCCCCCCCCCCCCCAAAAAAAAACCCCCAAAAAACAACAAAACAAAACAAAACAACAACAACAACAACAACAACAACAACAACAACAACAACAACAACAACAACAACAACAACAACAAAAAACCAAAAAAACCCCAAGCAAACCAACACACAAACCAAAAAATAACAATATGGCTGAACTAGAACTAACCCTTGCATAGAATATTAAGAATGAGTTCGCGAGAGAATCATGCAAAATTTAAAAAAACCGGCACAAGCCGTGTCCGGCGATTTTGACCAAACTTTGCAGATTTGGTCATTGGGTACCCCTTATACCCCACATGAAATATGAGGGTCACCAACCTTGTAGTTACGGAGAACCAGCTATGGCCATTTTATAGTTAAAAACCGTCATTTTTTTTGAAAAAAAAAATCCCAAAATTCAAATATTTCCCATACATTGTCTATTGATTTTTTTTTTTAATTATTTTTTTTATGAATGATCATGTGTACTACTTCAATATATATGACTATTAAATTTTTCCGAAACCATTTGAGGCTATGAGGAATTTATTTTGAGACGTAGTTTTTGCTATATGCTAAAACATATAAATTTCATGATGCTATATCTCACCTATTAATAATGGAAGTTGAGGACTACTAATACTAATATTTGGTTTTGACAAAATGACTGGCACGGATTTCTTTCATATTAAATTTTATGGTCGAACTTGAAGAAAATGACTTCATTTTTGACATCATTTTTCCAATAAAATCATTCATTGCCTGGATTATTAGGCCTGATAATGCCCCATGCAACCGCCTTCCAGCAACTCTTTGTAGGGCCGGTACAGATGATTCGGGAGTTCCACAAGGATCAGTCCTTGGACCTGTCCTTTCTGTAATGTATACTAAGAATTTGGGACAACTAATCAATAATCATGGTTTCTAGGACGACATTCTTATGCAGAAGATAATTATTCTGATATCAAATTGTGTACACATGACATTAAAGATAGGATGACAAGAAATATGTTGAAATTAAATTTAATTGAATAAAGTAAATCAGAATGTATTTTATGTGGTGAAAAAAAACATCAGAAAAAAATACAAGTTCAAATGACGTAGTTGTACAAGATGCAATATTTTTACCATGAGACACTGTGAAGAGGTTAGGTGTCCTCTTGGGGTCCAATTTGAGCATGGTCAGTCATACTAGTGAAATTTCTCGAAACTGTTATCTTTGGTCCGGGAACTTTATTAGCCAGGAAGCAGTTGCTACACTTATATGTTCTTTGGTATTCCCAAGGATTGACCACTGTAACAGTTTGTTAGTAGAAACATCTAGTGCCAATATTAAAAAAAATCAACTTGTAGAAAATAACGCAGCTCGAATTCTTACCAGATCATCAAAACACTCTCATATTACTCCTGTTCTGAAATCAATCTATTGGCTGCCAATCATCTGTCTTTGACGTATCAGTATGTGAATCATTCACCGTGAATGGCTTAGCTCAAATATAATTATATAACTTCATGCACATACAAGTTCCCCCGAGTAACCTCCGGCCGAACACACATTCATCAGTTTTGTTGCTCAAGGTGAAAATTAATATCATTTGGATACGGATCGTGCTCAGTGAAAGCGCCTAAACTGCGTAACAATCTTCCAGAGATCATTAAATCATCTCAAACCCTTTCTTGTTTTACAGCAAGACTTATCAAGATTAATTAAATTAATTTAATTGTATGCGCAGTGGACATGCTTCTGTACATATTAATATTATTATTATTATTATTCGTCAGGCCGAAGTTAGATTTGCACTCCAGCATCCAAGATGGCGGATGAAATCAGCTGTTCATTTTCCCGTCTTTTGCACAAAAAAAATGTGGTTTAGTAGCCAGTTATCCGAAAGAAACTATAATAGCATATTCCTGAAGCAATAGCCAGAGAAATGCCGCTCTGGCCATTGCTGGATTGACTTCTGATACTTACGTTTTTGGGGGAGTGTCTATTCTTCCCGTTCAATCAAATCGCTCCTAAGTAAAGTCTTTCTTTTAATCTGGGGTCTTCCCTAAAACTTTGGACAGTGATTTAAGGTATTAAAAACGGTGAAAGTTTTGTTCGTCTCCAAACAGTATTGTTTACACTGTAGCCATGTTGATAGCCTAGTTTGTCACGCAATTAGTTTTTCTGCAATATTCTGCTATGCACCGGTTAATTGGGCGTAATAAATTTCGTGAATCATGACGTAACGTTATGTTAACATATTTGAAACCAGAATGATATTGTTACGCAGTTAGGTATTGGTTGTTAATCGGACTATTGACGAGTCATAATTTGGAACAGAAATTTGCTTTCATTACGGCAGTGTTGAGTGGGATTAGGTCTAATCAAACTAAACACTGCGGGGAGTATGCTAAAATAGTGACCTTACGCTCATATACAATTTGTTTTTTGTCTTTTTGAAATATCGCTTGATTCGTTTGTGAAGTATAGACAGATGTATATGACTAGTACACTATTTAGTTTTTACGATTTGTTGTTCAAAAATTCATCATCCTTCTACTAGATCATGGAACAGAAATTTGCTTTCATTACGGCAGTGTTGAGTGGGATTAGGTCTAATCAAACTAAACACTGCGGGGAGTATGCTAAAATAGTGACCTTACGCTCATATACAATTTGTTTTTTGTCTTTTTGAAATATCGCTTGATTCGTTTGTGAAGTATAGACAGATGTATATGACTAGTACACTATTTAGTTTTTACGATTTGTTGTTCAAAAATTCATCATCCTTCTACTAGATCATGAGGTTATATTGCCGAATTAATAAAATGTTGACAAATAGTCTAGAGAGATTAATTGTATTTACCAAGAGCAGCTCTTTTGGCATTTACAGTAAATTAAGCTTTTCAAACTTTATCGTTTGAAAATTTTAACGGTGTAATTGTGAGCTCAGTTTTCGTGATTAGATACTTATTGGGTAGATAGATAGACAGATAAATTTTAACGGTGTAATTGTGAGCTCAGTTTTCGTGATTAGATACTTATTGGATAGATAGATAGAAAGATAGAAAGATAGATAGATAGATAGTAATAAATATTTGTAGTTTTGATAATGGAACATTTTTTAAACTTGAATTTTTTGATGAAAGTATATAATCTGCGTTTATATCTATTTGTTTATTTCTATTTTTATTATGGCTTGCTCTTAATGGAACTGGAAACCACGTTAATTTGGTTTCAGGTGCCATGTTACACTTTTCAGTATGTAAATAAAGCGGTTTATTTTTCGTCATTTTTGTTGAAAATCGTTATTTTTGTACAAAAATGGAAATTATTTACTACTAAACGGGTCGCGTGCCACCCAATATTTTTCTTGATCTTAATACTATAGATCATTGCCTTTTCAGTCAGCATTCCAAAAAAATACTTAAACCCGCAGTGGGTGAGATATAGATAGAATAAAATGACATACTTAAATTGAGCTATTTTGGTACCTTGCAGCAATAAGTCCCTATACCAAATACCGCGCCATGAAAATCCATCCAACTTTCAGAATGTATACTCACTAACGATATCTACTACGCTATAAAGTTTCATTATTCTACTCGCCGTAGTTTAGTTGTACGAAATAATTGAAAAGTGGCCTGAAAATGATGATTTTTTGGCTTTTTTCGGTCTTAAAATTTCAAAAATTTTTCTGCGCTCTAAAAATTGTTCGATTGATCTAAAATTGTGGCAGTGGGGTATTGAGGGGTTACCCATCATACATAAAAAAAATGGTGAAAATCGGTCACCCACCATGTGCCGGTCCCTGCATGGTTCTCTCGCAAACGCATTCTTAAGAGACATTCCAATGTTCCCTATAGATCGAACATATTTCAGCTTTCAGCCAGTTTATGAGAGGGGGGTCCATCGACCACCCAATTCAGATAAAGGTAGAACCATTGACTCTTTCTATTACGGAATTGCAATTGTTTACATTGGATACTATTTTTGCCCCGGTAGACTATAATCAAAAGCTGGTTAAACACTCAATATTCATATGCATGCTCCAACCCAATTACAGGTAGCTTCATTATTGTCCCGTTTTATTGATTGCCCTGTTTTCTTTAGTCATGTTTTCTTCATAGCACTGTTTTATTTATTGCCTTGGTTTCCAGTGAACTTAGCGATAGAATAAGATCCACTCTGCAGACCAGTTGGATGAATCACCTACTTCTACCATTTTCCACTAATGTTAGCGTGTGATGAAAACATCAGTCTATTGAACTAATTGAACAATTGTTGTTTTTTTTGTACACTTTATCACCCGGGAATGATTGGTCCTGTTTTTCGATTATTTTTCGAGGAGAGATCCGCCACTGAGACGGACACTCCAACTTTAAACCTATTTTAGAATATATGTTATTATTCAAATTATTGTCGGTCTGGGAAATACGAGGTGAATTTAAACCAATTAATATTTTTGATCAGTTAATTATACATATTTACTATTTTGTCTGTGTTCATCAACGTTTCACATCCACTCGTCAAATACCAGGTAATTTCGGGATAACATAATAATATGGTACAATATTATTTCAATAATTTGGTTGCGCGTAGGTGTCTTTGGCAGGGGGGGGGGGGGAGACCGGGGGAAAACCGACGAGGTTGGACAGGCGACCTTATTCCTTATCACGTACAAGCTGGAGAGTGATACTACGCCACTTGACTCGATGACAGATCTTATTGATATTAACAGCTTACGGCGCCAGCCATGTCTCCTTCCTTGGCAGTTTATATTGTTACACATAGCTGTGATATCTGACAGTATACTTTAAGCATTACAATAATTTCTACAAAACGCACGAACGATGCGATAAAATTCTCAACTAATTTTACCATTGCAATAATTCGTAAATAATACAATACCTATGCGGTATTATCCTCCCCTAATTTTTAATCGTCAACAATGAGAAAGTAGGCAATCATAACATGCCCCCCCCCCCTCCAAGAAAAAAACATAAATAAAAGAAAAATCTCCAAAACCAAGATAAATGTTTTTACCTATAATTACTGGGTTCGTTAGGATGGCTCTGCAGTTGGGTCATTAAGATACGTAGAATATTACCAAGAAAAAAAAAATTAGCCTGAAATTATAAAATATCATTGAAAACTATAGGGTGTCTGTTTTAATAGAACAAAACGTTGCCAGACTACGCATATACGCCCACAATCGGGATTTTGAATAATGGTTATTAGGTCTTTTTGTCAGGGACAATAACTAAGCACAAAATTAATGAACTAGCCCAACAATTGCAGCAAGCTTTGAGAAACTAATGTGGAAACTCTTGCCTGGAAGTTGTTTCAAAATTTTGGTGAGAGGGATAATAATTTAATTTCTAAAGGTTTTTTTTAGTGACTAGTGGAAAAATCCCATAAAGTTTGAAAATTAAATTGTCAAAACTTCTGATCTGTATAGTATTTACAAGGTTAAAGATACAGGGGCAGTAACACTGCGAAAAATCACTCTAAATTGTGATAGGATTCCATCTTAGGGTTAGTGAAACAATCCCAGAAATCTTTGATCTGTGTATCGTTTACAACAATTGCGGGCGGGAGGAGAGAGTTGACGTGAAAATGTAATGAAATGGGGTTTAACGTCCTACTGTTCTGCTCCGAACTGGGTTAATGAAGACGGGCATGGGCCATACAGTGTGCTATGAGGAAAATTTTGCCCGGACAGCGGCACTTCGGCCTACTCTTATATCGAATTCCAACTGTCAAGGGATCTTTTACGTGCACGCCAATGTGTATACGGGACCTCGGTTGTTCGTCCCATATGAACGACTAGACAGCTGTCCTTGTCAAGCCCTCCGTCCTGCATCACTGACAAGAGGGAACCACGCCGAAAAATCTGGATGAACTTTCTCGGCCAATGCAGGGATCAAACACCCGACCTCCAGACTAGCGAGCCAGCGTCTTACCCACTTAGCCAACGTGGCCCCGCACCACTGACAAGGAGGAACCACGTCGGAAAATTCCCGATTAACTTCCTTGGCCAACAATTGGCCTCCAGGTTAGCGAGTCAACGTCTTATGATTGGTCCCTACTATCAGGATTCATACTAAGATTGACATCGTGGTTTTAATCGTGGTTTTAATCGTGGAGTAATCGTGGTGATCCCATCAGGTCTTATCATATATTGAGGTCAGTCGTAGCAATCGTGGTGATCGTTGATCGTATCATGTATTGAGGTCAGTCGTAGCAATCGTGTTGATCCTGCACGTACGAGACCGTGGACTTTAATCCTATCGCAACGCATCGCACCACAGTGGGAACCTAGCACTGCCCAATTGAGTCACCGTTATAGAGACACCAGGCCATTAAATATTTAATTCATTTTAATCAATTTATTTAAAATCTTTATGCACAATCTGTTTGTTTTCTGTTTTACATTTGTTTATTTATCTATCCAATATTTAATTGTTGGTTACTTACGACAATGCAGACTAGATTAGGGAAGTAGACGATCCATTCATATCCACCAGCATGGTATACCCAGCAACTACAATAATAAACACAAACACTATAATTTACAGAGAGAGAGAGAGAGAGAGAGAGAGAGGGAGAGAGAGAGAGAGAGAGAGAGGAACAAGATCCCAATATTTATATTGTGGGGAAAATTATGATTATGAAGTACTAAAGATCGGAATCTGGCAATATATAGCGTTGTATTTATGATTGGTGCAACGTGTTTCGTCTAATAAAGATCATACTTCTTCATGACCTCAAAAAAGAAATAACGTTTTTTCAATATGGTTTTCAACGCTATTAGTTCATAATCATAATTTGCCAACAAACAATATACATCTCTCTTTTTTTTACACGTTTATTTATATCCCTAACTACACACGCGCCCGTCTTAGAAATCATAATTTTTCTCACAAACAATATACACGTCCCTTTTTTTACACGTTTATTTATATCTATAACTACACACATGCCAGTTTTAGAAGGTTCATGTATACGATAATTTCACATGTAAAAATTTGTGATTGGTGCAAATTACACCGCATTAAACTTCTTCATGTCCATTATTTTCCTTTCGTCTAATAAAGATGATACTTGTTAATAAGCTCGGACTTCCTGTGAGAGGAACTTGAGATGTATGAATAAAGATATATGATTGATAAGTTAAAGATACATTATGGGAGATTTTTATAGAGAGTTGGCCATTCTTGCTATAACAGTTCAAAAGTAGATGATGAAAGAAGAATATATTGAAAAATTCGGTCAAATTACTTTATTCTGAACATAGTTATCATCGTTGTAATATTTGACTAAAAATGGTAGCGAAATGCGTCTTCACCTTCGCCGATCGTTTGATTGACAGGCGTTAACTCCACCTACACATCTCGATTATCAAGTGAAGTTTTCAATGGCATACGGAAACGCTTTACAGCGGCCTCGCTAAGTACACTCTATCATTTAGCCTCGATGTAACTGACGTATTTTCATCAGGTTACCCCTTATTTGATTTAATCAATTAGTGAAATCCTATTTAAATCCGAGCTGTAGCCGAGCCATCCGTGGGTCTACAGAGTTGGTTTTGGTCTTGTTGTTTAAATAAAGATCTAATTTATAATTTCTATAACATCTGAAGCCTAAATTAAGACTTGCAATAATCAGATTTAGCTCTTGCATAATGCATGTTTAATGTAATATAGCATGTGTGACGGTGATGATTTAACACTAATAGTGCTAAAACATCTATCATTAAAATAAATGATACACACATACATCTATATTTATGCAAAATATCATCGACTGTTTATATATGTACATGAAAAAAATAACCAATTTTACTTCTTCATTCTGATATACATCAAATCATAAGCTATCTGCCTTGTCATTACTCTAGCGTCTTCAGATTAACATCCACTCGGCACACACCTGAGGCTAACATATTGTTCAATTTTATTTCAATAATTCGCTTGCGCGTACAGATCTTTAACAGTGTGTGTGTGGGAGGGGGGCGGGGGCAGAGAAAGTCCATAAGGTTGAACTCTATAGCCATTGCCACGTCCATAAACAAGCTGTTATCAAACCAACGCTAGTTGACTCAATGTCAGATCTTATGATCTAAAGCGCAAACGTTCCATATTCAGTCACCCAAGCCCTTTAAAAAAAAGCACCAGCAAGTCAGTCAACAGACTCATTTCGTGGGTGTATAGGTTAACACGATCGTTCACAATGACCTGCTTTAAAAAAAAGGCCTTCTTGAAATATGTTATTAATGGGGGATGTTTTACCCCAATGATTCAATACAGATTGAATCAATTCCATGTGAGATATAAGATTAAAGAATATGAAAAACGAATAGCAAATTATCCAAAGCCAAAAAATTCTGTTGGTTAACAAGATTCTTGGAAATACATCGGAATGATTTACCCAAAAGAGAATAATTTCAATAAATATGCAACATATGGTTATTTGGGGAATTTAAATACAGTTAGAGGATTATTTATTATAGCTGAAATCTATAGATAAAAGAAACAACGAACCCTGTTTTAGACACTTCGACTAGACTTATAAATAATTTAATCCCAAAACAACCCAATTATCAGTCAATAATAACCTGAAAACAAATCAATGGGGTGTTAAAGGCTCAATACCACTCTTGTTGTTACTGGATAATATGTCCCAATCTTTATTCTGGTCAACAAATTGTATTATTTTACAATATTCCAATTAATTGATGATACAAATTTCATCTTAACACACCTTATTTAAAAATTTTGAAAAATTCAACATAATGGTTTGAAAAGCCTAACGTAAACCATTTCAAATGAAACTTCGATTTAAAAATATTTTCGAACCCTCTGGACAAGTAAAATAGGATGTAATGGATAATTTACACAACAGGTAGGACACTTAAGCATCTAGTACTTAGATAGAGATATTATTTATTTTCTGGAACTTTCAAGCCAGCAAGAGTGTTATTGTCCCTTTAAGCTGAATGTGCTTTCAGACAAAACACGGCGAACAATGAAACAAGGAAAACACGTTCTTCTCGTTATAGAAATGAAATGGTTCCAAATACCTGTTTTCAAAACTGATACATTTAGAATCACAACTTGACATAAGTTTCATATATCAGAATTTCAAACAAGTCTGTTCAAAGATAGGAAATAGTTGTATTTAAGGTTATTGCAATGAAATGAAACGGGGTTTAACGTCCTACTTTTGTGCGCCGACTGGACTACTGTTCAGGGGCACAAACCATACAGTTTGCTATGAGGGAAATTTGCCTGGCAACGGCGCTACGGTCTACTCTTTTGTCAAATCCCAACTGTCAAGATTTTTTTCCCGTGCACGCCAACATGTATACACCGACATATGTTTTTTTTTTATCCCATCCGAATTACTAGACACTGGCCTTGCCACGACCCCTCCCCCAGGTCCTGCACATACTGACAAGGGGGGACCACCCTGTAAAATTCCGGGGAACTGTCTCGAAAAACACCTGAATCGAACCCCAGAGCCCCTGGTTAGTGAGCTACCCCGTTACTCACAAAACCACCGCGATTCCCTAGAGAACATAACTTTGCTATATTAATTCGCATACCCCTTACTATTCATAGTAACCATATAAAGGCTATTTCTATTTTTAACTGGACTTACTCAAATAAAGAGAGCATATATAGACAAATTAATTTTTCGTTATTTGGAAACAAAGTTCTGATCATACGTTCTTTGTATTAAACATTTCTAGATAAAAACAGATAAAACAGAATTACTTGGAGTTTCGTGTCTCATTAGTACAATAATTTTCCATTCCACGTCTAAAATTCAAATTTTAATTCTATTGTTTCGTCTGCAATTTCGAGCGGAAACAAATTTTCCCAGCCAGTTGTATTTTCCCCCACTGTTCTTTGGATAAGGTTAATGGGAATAATCTAAGTTAATGGAACATTGTGTCAAACCGACATTCAATTTGATGTTCTTTCGGAACAATGTAATCACAGACCAAAGATGTAAATTGTATACAAATAAGTCCCTTTGGCGCAAGAATAACAATTACATGACCACGATACAGTGTGTGGGTTAGTCGACGCAGTTATTACTTCAGTCAGCTGGATCTATCGCGTTTTTTCAGGAATGACATTGGATATTCTGGGCGGGGCTGTAGGTTGAGCGTCGATACTTTTCGTCTGCTGATTTACAATATAACTCTTCATAGGCGCCCCAGTCGCAATTACTAGATCAAATACAAAAAATACCCGTGTTCACAGTACTTGGCCACAGCAAATAGAGTTGGTGGTTCGGATCATTTTTTGGGCGGGTGGGGGGGGGGGGCAGGATTGGACAGGACAAAAAGAGCTAATAATATGACGATTTTAAATACTGTAAAGTTTCATTTTTGTTTCAGACATTTCTATCTTAATGACTGAGTACGGTTCTGTAAAATAGTGTCGATTCGGACTGTTTCAATACCGAAATTTCAGTGTTAGAGAAAACCACGCCAAGGCCGATTTATAAGACCTGTGCAATGAGAGAAAAATGTTTAGGGTTGGCGATTTGGGCTTAAAAAAAAATAGTGTCTGTCTCGTGAACGCAATCCCAGTTATGATTTAAGACTGGATAATCCTTGCGTGCTGATGCCTACATTTAAACTCTATTCTGATCATATGCCCTTGGTCGTATTCCTCCGTCGCATATTTTTTTTATATAATTTATTCATTTTAAAAAATTCACAAACCCCAAGTAAAAATCGTTCCGCCTTTAACTAACACACTGAAAGGAACTGTTTTCCAATGTAAGTAAACAAACGTGCATCACGTGCTATAAAAGACTTTGATGCAACGATTGGTTATTTGCCTACACCACGCGGTTACAGAGCGGGAGAATATCAGTTGGTACCTACTATAAATGCCGCTGTGGTGCCAGAAAATAAATATAATCATTAAGGTGGATTTAGCGATTGAGCACACAACACAATTTATATTTAAAACAATTTCTGGTTTGTATATACATGGCACGATGTTTCGACACGTGTTCTCGTATCGTCATCAAGCCTGTCGAAGCGTCGTGACATTTGTATACAAACCAGTAATGGCTTTCCATATAAATTGTGTTGTGTTTTCAGAAGAAAACGAATAGAATATAAAAACCGTTGTAGATCACCTTTAATTCTGACTCACCTTTTGTCATTACGAGTTATCCGAACACTTGTATAACCAATTATTGGAATCACAGAAAAACCTTAAAAAGTAATAAAAATATATGAATACACAATGTGATCATAATCTCAAGGGTTTCATACACAAATCAGTGAGTAAAAGGAATAAAAAGCTTGAACGGAAGTCTCAACAGTCTTAAAACTGTCTAGAATGCGAGAATGGCCGAATCGACAGTAACATATACACATATCTCAAATGTTCCGCTGATATTTTCTTTGGCGATAATTGACCGAATAGATCAAATAGGGTTTAATGTCATACTTTTCTGCTCCAACCGGGATAATGAAGACGTGCATACACCATGCAGTGTGCTATGAGGGAAATTTTGCAGGAGAGGAATTTAATTCCATGCAACGATTAGTTTGTTTTACGTGTACGCTAAGATGTACACGATATCCCGTTTTTTAGTGCCATCTATGGAACACTAGCCTATGTCACAGCAGTACTTCAATATTATTGTACTTCACTTTTGACTTCAATATTCTGACTTCACGTTGTGTACTTTTAAATAGTCGATAAAACTCTTAAATATCGCATTGTTCTACATGCTTGTTTATATGAGAAATAAAAGAAGTTACGCAATTCACAAGGCTATGACATCATAAGTTGAATCCAATGGGAATTTTCTGTTGTTTTGTTTTATGTAAAGATGCATTATGTAAGATTTAGATAAAGGGATGACCGATCTTGCTATAATAGTTCAAAAATAGATAATGAAAACTGAATAAATTGAAAAATTCAATCAAAATTACTTTATTCTGTGCGACGTTTAAAGTTTTGACAAACTGTTTATTACCGTAGCAACGGTACTTGTCTCGATTACCGATTTTATCGTTAAACTTTTAAATGGACGCGTTGCTGTAATATACATAAAAATCGAAGCCATCCGACGGTCTAAAGAGTTGATTATGAGCTTTCAATGTTAATAAATTCTAAATATGGATTTATATAAGATTTGAAGCTAGGAAATAGACCTGTAATAAACAGATTTAGCTGTTACATAATGCATCTTTAAACTCGATCTAATATAATTTATTCGATGAAAACCAGTATGGGAATTATCCTTAAGACGTACAAATGGGCGTCCTCAAGACTGCGTCCATTATCTTAATACCCCACACTAAGATCTTCTTGAAGGTATTTACGTAAAACAATCGCCCCTTCTCGTCTACCAGTCGCTTTCGAGTGTAACAAAAGATGACGGACAACAATACCAACACAATTGAATTTTCAATAATTACAGTTATTCTGATGGTTAAATATTTTTATCTTAAATGAAGTCAGTGTCTATTACTATGGAGTATATTATCTCTATGATAGAGTCAATATTTGCACTACATCGACTATAAGAAGACAAATAGCTTGTTTTTAATAAAGTGTACATACACAGGTTGCGTGTCAAGGGAGGGGGAGGGTGGGGCGAAGCCTCCCGTACTCGTCCAGGGCATGAATTTTACAAATCAGGCTTTTGTCATATCAGATTTGTAAATTGTATTTTTGGTTAATATCACTATAGTTTAATATAAATGAAATGAAATGGGGTTTAACGTCCTACTGTTCTGCTCCTAAACTGGGCTAATGAAGACGGGAAGTTTAAACATACATTATGCAAGAGCAAAATCTGATTATCGCAAGTCTTAATTTAGGCTTCAGATGTTATAGAAATTATAAATTAGATCTTTATTTAAACAACAAGCCCAAAATCAACTCTGTAGACCCACGGATGGCTCGGCTACAGCTCGGATTTAAATAGGGTTTCACTTATCAATTAATTCAAATATGGCGCATCCTGATGAGAATACGTCAGTTAGATCGAGGCTTAATGATAGAGTGTACTTAGCGAGGCCGCTGTAGAGCGTTTCCGCATGCCATTGAAATCTTTACTTGATAATCGAGATATGTAGGTGGAGTTAACACCTGTCAATCAAACGATCAGCCACGGTGAAGGCACATTTCACTACCATTTCTAGTCAAATATTACAACGATGCTAACTATGTTCAGAATAAAGTAATTTGACTGAAATTTTCAAAATATTCTTCTTTCATCATCTACTTTTGAACTGTTATATCCAGTAGACGTGGTACAAGGGTTAATCAGCGAACTGGATGTATGAGATGTGTTGTTGACGTTTGGGAAAGTAGAACGAGGGGAAATGTGTAGGGAGTGAAGTGCTGTAAAGGGATAGTTAGATGTATTATGAATGGTTAGAGTGGCTGTGGTGTTACGGTGAAATACTATGCCGCCACCGTAACACCACAGCTTTATGATTTGTTAGACAGGAGTGATGTAATGGGTGTCAACAACTGGGTATGCTGGTACCGTCGCAACGTAGACGTGAAATATATATTGTGGGGGGGAAGGGCGGAAACGGAAAAATATACAATGTTGACAGTATGTGCCAGGCATGAGTCTGCGCAGACCGAGAGGCAGCTCGATAGTGTGTGGGAGGGTCACCCTCATAAAAAAATTATTTTTTTAAATTTCAGTTTTCTGTTAGCAGTGAAAACACTATTTTGGCATTGTTTGCGGGGTTAAACCTAAAAATCACATTAATACACCTATTGCACGATATTGTGAAACTAGCTGACGAAGACAGCTCGGGCGGCGATTGTTCGACTCGGGGCTGCTCTGTCAGTATCTAACAAACGCATTTAGTTCGCGTACAACTTTTAAAAACCGAATGTCAGTATGGTATTTCTCACATAATTGGTTATCGCAAAAACAGAGTAAACTGAAAGCGAGTAATCTCGACTCAAACCTATAGTCTATAGCCTACTTACTACACTCGTCACTAGGCTTCCTATATTATTGTTTGTGGACGGTTTACTACTCAGTGATAAGCCTGCGCCGCAAAAAGAGGTCTCGCCTTTTATTATTAGTATAATGACTTCCTCATGTGCGGCAGGTTAGTTTGCTTCTAAAAACACTGTTTTCCGTTCCAAAAAATACAAAAGTAATTTTCTACCAGATGACCATGGTTCTTTTCACCGAGACTAGATAATTTCTCTCGGTGTAAGGATATAGCTATGGATAAGTTCATACAAGGTCAATAAATCCGCGGTCACTTCGGGTCACACTGTTGAGAAAATAAACCGATGGGTTTGTTTAGTAGCAAATCGAGCGTGAATCAACTGAGTTTGTACTGAAAAATTTTTGAGTGATATGTATGAACTGTCTTCACACATTCGGTTTATAATTAGCGATACACAGGTACAGTGGCAAGTGTTGTACTTCACAGACTGTTTACCTCCGAACTACCTCCGCACGAAATCCCCGATTTGGGTACTTGTTAAAAGAAAAAGAAATAGTACCTGTGCGCATGCCAGTAAAAAAAACCTAAGAGTTCGCGCATAAAAATGCCCGAACGTACCAGGCGCCAGGTCATCAAGAATGGCCAATTCTCTGTAAAAATCTCCCATAATGTATCTTTAATATACAGATAAATTGTTTTTTAGAAAATCAAAAAATTAGCCTACATTGACATTTCTTCATAGACCTACAACGAAAAACAAATCTCGAAAAACAAATTTACAAATACAAATTTCCAAGTACAAATCTTGCAAAACATTTCTCTAAAAACATTTCTCGAACTTCATGGAACCGGAACATTATGGCATACAAAAAGTCACCATACAATAATGGGGAATCGAGCAAGCATATATACAGTAAGAAAAATCACTCAATGACCGTGACTTTAGTGAAACCACGCGCGTAGTATGGCTAAACCGGCCGAGCCTTTGATAAAGAAAATCAATACTTCTTTGCTCAAAAGAAAGAGTGTTTTATCTCTTCTGAATCATGTAATCATGAATGTGCCAGGGACAAAGTAATATATTGAAAGAGGGGAAAAAAATACTTTCCGGTCATGCATAACCCGTATTTTAACTTTTAAATACCCCCACCCCACTCCCGATGGTATATCGGGATGCATACCATTAAAAAGGTCGAAATACATTTTCAAATCTGTAAAAAATTTTATGGCATATTCAAATTTACGTACCTTATTAAAGCAGATATTATTTAGATCGTCTGAACACTATTTAGTGGGCTGGGGGTGGGTGTAAAATTACGGGTCTTAATACGAAATTCCAGTTATCATGTAATGCACCACCGAAAAATATTTCTGTATCGCTCTTTGACTATACGAGTATTAGTTACTTACTGGCACATTCATGATTGCATGATTTAGAAGAGATAAAATCACCTTTCGTTGTCTAAAAACATATTTCGCTATCAAAAAATAACCTAATAACTTAAAATAGACTACTTTCAATTAAATTTATTTAATGCTAGGTGGGATTAACCAATATATATATAGAAACATTACTTTATGGATTAGCCATAACACGCACGTGATTTCGCTGAAGTCACGGTCATTGAGCGATTTTTCTTATTGTATGCGTGCTCGATTCCCCATTATCGCATGGTGACTTATTGTATGCCAGATTGATTTTGAAGAAATGTTTTTGGAGAAATGTTTTTGAAGAAATACTTTGGAAGATTTGTATTTGGAGATTTGTATTTATAAATTTGTTGTTCGCGATTTGTTTTTCGTTGTATGCCTATGATGAAATGTAAATGTAGATTATTTTTTTTTGATTTGCTAAAATAAATTTTATCTTTATATTAAAATACAATTAAATTAAATAAAAATACAATATATAAATCTGATATGACAAATGTCCGATTTTTAAAACAAATATTGATTTTAAGATACAAATTTTAATTTGAGTGCACAAATGTTGAAATACGACAACAAATGAAGAACTAAAAATTAAGGACTATGAATTAAGAACTAAAAATTAAGAAGACTGAATAAATGGCCTTCCATATTTATTGTCATCACCACCCTTTATTATCATGCTTTTGGGCCAAGTTTGAAATATAGTTGGCAAATTAAATTGGTATTTCTTTGGTGTGTAACATGCAATCTATCACCCAAAATAACAAAAAAATGTTCTATCTTATGAACAAAACTTACAGTGCTAGCTTTAAAATCAATCTAATTAAAACACAGATCCTATTTCGTTTCGTTTTTATAGTTCAAAATTTCGTTTTACTTGTCTTTACAACACTAGGATCTGAAGAGTTGTTATCATTGACGTATTATGGATGATGTGAGGGATTCAGCCAATGAAACGGTCTGTTACGGCGAGCTTTTGGCGTGAGTTGCACGGAACTGTGGGTAATCCATTAGAAACATCAATGCTAGTTGGTTAATCAAATAGGGTTAATCGTATGACCTCTGACGCGAGCCCCGCAAAACAACTGGTCAGATCCTCATGTAGTGTAGGCCATCGAAAGTATTAAAAAAAAACGAAACGAAATATAGATCTGTATTTTAATCAGAATGCTTAAAATGTGCATTTTAGAACTCAACGTCCATAAAGCCATTGCAATGCTTGAAAGGTCAAGGACAGGGAAATGTATCTAATGTATTGTATTGATCTTGTTAACAGACAGATTATTTCAAAATTAACCACAAAAAGTTGTCTGATGGCGTGAAAGTTATAAATATAATCCGATTTAAAAGGTTTCTGAATGAATATAAATCTTTTCTACAGAATCTGTTAATTGATTTTAAAATATCTAGTGAAAACAGCTTAAGATAGGTTTACAGTGTGAAGTACGATTTCGATCATGTCCATACCTAAGAATAAATGTCACCATTTTCTAAAGAAAAACTTACACACTTCAAATAATTCGTCGATAATTAAATCAAATGACAAATCATATAAAACCGTAATTTAATTTAAATGATTTTTAAAGATTAAATACGTCTCTATATCTGTTCTAAGCAATAAATTCTCAAAAAGAAAAAAAAAAGCTAACACAATTTAAACAATTCAATTTCTGATAATTAAATTAAATGATCAATTCCTGTATGTCTTTGAAGATCAGATACATGTCTAGATGATAATCCATTGAGAAATAACAATACGACTTTAGAATAATACAGCCATCCCAAATAAGACATGTGAAATATTCATAAATAAAAATCAAATTATGAAAGCCGAAGACCAAATTTATGAAAGTATTTGTTTGGTTGAATACAAGGGAAACCCTTTTCATTATACCACAAGAGTAGAAAAGCGAAATAATTGACTGATTGACTGGAAATGCAACAAATAAAATGTAGGATAATACTGAGTTATCGGAAGCTAAAACGGAATTAAAGTCATGTATCTTAAAGTATGTCTGCTGTGATTACTATTGGCAAGATTAAAAGAAAACACAGAGTCGGGTTAGAAAAAGAAAAAAAACACTTGAAAAGACAGCTTGTGTTAAATTCCCACACAAGGCGTTGTGTTAAATAAATTTAACACGATCCTGTGTAGCTTTGCCAATGTTTTCACACAAGTTTGTGATTAGGAATTGTCACAATCTTGTGTTAGCGAGAGAGAAATGTGGTTTAACGTCCACTCGACACAAACTAGGTCATTTTGGGACTAACACATGTTTCAACCTTATTTCAATAATTCGCCTGTGCGTAGGGGTATTTAGCAGTGGGGGGAAACCGGAGGACGCGAATAAAACCCACGAGATTGGACAGGCGACCCTACTCCTTGTCACGTACAACCCGGGAATCGAAACCACACCAGTTGACTCAATGGCAGACCTTATGATCCAGCGCGCACGTGCTAACCATTCGGCCAATCTTGTGTGAAATTTAAAATCTTGGGTGTTTAATACAGATATGGCGTATGTTCGGCACTGATCTGTATTAGAATTGCAAATTTAGTGGCATTTAGTGGCACAGAAAGAAGTACCCCAAAACGTAGCCAGATTGCATTTCCAAATAGCTGAAAAATATGTGATGTTTTACCCAATATCCCATGTCATCAATGAACAATTGAACAGCTATTATCATTCTGGCAATTAGCACACGCGTTGTGTCAATATTTAACCAACCATTTGTGTGGAAAACAACACAAGATAGCACGGTTGACTATTTAACAACGTTTGTGCTGGTTGACTATTTAACAACGTTTGTGCTGGTTGACTATTTAACAAAAGTTTGTCCTGGTTGACTATTTAGCACGAGTTTTTGTTGGTTGACTATTTAGCACGAGTTTGTGCTGGTTGACTATTTAACAAGGGTTTGTTCTGGTTCAGTTGACTATTTAACACGAATTTGTTCTGGTTGAATATTTAATACGTGTTTGGTCTGGTTGAATATTTAACACGAGGTGTTGTGCTGGTTGACTATTTAACACGGGTTTGTTCTGGTTGACTATTTAACACGGGTTTGTGCTGGTTGACTATTTAACACGAGTTTGTCCTAGTTGAATATTTAACACAAGTTTGTATTTTGTTAAACAGAGACGACACCCTATGCTCCATGTGTTCAAATAAAATCTCAGTTATAAACTAGTGTTGTTCGTTGACTATTAACACAGAGACACCTTATACCACATGTGTCAAAATAAAATCCCTAATAGTGTTGTTTTAACACGTGATTTGTTTAGAGTGTATCTATTGATCGGTAATATTACTAATTAAGGAAAACTGTAGACTTAATGTTATATTATCAATTGACTACAATGTCTACCAAAAAGAACAAACTGTCAACCAATCCAGTAATCGACGTCACATCACAAGATTGAATGGCGTCATACAAAGAGCAGATTCAACTACAAATTGTTGAGTTGCAGTTAATTTGTCGGCTTTTAGTAATAGATGTGACTCTATCCGGTCGTCATAACCCCAACGATCGCTTCATGCAGGCTGGGTGGTCTAGTAGTCTAACATATGGAGTGGTTTCGATTCCAAGCTAACTCGGGGAAGGGTTAATAGAAGGAGGAGGCGGGGGGGGGGGGGATATATATATATGGTCGACGAACATTCGCCGAGGATTAAAATATCGCCGATGCTTCGGGAATGCTCCGGGGAAAAAATATTTCACGGAGGCTCCAAGGAAGCATCCCCGGACCTTCCCCGTGGATCTAGAAGGCCCCGGGAATGCCCCATCGGCCTGTGTGTCCGACAAAAACGCAGTTATCATGAGGCCTCCGGATGGTTCCACATGGCTCGCGATGCCCACGAAGCTTCCCGGGACACCACCCGAGGATAATCAATTTCCGTATGGAGTGGTTTCGATTCCAAGCTAACTCGGGGAAGGGTTAATAGAAGGAGGAGGCGGGGGGGGGGGGATATATATATATGGTCGACGAACATTCGCCGAGGATTAAAATATCGCCGATGCTTCGGGAATGCTCCGGGGAAAAAATATTTCACGGAGGCTCCAAGGAAGCATCCCCGGACCTTCCCCGTGGATCTAGAAGGCCCCGGGAATGCCCCATCGGCCTGTGTGTCCGACAAAAACGTCAGGAACACATCGGGAACAATTTCAATGCAAGCATTGTAAATTGTCGCAGTTATCATGAGGCCTCCGGATGGTTCCACATGGCTCGCGATGCCCACGAAGCTTCCCGGGACACCACCCGAGGATAATCAATTTCCGTCGGTAGTAGATCTCCCAAGCAAATATGCCCAGTGGGACCCAGGCACTGCCGTTATGAAATCGTTGACCATTGAACAACACATTATATCCTGCTCCTTTCAGAATTATACGGATTACAACCAACTTACCCCAGCCAATAATATGATAGATCAATAACGATTTTGGAACTTTGAACGCCTTGACAATCAAGCGATGAAGATGGAAACCTTCCAGGAACATCCAGACATAAGTAGTAGATACGGCATACCTGGTTAGAATGTTGAGAATTTTACATCCATGCTGAAAATGACGAAATTAATTATTATATTCAAGACATGACCTGAATGATGCTGGTAAGTGTGGTGCACGGGGCGGTATATGCAGAGATATACACTTTCGAAACCAGTTACTATTTGTTTCGAAGTTCGCTATATGGATCGAGATCACTTCTGATTGTCAGGTAACATTCTTACCCCAGAATCCCTCATCGTACTTTGCGTATCACACGTGGTTTGTCTGAGCATTCCATAACCTCAAACAGTCTTTCGGGATTCGTCGGTGACCTGGCTTTGTGGAAGAGTGGTGGTGGCGGAGCTATCACGTTTGAGTTGAGCTGATGAAACTATTTATATCCTGACTGGGAAACCTAGCCCACAGTCTTGACAGACAAGAATCGAGTTTGAAATGAGCTCAAGGAATAATGCTACGGTTAAGAGGACGAGGAAGGTAATAATTGTATGAAAGTATAAAATTAACATTTCATTGATCCTTACCGGGTCTCGGTACATGATGGAATATCTGGCGGGTTTTTCCAACCGATCATTGAAAACGAGAACATCCCACAGTATCATGATGGCACATGTCAAAGCAAACGAACTAAACAAACATATATGGAGTTTGATTCTCTGCTGCATTCGGAGTTGCCTGAAAAATATAGAAAATTTAAAATAACATATCAAATTACACAGCCTTACATACATGTATATTACTGACAGATCATGATCGGGGGAGGGGGCGAATGTTCTAACGGGTCATAAGGTTGTTTGAACAGGAATGAGAACCCAAAATTTTCTGGCCCGGGAAGACTGTGGGCGATACGAGTTATATACTGTATATGATAAAAACTATAAGATATTTCTTAAAGTTACAATTTCATATTTTCTAAGAAAGTCAAAACATAATTATTTCTATGTCTTTTGCTCAATAGGTTGTCAACTCACTATTATACGATCATAGGTTATCTTTCTCACACTTAAAAATCTTCACACCGGAAATAATAACACAATTACCTCCCTTGTTTTCCTATTCCCCACCATGGAATAGCTATCTTCAAACGTTTGAATTTGAAGTTGAAAATTATATTTTTGCCAGTTTCTCAACTGGCAATAGTGAATTATAGGATTAATAGGATTATTCTTTAACAAGGTAGGACTGTTTATAGATACCATCTATTTTAGGGCTTTATTTTAATACATTTTAAAAATATAACTTAAAAATATGAAATTGTAACTTTAAAGCTAATAAGCATGCCAGGCAATAGGCTACCTAAATACTGTTTTAAAATGTTATACAATCTTGATGCAACTGGGGGAACCACCTGATGTACCCATATTAAAGTATTCTGTATAGCTGTGGATATGGAGATGTATGGGAAAATCAGGGAATAGGGAATGTAAAACTATTTATTGTGAGTATAATGTTAGATTTAAGGACATAAAGCTACGAGATTGGAACTCTAATATAAACAGTTCTTACTAGTACAACTTTTATAATAACACAAAAAGTGGCCTAGTCTTAGAAAGCTATGTAATTTTTCTGCCTATTCAGTTGAATATACAGGTCATAATTCTATGGAATACAATTACTGCTTATTACTGAGCGACGTTTCGGCTAGGCTTCTCTAGTCATTATCATTGCTTGATAATGACTAGAGAAGCCTAGTCGAAACATCGCTTAGTAATAAGCAGTAATTGTATTCCATAGAATTGTGACCTGTATACTCTCGTTCAATTACTAAATGCCATTGAAACAATCTATCCAGTTGAGTTTATATTTAGCATCCTTCATATGCTCAGGACACCATCTAAAGATTGGTCCAGGTAGAAGGACAGGCATTGCCTGATCGGCATGATTATGTCATACTCCTCGCAGTGTTTCGTTTGATTAGATCTAATCCTACTTGAAACTGTCGTAATGAAAGAAAATGTCTGCTCCAAATTATGACTGATTAATAGCCCGATTAACAACCAATACCTAACTGCGTAACAATATCATTCGGGTTTAAACAGAGCTCCAAATATGTTTACATAACGTTACGTCATGACTCACGAAATTTATTACGCACAATTAACCAGTGCATAGCAGAATATTGCAAAAAACAAAACAAAACAAACTAATTGCATGACAAACGAGAATATCACAAATAGCTACAATGTAAACAATACTGTTTGGAGACGAACAATACCTTCGCCGCTTTTATTACCTTAAATCATTGCCCAAAGTTTTAGTGAAGACCCCCGATTAAACGAAGAGCTGTCATTTTGCTGTACTTGGGATAGATTTGATTGAACGGGAAGAATAGACACACTCCGTCAAAAGCTCAAGTATCAGCAGCCAATCCAACAATTGCCAGAAAAGCATTTCTTAAGCCACTGCTTCGGGAATATGGATTATTTGCAACCTTATGGATATTGAAGATGAGATTCACTTCATGTTTATGTGTCCAATGTTAAGAAATTTAAGAGTCAATTATTTACCACATGGTCTATACAAATACCCATCCTGGGTAAACCCGAGCTTGTTATTTAATAACACCCCATATCTATACGACATAGCAAGTTTTATAATGACGGCTAATCACTACATAAAATCTGATTACCTACATATAGACATGTCAATGTCCTGTTACACGAACTTCATTAGCACAAATGTAGACTTGAAATGATATCCCCCATATACTGTCTGTATACTTTGCTATTTATAAATGTACCATAGGCCCAATGCCTATTATTATTATTATTATTATTATTATTATAAGATCTGTCATTGAAATAAAACTGTACTATGTGTTAGATTCGAAAGGAGACTGTATTGAGCCCCCCCCCCCTCTCTCTCTCTCTCCCTCTCTTTCTCTCCATTTCTGAAGATACGTCGTAATTGTTTGTGTCCGATAACCGGACATCATCTTATAATTATACATATATATACATATGATGTTATGGCATCTGAAGGCACTCAAGTAATGACAAGGCAGATAGCTTATGATTTAATGTATGTCATAATGAAGAAGTAAAAGTGGTTGATTTATATATATTTAAACAGCCGATGACATTTTGTATAAATGTTATAGATCTATATATGTATGAATTATTTTAATGATAGATGTTTTAGCACTATTACTGTTAAATCATACATGCTATATTGCATTAACTTATCAATCATATATCTTTATTCATACATCTCAAGTTCCTCTCACAGGAAGTCCGAGCTTATTAACAAGTATCATCTTTATTAGACGAAAGGAAAATAATGGACATGAAGAAGTTTAATGGGGTGTAATTTGCACCAATCACAAATTTTTACATGTGAAATTATCGTATACATGAACCTTCTAAAACTGGCATGTGTGTAGTTATAGATATAAATAAACGTGTAAAAAAAGGGACGTGTATATTGTTTGTGAGAAAAATTATGATTTCGAAGTAATTAAGGTCGGAATCTGATAATATGTAGCGTGGAAAACTACATTGAAAAAACGTGATTTTGTTTTTGAAAGAGAGTGGACAAACGAGATAATCCGATATAAATCAGCAATATAAGCTAGGCGATACGACGCCTTATCGGGGTAGGGGGTGGATGGCCGAATTTTTAGCGCATACGCGTTGTACCATAAGGTCTATCATTGAGTCAACTGGCGTGGTTTCGATTCCCCAGTCGTACGTGGCAAAAAGGAGGGTCGCCTGTCCAACGTCATGGGTTTTCGCCGGGTCCTCCGGTTTCCTCCCTCTGCTAAAGACCCCTACGCGCAAGCGAATTATTAAAATATATGTTAGCCCCGAAATGACCTAGTTTGTATTGAGTGAACTCTCTGTCTCTCTGACGACGCCTACCTTCTCAATCTCTTAGTCCCGAAATGACCTGGTTTGTGTCGAGTGGACGTTAAACCCCATCTCTCTCTCTCTCTCTCTCTCTCTTTTTTTTCTCTATCTCTAAAGTGTTATATTCTGCTATAACCTATGACAACATTTGAGCTTTGAAAAGTAGCATATCGACATAACGCTTTTGAAAATTACCCGTATTCATGACGTGACAGGTATTTCTCTCAAATAGAAATAAAGACTTTAATATATAGCTAAAATTAAATTTATATTTTTATTCAGAAGTAAATCTACATTTCAATTAGACTTCGTATTGTTTTACTTTACCCATATTCATAAGTTCAGTCGGCGCGGAAAAGTAGGATGTTAAACCCCATTTCATTTCATTGCAACAACCTTAAATACAACTATTACCCATCTTTGAACAGATTTGTTTGAAATTCTGATATATGAAACTTATGTCAAGTTGTGATTCTAAATGTATCAGTTTTTAAAACAGACTTTTGGAACCAATCTGTTTCAAATTTGTCAGTTGATAACTTTGAATCGGACCACAGTTTATTCCTTTAATGGTATTTCTTAAATTCACAGACGAAAGGGAGATAAATAATTAGATTTCTTCAATAAAACGTGAAAAACAATATTTCAGCAAATACTTCGACTGTGACCATTGAAAGTCGAGTTTCAGAGTTTCAGACAAATCCACAGGACGTGTGCCAATTTTCTCTAAAAGGATTCCGTCGGTTTCCACTTGAAGATGTTGAAGTCTTAAAAAGTATTCTGAGAAATTAGTTTAGAGTCTATTCTTACTTGTTTCGCGAGCTTCACATCCGACTTCTTTATATACATGATTGAATTCAAAGAATTAAATGTCTGGCAGACGTGAATTCAAACGGATCAACTGAAATTGAATTTAAACAATGGCGCGTAGATAGTGTAACGTATTCAATTTGTAATGGACAGATCGAAGCCATGTTTGTTTTCCAATATAAAGACTGTTAGTTAATAGTTTAACCCACGACAGATAACCGCTATCAGCAAAATTAAATCCGCATGGATAAAAGAAAACTTCTCTCCAAGAGGCGTCAAATTCGTCTGTCTTCCATTATAGTAAAAACAGCATCTTTTTTTTTCTATTTCACGAACAACACTCAATGATGTTGTCTTATTTGTGCCTGTGATAAATACACGTTGTTATCAGGCGCTGAACCAGAATTATTCATGGTCAGTATGTGCGAAGATTCAATTGCTGCACTATGGGATCGAGCGTTTTGCAGACAGCATGAATAGTAAATTTGGTTAAACTCATGATATCAAGTCAAGAATATCTAATTATCTAGTTCTTCTGTTTCCTATATTTATCTGAATAAAACAGCATTTGAATAAATCTGAATTAAAGACAACCAGGCAAAACGCTCACAGAATTTGTCCACATTTACCTCTTCAGAGGCGGATCCATGATTTTCAACAGGGAGGGATAGTGCATTTTCGGATCTTCATATTGAAGTGAATATTGGCCAGCACCGAAAGCTCGAAGCTCACTACGCAGGGGTTACAGAAACTCAACCATCAAATTTGAAAAAAGAAAATGGGACTGTGTAGATGCTATTTCCGACCATTTCGGGTTGCAGACCAAAATCTTGAAATGAAATGAAATGGGGTTTAACGTCCTACTGTTCTGCTCCGGACTGGGCTAATGAAGACGGGTATACGCCATACAGTGTGCTATGAGGGGAACGACTAGACAGCTGAGTCTGAGCTCTTAAATGTGCTCTCACTATATATTGCACCGTGGTGAAGAGCAATTCCATTGATAACAATCTGAACAAGCCCCCCCCCCCCCACACACACACACACACGCAGCGTATTTTAGATGTGACTTCAATATGCAAACACATTCGTATGAACGTAAAGCCTCTAAAATCTATTTCAGTTAAAGGATGGTTTTCAACGTATGATAATTCCTTATTGACGAATGAAATCCGGACACACTGAAGTTCATTGATTTTTATGGGAAATGCTGCAGATTTTTTGATGCACAGACTATTTTAAAACCTGCTCGGCTAATGCAAACCAACAATAATTACGTGCCTGTAAATATCCCCGAAAAGCTTTATTTGATGAAACCAAAATTGAAAGTTTGGTACAGATAGGAAACGGTTGGGTTTTATTTGCGTTATTTTTAAGTCTTAATAACGCTAGAATCAGTTAAACGATGGGTTGTAATAACCGTTGTGTCTGCACAAAACAGAGCTACCACAGGTGATCCGTGGAGAGCAAATAAACCCCAGCAAATTATGCCATTCTTTTGTCATTTTCTGGGAATTACCCTCTTCGGCATAAACTCCTCTTTAACCCTTCTATTATAAGATAAATGAAATAAAAATTGATCCCGAAAACCTCTCTAAAGCTTCTAAGTCGGTCGAGAGATTACAAAAAGTCTTGAAACACCGTAAACCGTATCAAAGAGGTTCCAATTTAACAGTTTGATTTGATCTGTGGCCGTGGACAAATTACTCGGAATGATATTCGGGGATTTTGAATGAAATGAATATACATGTACTTGATTTACCAAGGATCTGAAAAAAACTGTGAGGAAAATGGAACCGACAACATCTTTTGATACTAAAGTACTATAACACGAGGTTTATGGATTAACTGTGAGCTTACTTAATATGAGTCTAACTAGTTCCAGGAACCGTTTTATTGCCATTACTATTGGTACTATATACGATTAGTTTAATAGCTTTGACAGGTGCTAACACCATTGACTTAGATTACTCGTAACTCTTAGGAGATTTCTTATAATTTTTGGCACTTGTGTGTTACTATTTCATTTTAAACCATGACAACTATATCAGGCATGTTTAGGTATAGTCGGTCTTTTACAGAAAGAAAATTGTCAGCAAATAATCCAAACCTCTAAATCACTCCAAACCGTTGAAGGTAAAAAAAAAATATACAAATAATAATATGTAACTTATAATTGTTTCAGAAACAGTTGGCGCAGATTTTATCTCCATAAAAATTACAAGAAACAAATAAAGCACTAATATTTGATAATATCCACACAAAAACCATTATTGTATTAGTATAATTGATTTATCAATGGTTGGTGTCATAAGATCAAAAGCCGCTCGTATGAAACCTGACGAGACCATCCACTACAACCGGTCAGATCTTCATGTAGTGAAGGCCATCGAAAGCATAAAAAAACCACACGAAATATAGATCTGGGCCCTGTTTCTCGAAATCTTAACTAAAGATAAAATCCCAATTTTAGTAGATACTTCAATTTTGATTGGCTAAGCACTAAAATCAATCTAATATTATCCAATCAAATTACTAAAATTTGGATTTTATCGTAGTTAAAATTTCGTGAAACAACCCCCAGTATTTTAATCAGGTTGATAGAGAAATGAAAATGAAATGAAATGGGGTTTAACGTCCTACTGTTCTGCTCCTAACCTGGGCTAATGAAGACGGGCATACGCCATACAGTGTGCTATGAGGGAAATTTTGCCCGGGCAGCGGCACTATCGCCTATTCTTATATCGAATTCCAACTGCCAAGTGATCTTTTACGTGCATTCTAATGTATCCACGGGAGCTCGGTTTTTCGTCCCATCCGAACGACTAGACAGCTTTCCTTGTCAGGCCCTCCGTCCTGCATCACTGACAAGGGGAAACCACGCCGGAAAATCTGAATGAACTTTCTCGGCCAATGCAGGGATCGAACACCCGACCTCCAGGCTAGCGAGCTAGCGTCTTACCCACTTAGCCAGATTGATAGAGAACCCACAACCAACCAAATAAATTTTTTCGCTTTCTATAGATATAGTAGTAGTATATAGTTACCTATAATATAAGAAGATAACACAAGCAGGTACCAGGAAAATTATACTGATGATATTACAAATCAACCCCACTTGAAACAGTATTTTAAAATTCTGAAAATATATATCAACACATTTAAGAATATATATCATCACAAAATAATATCCCAACGATCTTAAACTTCCATGGGTGTTTCTACCAAATGATTTAGATTAGTTGACAATGTCAAAATTTTACCCTTCCCCATCAAACATACCTATTAATAGTGGCACAAATTTATAGATGAAATAAGACTAAATGTGCTTCTTCGCCGTGTTGCGAGTTCGACTTTATTGGACTGGGGTCCAATTAAAATCTCCACAGTAACTTAGCCATTCTTGAAATGGCAAAGCCTATTGCTGACGGCGGTTCCTTTTCTTGAACCTTCTTCAATGTCTTTTGTACATTTTAAATCCCCCAGAAACCTCACCCCGCCAATGCAAGTAGATGTCCAATGGCAATATTATCTATAGATCTGCTCACTTGCTGTTGTTGCCATGGTGAATTCATCGCCGAGTAGTTATTACCCCGAGTCTTTTATAACAACAAGAAAACACTTGTCGAAACGTCGTGCTTTATATGTACATACAGAGAAAAATGGAGTTTAACGTCCACTCGACATAATCTAGGTCATTTCGGGACTAACATATGGTTCAATTTCATTTCAATAACCCACGAGGTTGGACAGGTGACCTCACTCCTTATCATGTACAACCGGGGAATCGAAACCACGCCAGTTCACCCAATGACAGACCTTATGATGTAGCACGCACGCGCTAACCATTTGGCCACCCAACCCCCTTTTATATGTACAGACGACTGATTATTTTCCATGGAAATTCCATTAAATGTCACTCAATGTTGTTATCTGTTACAGTGTAAATTGACCACAATAACATTTTTTATACATGACAAATTACAACAATAACTTTTACCGTGACATGAAGACAGACAATTATGCTTCCATTAAGTGTCCTAGTATATAAATATGACAGGCGACGACATGAAATTGAATAGGCCATTGAATAAATGACAAGAAAATATAATATAACGTAATAAAAAAAAGATGACTAGTCATCACCATCCCGCGCCCTTGAACTTGTTTGGAAGGCATAAGGAAAAACAACTACTTGGAATATCTGAACAGATAATGAAATATGCTCTACAAATGAAATCAGGACAGAAGGAAGGTCATCAAAAAATAAAATAATAGGTTGATGAACGTAAAAGTGTTATAAAGGTATCTTGAACAGTTTCTGGGATATGCTCTAGAATAATAATTATATACCAAAAAATAATTCAAATGTGTAGTAAAAATCATTCAACAGATAATCTTTTTCCATGGCAACGCAAAAATTATTAAATCCGACAAATTTCTAATTAGCAAAAGACACTGTAATACTGTAATAGGATGATGTGTGTTCAAAGTTTCAACTTGTATGAATATATATATTCTGAGCACAGTAGTTCAGCATGTCGGGGTTGCACCATCAGTTGCGCCCAGCGTCTAAATCTTTAGACAAATCTCATATTCCGACACATGGAATATCAATTCCATGTTAAACAATAAACTTATACATCAGAAAATAAAATACTATAATAGGTTAATGTTTGTATAAAGTTTCAAAAATATTTCTCGAACAGATAATAAAATATGCTCCAGAAACAAAATAAGGACGGAAGGCTGTATTTCAGAAAATAAAATAATGGGTAAAATTATTTTAAAGGTATCTTGAACAGTCAAATGTGTTTCCATGGAAACACACAAAAAAGTATCAAATCTGAGAAATTCAAAATAAGTGCCAAGAAGATATCTTGAACGGTTTATGAGATATGCTCCGGAAACAAGATTGTACACCAAAAACTAAGTCAAATTTGTTTCCATGGAAACACAAAAAATATAAATCCCATAAATTCCTAAGTAGCAAAAGGCACAGCTACTGTAATGGGTAGATGTCTGTACAAAGTTTCAAAAAGATATCTTGAACGGTTTATGAGATATGCTCCGGAAACAAGATTGTACACCAAAAACTAAGTCAAATTTGTTTCCATGGAAACACAAAAAATATAAATCCCAGAAATTCCTAAGTAGCAAAAGGCACAGCTACTGTAATGGGTAGATGTCTGTACAAAGTTTCAAAAAGATATCTTGAACGGTTTATGAGATATGCTCCGGAAACAAAATTATACACCAAAAACTAAGTCAAATTTGTTTCCATGGAAACACAAAATATATAAATCCCAGAAATTCCTAAATAGCAAAAGGCACAACTACTGTAATAGGTTGATGTGTGTGCAAAGTTTCAGAAAGATATCTTGAACGGTTTATGAGATATGCTCCGGAAACGAAATCGGACGGACGGACGACGGACGGACCCTGTTTCAATATCCCTCCCTAACTTCGTTCGGCGCGGGATAATAATGCAATAAAAATGGACTAGAACACAAAAACAGCACATTGGGAATGATTATTATGAATTTAAATACTGATTATAGCTAAATATATATGTTGTTGATAAAGATAGGATACAGTATAGAACGCCAAAGATTGTGAATACCACGGTAGGGGAGATTGACTAGACCTTCCGAGAAAGAAATGATCTAGTCCCATCACAAATATTAAGCCCATGGATGCAACAATTAACAATCTCAATTAAGATGTTGGAAAACTAAATATACAACAATATCTAAAATACAACAAATTGATTGGTACACTAAATATACAGCAAATTGATTGGTACACTAAATATACAACAAATTGATTGGTAAAGTAAATATACAACAAATTGATTGGTACACTAAAATATACAACAATGTCTAAAATACAAAACAGAGGTTGGTAAACTAAAAATAAAACAGTGTCTAAAAACAACAAATAGATTGTTAAACTATAGGGACAATAAAGTCTAAAAACAACAAATAGATTGTTAGACTATAGGGACAATAAAGTCTAAAAACAACAAATAGATTGATACACTACATAGACACTAAGGATAGGATAGGGATGGCATAAACTTGAAGCACATCTATACATCAGCTGAAGAGAAAGGCCTCGATTAGGACTAGACAGACCCATCAACTGCTGCCCTTGCTTACAACTGCTGGGGGAGAGGCATACTTAGCTGCTGTTCTTGCTAACAGCTGGGGGGGGGGGGTGGCTCACTGGTCTTACAGCTGCTGCTCTTGCTTACAGCTGACGGGAAAATATGGTTAGAAAAGGACACTACAAAGAAATTCAGACTGAAGACAATGTCAGAATACGCAGATACGTTTTTAAAAGCATCTACCAATTTGCGGAATACTATGGTCATCCATTTCGAGTGACTGGAGTACCATTGAAACAACGAGAATAAAGGACCCTTGAAATCCCCTCAAAGGGCGGGCACATACCAACATTGGTTTGGTTAGGCTAAATAAGAGGAGAGTTGGCTTCCCAGAACTAGTGAGGGTTCAATGGGTTGTGTTCGTTTTGTTTCACACAAAACGAATTGAATATCGTCATGTTGTAGGTTGTGAGAAGTAGTAGCGTTGGAAGATGTAAATTCTCCAACGCGGCGATATGTGTATAGAATTCGCATTGTGTGGGGTTGGAGGGGGTGGGAGGGTGGTAGACAAAATGTATTTTTGGGGATAGAAACCACTTGGTTCAAAACTGATCTTAAACGTGGCCTCTTGTTAGGTTTTTCGTTCACATTTAGAGATGTTTCATCCAGCTCTAAGAAATTGATCATTTACATGCATGTGAACTCGTTTCCCGCCATTTTACCAACCCCCTCCTCCACACACGCACACCAGCAACCCCCACCCCACCTAGCCAGAAAATGGCCACCCGATTAGATTTTATTACATACTTCCAGAAGGTATTTGTTGAGTAATAAAACCTTCTAGTAGTTTATCGAGGGCTGGCCGTCCTTACCGCACGGTACAAATAAAACCTTCTAGTAGTTTATTGAGGTTCGGGTGCTTCCGGAGTCCAAAATGGCCGCTTTATATAAATGAGAATTTTGGGGATAACTAACCCGAATCCTAACCCTAACCCTTTTTAAAAGACTGAACTTGGGTCTAATTTAGTTTTTACTTCTATTAAAAGGGTTAGGGTTAGGGTTCGGGTTAGTATTCCCCTAAATACTCATTTGTATAAAGCGGCCATTTTGGTATAGGTTCTGGAATTTGTTGCTTCTAGTGGTGATAATATTTGTACCGTGCGGTAAGGACGGCCAGCCCTCGATAAACTACTAGAAGGTTTTATTACTCAACAAATACCTTCTCGAAGTATGTAATAAAATCTAATCGGGTGAAATGGCAGCTCCCCGTTCGCAAATAGTGTAAAAGTATGTAATACCAAGATTGTGGACCCTCCAGAGGTCAGAATTGTTATCCGATTTTGATGACACTTGAAATTTATATTCATAACCCAACTACCTCGGGACCTTTCTATGTCAGCGCTTATCGGACAGTAACTTCCTGGATTATGGCTCCAGTCCATCGCCTGCAAAATGTAGGCGTACCTTGCATGGCAACCGCTTATTCTCCATGCGTACACAATAAGAAGTAACCAAGAATCTGCCCGATTGTCTTAGGAAGGCAACACGACTACGTGAAGCCCCCGCAATGCCCTCACGATGCCCCCCACCCCATGTAGGGCAAAATGAACACACGAATTCAACATGAAAATGAACCTTCGTAAGGTCCTTCTGCAAATTTTTGGCATGCCAAAGATTTTGCCAGCGCCCACAGCGTTGCTGTCGGAGTTTGAAAAAGTTCACAGGCGATCATACGATGGGTTAAATTGCTCCCACGTATGCCCCGACGTTTTTACGATCAGAGCCGAATTAACTTTATCGTGTGACTGACTGACTATCTGGTGTCAATTTCAAGAGATTCTGACGCATCTTCCTGAGTCAGTCCTGAGTAACTCTACAGAGCTACCGTGTGGCCGTCGTGTGATCTGCGGGTACAAAGTACTATATACAATTTACATCTTCGTATTACCTCCGTGTGCTAGGCTGTTGATTGGTTTTTGACGAAGTTCAAGGCCATCTTCGCGCAAAATTCAAAATACTATATTCGTATGGCTATCTGCTGTCAATTTCGGTATGGTGTGATGCAGCATTAACCCACTGAAGGCGGGCACATCTGTCATCAGTAAAATACATTAATTGACACTCATATGCCATCAAACCGCAAAAGTAAATAGAATTGGAAAATATCACCTCAAAATAATTACTCACTGTCATGTGTTAACAGACGCCAGGTAATGAAGTGAAGCGCCTTCTGATACACGAGAGTTAGCCCCCTTTTGTCATTCACGGTAAATACTATTTTAATAAAGATATTATTTTTTTCTACATGACAAATTACAGTACAGCTACGCGGGTAATGGCACCAACGCTTGGCCTGGAGATTTCAACAACCACAAAATAAGTGCGGGCGTTATAGGAATAAAATGTAGCCTAACATCATGTTATTGTTGTTCTTAGTGTTTACCGTCCGCTTCCACCGAATGTGATATCGCAGACAAGTTTTCATTATTATTACCTTAGCGCACGCGCAGGGGTCTTTTCTGTGGGAGGAAACCCACGAGGTTGAGAAGGCGCCCCTATCTCCAAGCCACGTGCACTCACAACAGGCATCGAAACCACAATCGGAAGCCAGAGGTGACCGGTCAGCTAGAGGCCGAAGCGCGACACTCTAGACCACAAGGCCATCCCACCCCCACCCCACCCCATCCCCCAAAATGCAACATCAGAACAACAATAACTATTAACTCTAATACGATGCCACACACAGAGGGTACAAAGATGTCACACCAAAGGAAACTTTTGTTTTTATGAATAAATTTAACATAAAAGTGTACATAAAATGTATGGCTTGATATTAATTGCCTTTAGCTACATTAAACTCTGAATATTATCCCAAAATAATTCGCCTTTTTTTTGTGTATAACGACGCTAAAATTTGTATTCCTTGGAACTGGAAATAATTAAACATAATACCGTTTTTGGGGTGAGCTCGATTTGTGCTTCTGTTTGCCTGAAGCGAAACACACATAAGACGCGTATGGATGAAAAAAAGATATAATGATATACTTACATCAATTTTCACGCAACCAGTATAATTCGTCCATTCTGTACGTGTTAGTGGGTTTGCATACCACGTGCCGTTTGATGTACACGTTTTTGTGGCATCAGCTAAAACGAAAAACGAAATTCCTCTAATAATACTGTGATATAGATTTTTCGGAGCTAAATTAATATTTATTGATTTAAAGATACATTATGTAAGATTTGGATAAAGAACTGACCATTCTGCTATAATAGCTTAAAAATAGATAATTTAAAAGGAAAATATTGAAAATGTCATTCAAAGTACTTCATTCTGTGCCAAGTTATCATTGTTTGTAGTTTTGACAAGATGTTTGCATTGTGGGAACCAGGGCTTTCCTATTTTTAAATTAAATTTTTAAATTGCGAACCGTTCTAATCTAGTTAAAATCTCGAGTATCCGATGCCATGGAGAGTTGATTATGGTCTTGTTTTGTTAATAAATGTATAATCAATAGTTTATATAACATTTCAGGCCTAAAGAAAGACCTGCAATAGGCAGATTTAGCTCTTGCATAATGTATGTTTAAGATACATGTATTGTACACCAGGCATATACTTAGAAACAGAAATGTGTAAATCGATCATTAATTGCCATTTCATATACAGAAATATATCCCACCATCTACCTTGTGTGGGTTTCATCTATAAATCTGATAACCCGCTATGTCAGAGCTTGTACAGAATATGGTGATGCTTTGACTCTCCGAAACTTGTTAACCTCTGTTCACACCCCAAATTCAAAAACTCAAATCTGGACCTCGAGATAATTGAGATACAATATGCCCGTGACTACAGAACTTCTGTTTAGAGATATATATAATATACCTTTGAATACAGAACTTACTTTGACTACAGAACTTCTTCGTTGAGATATATATTAAGCGATTTTCATAAACAAAACTTTGTTTTAAGAATTGAAATGAAATGGGATTTAACGTCCTACTGTTCCGCTCCGCGCTTGGCTAATCCAGACGGGCATACGCCATACAGAGTGCTATAAGGGACATTTTGCCCGGGCAGCGCTTTGTTTTAAAGGAAATGGGGAACGGTTATATATATATTGTCAAATATCGTGGCGAGTAACAATGGTTTAAAGAGTAGATATTGTGTTAAAGAGACACCGATTGTCCATTTTTAATTAAATTATTAACTGACTTTCATGTTTACATCCGTGGATGGGCTTGGCATGTGAATAAATGTCTAATTAATGATTTATATAACAGTTGAAGCCAAACCAAAGATTTAGATTAGGCAGATTTAGCTCTTACATAATGCATCTTTAATTTCTCTAGAACCAATTCTCAGGAATAATACCAGTTTAAAAGTACGTTCGTGTTATTTCTACACCTAGGTCTTATTCATTTCCTTGAAACCACATACTTGTCACATGCAGCACATGTATGACAAATGGTTATTATATAAACTTAACATGAAGCCCGGAAATTAGTTGGATATTAACGTGGGATGCATATTGTTCATATTGGTTACACTTTCTAGACCATGACAAGAATATAAAAAACACCAATAAATATCATTATCAAAAACTATTGTTAAAGGACAATATTGGTGTCAGTCATTATCACATATGTGATAGAACTCGTTAAACACGTTCCAAATATAATTTTAAAACACAGATCATTGCTACGATAGATGCGTTATGAAGATTTAAAGAAAGGGAAGTGACGAACGCAAAAGGAAAACACGAGGTATCCTGCTATATAACTAACTGAAGTGACGAGTGATAACAGATAGACGGGTGAATTTATGCTCACTAATAATTCCTTCGAAGACCAAAAGTTGTTATGTGAGGCAGTGAGAGGATATCTGACAATTCAAAAATATAATTGACTGTCACTAGATAAGAGAAAACGAACAAAATAGAAAAAGACCATGCATTACCATGTTTTTATTAGATACATTAGTTAAGAAGAGTTTTATAAAGAGTTGGCCATTCTTGATATAATAATTAAAAAATAGATGATGAAAAAAAAAGAAAATGTTGAAAATTTCAGTCATATTACTTTGTTCTGAACGGAATTGTCATTGTTGGAAGTTTGGATAGAAATAGGCATCAATTGTATCTGCGCCGTCTTTCAGAATTGGCGATCATTTGATTGACAGACGATAACCCCACCCACATATTCTCAATTATCAAGTAACATGCTCAATGGCTATGGTAGCCTCGCTTGGCAGGCCTTTCATCACCAGTTTCCGGTAGTGACATCAGCTACTAACGGTAAACGTTAGCTTGGTCCGACATTTATTGATTTAATTTTAAATGGACGACTGTTTAAATCCAAGCTGTATCCAAGCCATCCATGGGTCTACAGAGTTGATTTTGAGCGTGTCGTGTAAATAAAGATCTAATTAATAATTTCTATAACATCGGAAGCCTAAATAAAGACTTGCAATAGGCAGAGTTAGCTCTTGCATAATGTATGTTTAAGTATAGAATGAATAAAATCAAGGGAATGTACGGACTATTTCTATTTCGTCCTGTTTTTAAAAAATCAGATACCAGCTAGCAGTTTAGTTTATAGTTTTTGTATATTAAAATGTGGTTGATGGCTTCACTGGTGATCAATGGCCCTCTCTTGGCAATCAGTGCAGCAAGGTTACTATCGACCATGTAGCTTCCAAAATCTTTTCTACCACTCGAATTACCAAGAACTAGTGACTTCATTCGAATTACCAATAAATTGATTCAAACCAAATTCACGATAATTATTGACTCCATTCGAATTACCCATTAACTTCATTCGAATTACTTATAACTATTAACTTCATTTGAATTATCACTAAATATTGACTTCATTCGAATTACCAACAGATAGACTTCATTCGAATTACCAATAACCTTTGTCTTAATTCTAATTACCAATACACTGACTTCATTCTAATTACCAATAATTATTGTCTTCGTTTTAATTACCAGTAATTATTGACTCCATTCGCATTACTAATAACCAATGACTTCATTCGAATTACTAATAACTAATGACTATTGATTTCATTCAAAGTACCAATAACCACTAACTTTATTCGAATAACCAATAACAAGAAGTTGGTTATGTTTTTCGGTTCTAAAAACCATGGTATGTACTTTTCATATTTCATATAACGCACAAACAACACAATTGTTGTCTGATAAATTGTTTCAATGGCATTTCGTAATTGAACTGGAGTATACAGGTCAGAATTCTATGGAATACAATTACTGCTTATAACTGAGTTTATAATGACTAGAGAAGCCTAGTCGAAACGTCGCTCAGTAATAAGCAGTAATTGTATTCCATAGAATTCTGACCTGTATATCACAATTGTTTTTGTACTTTTACAGTTATGCGAATGACGAACAGTAATTTACATGTACATACAAAATGAAAGGGCGGACATTTGTTTTTTCGCACCTTGATTTCATTATCGATGCGTGAAACATTATATCTCAGGTGTTGAATTTAACAATGTAAAATAAAATGAAATACTGATTCTATATACTTGACAAGACGAATGTTATATCATGTTTTATAGTCATATTTCAGTATTTGTTATTCATTTGTCAGTATCATTAACGACATGGCAGGCGATTCAAAGGAACTGTCTTGAAATATTAAAAGCTATTCTGTGTATATATCAGGTTGAAATAAAAACACGATTGATGCTTATGACAGAATGCGAACGAAATTGTGATATTCTTTATCAATTTTTAAATTCTGAAATGTCATAAAGTCAGGCCATGGGGCAGTGATGGATACGTGCAATATGAGCTGTTTCGACTGGGTCGACCGCGCAAAAAACAGCCCTATAGTTGAGAACAATTTTATGGAGTGAAATTTGAGGCATAATTCCAACTCTTTACCTAGTTATACGCCATCTTCGGTATCCCCAGTGTACTCATTCCGTTCTACTCCACTATACCCTGGGTTAATCCATAGCTATAGTCTACGAACTAATCAAAAAACAGTTTACAAACATGTCGTTTCGCCTTCGTTTTTATAAGGGCAGATAACAATATTCATGTCCAGATACTGAATGATTTATGTAAGTAATGTATATATTTCTAATTCCTTATATTTCTGTGTATTATCAAAATCTGCAGTATTTTTCGCTGATTTCAAATGTGTATAATATCTATATGTTTGACTTTTGTTATTATTATCACTATTCGTTCTTTGTATGAAATGTTTCAGTCTGTTATGTTTATTATTCTTGAACTTATACTTGGCAATTTCATTCAAAATAACTACCCCTAAAACTTTCTGCACACCTTTCGATGAGTTTTTTTTTAAACTTGGGCATTCCCTGCTAAGACACTATGTCTCAAATTAAACTGGACCAAGCCTAATCCCTACGGCTTCCTCCAGTAAGGTTCTTAGGAAACATCTTTGTCTACGATATCACAATAGGTGGAAGTGGACGTAAAACTCTAGAAACGAACGAACGAACGATTCACAATAACTTGTCTACGATATCAGGTGGACGTAAAATTCCAGGAACTAACGAACGAACGATTCTCTATAAAATTCTTGCACCTACATAAACGCACGGCCTTCATTAATATAATATTATATAATTTGTTGTTGATAAATACGCATTTAGAATAATTTGGATTTCCCTCATTTAGACTAACTCCTAGCCTTGTCCGTTGAGTGTTACTTCCCTTTGCCAACTTTCTTTTCACTTAACGATTTATGAGATTGGCCGATAAAAATAGCACAACCATCAAGGGTGGATAACTTGAAAACGTGTCTCCCCCATAGATTAACCCAGGGTTTAGTGGAGTAGAACGGAATGAAACCACTGGGGCTACCGAGGATAGTTATACCCGTGCTAATATATATTAAAGCACATTATATGTTAGTTTTACTTTCGTAAACATCTCCGAATCTAATCGACAAAGAGGCTGGGTGTCGTGCTCACACAAAACCGGTGAAAAATATATCAGAAATACTTTACTTGTGTAGTAAAATAGTTCATTACTTTGAGAGAAAACTAGGCTAAATTCCTTCTTTACCAACATTATTTGAAATTTGTCATTCAGCCCCATACATGATGTAAAGAGTTATTACTACGAGCGTATATGA